CCCCCCCCCCCCCCCCCCCCCCCCCCCCCCCCCCCCCCCCCCCCCCCCCCCGGCGCCGAGCGCGGGGTTCGTAGGGAAACATCTTGGAGGTTGGAGCGGTGGGCAACGGACAGGTGCGAGGAAAAGCAGAGACCTAGCCGGCGCTCTCCTTGTGTCTGATAGGGCCTTTGAGGAGGCGCGAAGGTCTGGCTTGCCAGATTATTCGGGCAAGCGCGGGCGGTATTCGATGCATTGGTTCCGCTCTGGGCCAGAGACCGGGGGGACGACGGGGACGATGTGGACGCGCGAACGACGCAGCAAAGTAACTGAGGTTGAAGCAGCGTCAGCAGAGACGACACAGTTTTCTCAAGTTGCATCTCCTCACCTTTCTCGCCCTCCTCGAAGACGACCGCCGGCCCCAACCCAGATCAGACTGGACGATATTGACGACGACAAGTCCCGCACACTGCGGTATACGAGAAAATTCACCAAGCGCTGCAGGTCCGGCGGCAGTCCATCGAGCCCCTAAGACGATTCTTGCGTGCCGCGTGGGGTCGGAGTTGCTGGTAGCGCGATGAGAGAGAGAGTCTGGGGAAGCTGGGGTGGATAGCCCTATATGTGGAGCGGAGAGAGGAAAGGTTGAGCGACGAGGGAACGACCCAACCCCACCCGGTCTGTCGCCAGGATTTCTCCGACCGACATTTATCCGGTGGGGTATGGACCCCCGCCAGGGCCCGGGCCAGGCATCGGGCACCGGCTACCAGAGAAGGTACGTACCGCCTATGCAGCATCGAGATGTTTCTGAGAATGACTTATGAGTGGATGTCGTATGCATCTTGAATAAAAATGTCGTTGAAGTTTATAAGCATTAGAATGCAAGATGTCTAACCGGGTTGCTTGCAAGCCAGAGGTCAAAGAAACCTAGGTACCTAGGTAGGTACGTACCTACAGTACCTTATCGAAGTTGCTTTCATTGTTCTCATGGACCTTCCATACTCTGTCAAAGAAGTTAGCATTCCTCCTACAACACCGAATCCATTCTTTGCACGACCGCGGCTTCCCTTTTTCCTCGACACGCCGCTTCTTCCCATCATCCCTTTCCTCCTCCCACCCGAATACCTACCATATCAGGCACCAGGTAATCAAGCAGCATCATCTCCAGACTCCAACCATCTATCAGTCCTACAGTTCCCAAGTGACTCCGCCGAAGAAGCCCTTGACTAATCGTACCTTAGACCTACCCGTGGGCGTCAAGATCAGGCATGGCGACTCCTCCCGAACAAGTAATGGGGCATCTTACCGAAGAACAAGTGGCGCGCCTGATCTACATTCACGAGACATTGCCGGGTCTTCTACCGACTTTCCTTGAGGACACTCCGGCAACGGAACCCTTTCTCGACTACATCACGGACCTGGAGGTCAGGTGCGATATCCTCGAGAAGCTGCAGGACCTTGTGAGAAGTACGATATTCGACCGGGGTTGAATGCGACGGCACTGGGCATTGTCATGGTTGCCCCAATCACAGTGTTGAGCCGTCATGTCAACGCAATGACCGAACCCCGATTTAGTCTTCGGTCTACAGTGGTGGGCTTCTTCAAGCTGCTGTGTGAGACGGCCGTCGACGGAATGCGAGCTTGTACGTCTTGTTCCCCTTTCTCTGAGAATTATCCTTTCCATTAGAGCCTATTCACTGATATTCTTCCCATCATCAGACCTTCCCACTGGAGCGACACAGCATTGGACGGCCGGAGCTCCACAGGATCCAGGCCTAAGTCCTACTGCCGAATGCTTTCTCACCGGCGTGTCTGATCCCGTGGAGGTCCACTTTTTCCCCTTCTCAACATGCAGGGACAAGAACCTTCTCGACATCAAGGCCATGCTTGATACGTTCTGGGGGTCCGAGAAGACGGAGGCCTGGTCCCAGTTGTTCGAAAACGAGGCCATCATCGAGTCGCCGCAGAACCTGATCGGTCTCAACCGCCAAATGCGTTTCTGGATGAAGCACGCCCTGTTCGCGCTCAAGCCACTGCGCAAGACGGATAACGAAGTCGTGGTGCAGTTTCACTGGCTGAGGGATGCCTGTTTCCTGCCCAGGGACCCTGTTTTTACGCCAGCCGAGAGCGACGATGTTGACGAAGTTCTGGCTCGGGCAGGTCTTGAGGACAACATGCTCTGGGGCCAAAGACTATTTGCCCACCGCAGGAGCGGTCGGCGGATAAAGACTGGCCAGACCTTTGTCTTCTGGGCAGGAAACCTAGAGACCCTGCCGAACTTTGAGCTCTTGCAGCTCTCGTGGGAACTCCTCCGCGTCGCTGCCATCTCCGGCGCGGTCAAGCTGACAGATGACTTGCCGGATGACGACGGCGACGATGAAGTCTTTTCCATAAAATCATGGTCCTCGCGGTCCTCAGCCGAGTAAACTGCTCATCCCGAACTCGCAATCCTTGCGTTTGACACTGGCTTATCACAATGGGGGTTTATCTGGTATTGACGCCAGGATAGTTGGGAGAAGGTCCCTGGTCTGGGTTACCCTGAATTGGGCGTTGGCGCTTATGGAACTGCGAGAGGACACGGAATTGTAACTTATGAATGAATGTTCTATGTTTGGTAAATTGATAGATTCCTTCCTCATGATCAAAGACTTTGTCCAATCGTGACGGGGCGTCTCGTACTGCCCGCCGTAGACACCCCTCGTCTTCTTACAAATTGCGGATACACGGATATCTGACCATCGGGGCAACTTTGACTCCGATCTTCGGTGAAACTGACATCGGAACACCAAAACACCAGCCCTCACTCGGCACCCTGATCAACCCTGCGGCAGAACCATGAGCTCAATCGGCGTCAACCGAGCGTGTGAGTCGTGCCGTTCATCCAAAGTCCGGTGCCAACCGGCGCCTGACGGCACACTCGCTGCCCAACAGGGGCGATGCCAGAGATGCGCAACCGCAGGGAAGGCGTGCACCTTCACACCGGCGCGCCGGACCAAAAGGAAAAGGACAGATGTGAGGGTGCGAGAGCTGGAGAGGGAAATAAAGGCTCTTAGTGACCTTTTGCGGGCCGGAAACGCGGGGGCCCCCGAGAATCAACAAGGACTCCATGAGGATCAGGCTGCGAAAGCTGGCGTCCCGGAAGGACAAGAAGAAGGTCGGCCCAGAATTATGCGTCCAACTCATGGTCCATCTCATGGTGGCTCCGCTGGATCGTCACATTCCTCGTCCCGGGTCCCTGATCCCATCGACGCCGGAATCCTTCCCATGGAATCCGCTGCTCGTCTGTTTGATCGATACGTTTCGGATCTGGCTCCTCAACGGCCCCTGGTCGTCTTCCCACTGGGAACTCGTGCTTCTCAGGTACGTAGGGACAAGCCGACTCTCTTCCTCGCGGTAGTCTTGGTTGCCTCATCGGGCACCTCGGATGCGACCCTTTGCACGAAGCTCAACGACTTGCTTCTCCAATCATATGCCCAGCGCATCGTGATTTGGGGAGAGAAGTCGCTCGAGTTGATACAGGCCATCCTGGTCTCTACAAACTGGCACTGTCAGAGCGGACATTACGATCATATGAAGTTCTACCAGCAACTCCACATGGCCGCCACAATGGCCGTTGACATCGACCTTGGAGAGCCAAGGATGTGGGTGGCGGGGGATGGTATGGATGAGGCTGCGACCCAGTCTCAAGCTATCGAACTCCAGAGAACATTGCTCGGCTGTTACATATGTTGTTCTAGGTAAAAGCCCGTCTTCTCAACCCGATCTATGAATACCCTTAGTAACGGACCATACGGCAGCCTCTCACTCAACTACCATCGGCCAAACATGTTTCCGTTTACGCCACAGATGGAGGATTGCCTCGAAGCTCTCGAAACTTCTCCCTTCGCCTCTCCGAGCGATGCTGCCTTGGCATCCTGGGCCAGGTTGCAGCACATTGTCGATCTCTCTGACGCCGCCTTGGACTTGAGGGGCCACAGCGCCAAAGTACGCATGTCCGACGCCGGAGTCCAGTTGAGCCTCCTGAACTGCACAAAGCAGCTGGAGAGTTGGAGGGAGAGGACGCCCGTGGCTGTTATAAATGGTAATTAACACCTGATTCCCGCCGGGATCCTTTCTGTGCCCTGTTTAATTCGAAAACCAGAGCCGCTCCTTATGCAATACCATGCCGTGTACTGTCTCCTCCATCAGATCTGCCTTTACGCCGAGTACAGCCCCGCAGATTTCAAGCCCCCATACATCATTAGTATACCCTCGGCGAACACCGGTAAAGCAGCCGAGCCCATGCTCACTCCAGCTCACCTCTTCTCGGTCACAAAGTGCATCTCCTCGGCACAAGCGGTCGTCGACACTTTCCTCTCCATGCCCACCACGACGCTCGCCTGCGGTTCCGTCGTCGTTTACGCGAGGATGGGGTACGCCATAGTCATCCTGATGAAGATCCACGCGTCCGCAGCCCTGCCCGGCGGCGCCCTGAGCGGCGTGGTCGACCCCGGGGCGACCAGGATGGGGGGATATCTCGAGCGCGTGGTGGGTCATCTGGCCGACGTCTCAAAGTACCAGTGCAGGCTGGCCTCCGAGGCATGGCTCCCCATCATGTCCCAGCTCCAGGGCTGGTACAGGCGCCATCTAGTTCCCGGCGCGCAGGATGACGATGATGATGACGCGCCGGGAATTGCAGAACTCATCCAGCCGTTGCGGCTGGTCAACTTGGCAGCGGATGTTGGATCTCGCAGTCAAGCGGCTGATAACTTGTCGGCAAACGGTGTGCAAGACGGCCGGATCACCCTAGCTCAGCCTGGCTCGTCCGGCTTGGCTCTCGCACCAGACGAACTGGAAGCACCGGATAGCAGCAATTTCTTTGCTGACCATCGGTTTTCCCATTTTGGTTCTTTCCCCGGCGGTTCCGATTATGACATGTTCTCTGGGATGGTTCCTGGCGACTTGCACGAATGGATAGCGGCTTCGGCGGAATTTCCGGAACTGAATAGCGAGATTATGGCAGCGGGAGAACTTTCGACCACCTAGAAGGTCCTAATAGAGATGACGAGTCACCTTGGGAATCATCTTGGGCTTGCTTTCTTGGGTCATAAGCTCGGTTGCCCGAATGAACCGTCTTCTGATAAGACAGAGGGGAGATGAGTACAGCTGGCTTTGAGGAACCCCATTAAACCCCTAAATGCCAAATAATACAGATATTAATTAGATGGACAAAGCAAAGGACATTGAAGAACACAGGCCCTCCTTTTAACGCCACCCGCGCCATACACCGGTAACGTCTGAGGAAGAAGTGGGAGGCATAGACACAAAACCCCGGCCTCAGTCACCTAAACACTACTCCCGTTCTTCTTCTCCCCCATCCTTCGCTCCTCCACTATCTTCCGCCGAGCCTCCTCCCCCTCCAACCCAGTCTTCACTTCAACATGCTCCCTGTCCAACTTCCTATTTCGAATCACCAGGCAGGCAACCAGTCCCGCAGCAGCGAAGCAAACCGACTCGATCCAGACATGCCTCAGCGCGTTGAAGAACGCGCGCCGAACCACCTCCCTCTGCGCCGCGTCCAGCGTCCCGACAACAAACAAATTCCCCTGCGCGTTCGCGCCCGACAGCAGCGCGGCGACGCGGTCGCCGAGAGCGCGCCGCAGGACGTCCTGCTGGGCGGCCATCTCGCCGGCGAAAGCGGCCGAGCCGGCGACGACAGCGACGGCCGAGGCGACGTTGCGCACGAGCCCGAACGACGCCGTGGCCGCGGCGTTGTCCTGCGCCGGCACGTTGCTCTGCAGCGCGATCAGCGGCGGCTGGAAGTTGGCGCCGACGCCGACGCCGGCGATGATCTGGAAGGTGGCGAGGCGGGCCCACGAGGCGGAGCGGGCGGGGAAGTAGAGGAAGAGGCCGCTGCCGAGGACGGTCAGGAGGAGGCCGAGCCGGATGGGGTCGAGGTACCGGCCCGTGGCTTTGATGTAGCCGCCTGCGGCGACGGCGGTGAGGGAGACGGCGATGGCGAAGGGGAGGATCCAGACGCCGGATAGGAGGGGGGAGGCGCCTAGCACGGATTGGAAGTATATGGGTAGGAAGTAGCTCGCCTGCGTGAAGACGATGCCGTGGAAGAAGTTGACTAGCAGTGTCGCGATGTTGGAGCGGTCGGCGAACAGGTGCAGAGGCAGGACCGGGTAGCGGGCCACGCGCCACTCCACGACGGCGAATATGGCGAGCGTGACGACGGCGAAGACGAGGAGGCAGATGACTGTTGCCGAGCCCCATGGCCGGAAGCCGCCGCCGAGTTGGAGGCCCAGCAGAAGCATCAGCGTGCCGCCTGCTATTGTGAGGCTGCCGAGCCAGTCGACGGCTTTGATGCCCGCGATCAGAGGCGTCTTGGGCGTGTGGATTTTCAGGGTCAGGGCGATGATGACGAATAGCACGCCGGTTACCGGTACTAGTTTTTGGGGCGCTGTCAGCGGTACGTCACTCCGCCAAGTGGCCGGAAGAGAAGAAGGGAGGACTCACGGTTGATGTAGAAACACCATCTCCAAGACACATTATTCGTCAGGGCGCCTCCTATGACGGGCCCAAGGGCGGCCGCTATTGCCCAGACCATACCGATGATGCCGTAGTACTTGCCGCGGTCTCTGCGAAACACGGAATATCAGAACCCTAGCATTGGCAGGGGGGAATAATCTTGCTTACCTCTGGGAGAACAAGTCGCCAATGATGATGTTCACCATGGACAGCAGGCCGCCGGCGCCGGCGCCCTGGACGGAGCGGCCGGCGATGAGCATGGGGAGCGACACGGAGGCGCCGCAGAGGGCGCTGCCGAGGAAGAAGACGGCGGCGGCAGTCTGCAACACCACCTTGCGGCCCCAGATGTCGCTGAACTTGCCCCAGTTGGGCGTCGAGGCCGCCGACGCGAGCAGGAACGCCGAGCCCACCCAGACGTATCCGGACGTCGAGTGGAAGTGCTCCGAGATGGTCGGCAGCGCCGTCGTGACGATGGTTATGTCGAGGGCGGCGAGGAAGACGGATAGCTGGGTGGGGGGTTGCGAGGCGTGTGTGTTAGATGGGGGTCGGCCGGGGGTGAGGAGATGGGGAGACTATGTCTGTACTCACACATAGGGCGGTCATCAGAAGCCCGGTTTGCAAGCCTTTCGTCTCTGTGCCCGGATCATTTTTCAAGGTCTGAGTATCTTGGGGAGCGTCAGATTCTGTGTCAGGAATCGCCTTGGTGCTCATCTCCAAGGCGTCTGCTGGGCGGAATAATCCTTGATCTTGAGGCATCGGCGGCTAGGGGTATTCGTGGTGTCAAAGAGGACGATCGATGATGCAAGGAATGGTGAGATAGGAGCTGGGCTGGATTGGCGTGAATTGGGCTTCGGCAGCTTCATGTCTGAAATTAGACATTTGGCCTCTTTCCATGGCGAAGGAGGAGATATAAGGGTGCCGAGAAGCCGGCAGTGGCCAGCGCTGAATTGTGCCGAGTAATTATTATTTCGGCGCTCGGCGCTCACTCGACGCCGGATCTGAGCCACACACGATGTAGCACGCCGGAGGAACGATCGATCCGATGCCGCATAACGTGGAAGGATAACGATGGCCTCTCAAATTCTCGGGAATGTTCTTACAAGCCAATCACACGATCGGGAACATGCATGCCTGTAGCAACCACAGACTCAAAAGGCCAAATTGCAAAACAGAGTGGCGACCAGCGACGGTCCAACTTGGAAACACACTTGGCCTCCCAAATATCTTGAAACTGATGAGTCTGCATGAAAAGGAATTGTGATTTGTTTCTAAAGAGCCGGACACCTAGAGCCAGAACGCCAGTTCCCCCCTGATAAGGGAAAATAGCCACTCTACGCGATCTTTGTCCCCTCCAGACCTTCGGGAGCAGATGGCATTCGCCCTCTTCGCCCACTCATAGCCATCAACAACTTCAAACTCGACACCATGCTTCCTGCTCAGGTATCCCCTCAGCCTCGGATATCGACCTCCTCCGCCTCCTCCCGCAGTGGTTTCGATACCGCCCCCCAACATCCCCCCAAGGTCCGCATCATCGCCCGCGATCTCGCCCACCATATCCCGCGCAATATCATCAATCCTGACGAACTGGAACCGTCCCCCTAGCACGCACATCCCGGGCATCGCGCGCAGCAGCTCGGCAAAGTGCATCACATTGTGCATGCCATCCAGCCGCGGCGCAAGCGGCCCCATGATCGCCGTGGGCCGGTGCACGGTCACGGCCAGGCCCGTCGCCTTCGCCGCGTTGGCGAGCAGGCGCTCGCCAGCCCACTCGGACACGATGTATCCGTTTGTGGTCTCCGCCGGCAGGGGGTCTAGCGGTGCTTCGAGCAGAGGCTATCCGTCTAGAGCTGCTATCTCGGCTGTGGATACGAAGTGGAGGCGTCGGGTGGCGGAGCCGGGACGCACGGCGAGGCGGATCAATCCCCGGGTTGAGCCGATGTTGGCGCTGCGGACGGTGGAGTAGCAGAGTAGCACTTGACTAAGGGTCGGCACCGTTGTGGGTGATGGTGCAGGCGGTGCCGAAGATGACTTGGGCGTCGTGGGTGGTCAGGCCGAGGAACGGGGAGCGCAGGTGGACGACAAGTTTTGGGGAGGTGATGGCGGCTAGCTTTGCGGTGTCTCGTACCGTGATACGGTGGATCGTGTCGACTGGCGGCGAGGCGATGAGGCCGTGGAGGAGGTGCTAGCCGAGGAACCCAGTGGCACCGGCCGCCTAGGCCACCGCCGGGGCGCCGGACTACCCGACGAACATCCACGTCGGCGTTGTGTTCCCGCGCAACGAGACGTACAACGGCGATGTAAAGTCGCTGCCGGCCGTGTTCGCCATCCAGAACGCCGAGAAACCCGACTTTTGCAAGCTGAGGCCGGACCAGACCATGGCGGATTGCGTCATGGCAAACATGACCAGCAGTGAGGACAGATCGGCGTGCGAAGACTTGTTGGAGAGGGCGAAGGAGCAAGGGGGTTCAAACGGAGGCGGCGGGGGATCTGGCAATAATGACAGCGCCGCGCAAACGCTTCTCCGGAACGGAGTGGTCTTGGCTCTCGTGGTTGCTGTGTCCATGGATGTATCCTGCTATGAGAGGGATTTGAGGTACGCCGACCAGAACGTTTGCAAATGGCAGTTAGAACACAGTTAGGACCTCTGTCTCGCCTCCGGCTTGCCAAACGTCTGCAAGCATACATCCATCAGTAATTAGATGCCGACTATAGGATGTCCAAGATTGTCCTTCAGGCCCGGTACTGAGCAAGTTACAACATCCGTTTTCTGCTATAGCATCACATACAAAGAGGTCATATGTTTGCTGGCCAAGGTCCAGGCTTATCGCCATCCTAAGAATTGGCATCCCGGATACTCTGCGAACTCACGCTCACGGCCGGTTGGACGGTTGGCAGCGATATCTTCGCGGCCGCGGCCTGCCGGATCCTGGCCCGGGCGTAGATGATGCCGCTGACGAGGGCGAGGGCGATGGCCGAGACGCTGCCGAAGGTGACGGGGGCGACGAAGAAGATGAGGCCGCTGATGGCGATGGGCAGCTTGTTGAGCGCGCCGATCATGGAGTACGTCGTGGATGACGGCGCCCAGGCCCGAGTAGACTATGCAGACCAGCAGGCTGTTGGGCGTCTCGGACGGGAAGTTCTTGTGGATGTTGTCGGCGGACCAGGCTTCGGCGACTGGGGAGCAGATAATCAGGACGGGAATCGAGAGGAGATTAGTAGAGCATGGCTGCCGGATCACAATAGCATTTCGCCCTACAGAGAAAGGCGGCCAGCTTACTATCTTGTTCCCTAGAAGACGGGAGAGGAAGGGAAAAAACGCACTGTCTCGATCCTTAAAGTTCAGTTTCTTGACGACTTCCTTCTGGCCGAGTGTATACGAGGCTGAGCAGAAGACATTCAGTCCCATCCACGCATATCCCGCGTTGAGGGCCGAGATGGCAGCCGACGCGTCGGCCGACTCCCCAAAGCCTCCGTGGATGTCGTTTTGGATATCGGCCCAGGCTGCTACCACGGAGCTGAGCACCATCAGGCCGAACGATAAGAGCGCGAGCGGCGTGACCACAGAACCTCGCCGTACGCAATGACAATGATGGTCAGGTTCTTGAAGATTGTGTAGACGGGCACTAAGAGGAACTGAAGCGTTTTCGTGCCCGTATAAATCATGCCGACGAGGAGGAGCGAGATGGGAAACCCTGCAAGTAGATTGCTGTCAGTGACACCACCCCGAATCGGGACTCGTATCGTGTGAGTGACCGACATTTTTTTGCCTTGTTCGAATCAAACGGCGACATGTTCCTTATCAGGCCAACCTGCTTGCAGAGGACGATAGTAACAATGCATACGGTAGCCTGGACGATGCGAAAGCATTAATATTTCGTGTTTTCGGGTTTCTCTCTTGCTATCATCCCTGCCAGGTGAGCACGCCAAGGGACAGCTGAGACGACGCACCTGAACAGCGAGATAGAAAAAGTTGAGGTTCCATTCCGACCCAGAGACGACATATTTATTAACAATCGTCATGCTAATCGATGACAGGCAGTAGGCCACAATCGATAGCGGCGGGCTGTTCTCAGGCCTAGACACGGATGCCGTTGATGGATGTTGCTGCCGATGAGAATGGGGAGGTGACCTCTGGCCGGCAAAGACGAATGGATCCTTCTCCCGAGGCGAGTCCGGCATGCGAACCGAGTAGTCTTCGTTCTTCTTGTCCGACATGGTTGGGTTGACTAGTGTCTTCCCTGCGAAATTCAATCTGTTCTAAAGAGTGATGTGAAGAAAAGGAAAAGGGATGGTGAGTTGGAGATAAGACCGGGAAATTAGATTGAGGCTCAATACGAGGGTGCAAGAGGGCGGCCGAAGTCCAGGGGTATGATTAGGCGTGGCGCAGTATGAGCTTGTGTCACAACTCATGCTCGGCACGATATCCGGTCGCTCGAGGGGCACAAAGGAGAATGGGTGTTTTCCAAGGTTACTACTCACAACATCACGTATAAGGTAAAAGGTATTGTCGACGATGGCACCATGGTTCGGGTGGCGGCCCTCTTCGAAATGGGGCCCTATCTTGAGCGCTTGCTCAACTTTGGCGGCGTTGAACATCTGCTGTATGGCGGTCGGAGCCTCGGAGTTCTCCGCAAACGCGTGCAGAAAGTCAATGTAGCACTCACACATGGTCTTGACATTCTCGAGCGTGTACAGGGCCTCCTGGACCAGGAAGCTGACCAAGGCATTCCCAAGTGGGTTGTCAGGTCGAGCGGTAATCGATGAAGGCCTGGAACAGCGGGATGTGCGTCTGGGGCGTGCTGACCTTGTCAAGGGTGATATCAAACAGAACCGCTGAGTTGGCCATGGACTCCATCATCTTCTTCCTAGTCTGCTTGGCGATAGACGAGAAAGGCTGGTCAAGCTCCATCTGCAGGCAGACTGGGAACAGGTTAAGGTAGTTGCCGATGTCTTCCGGACCCTGGGCAATGGCATCTGCGGCAGAACCAACAGCATGTTGGAGTTAGGGGCCGTATTATCGGTTGGCTAGCATAGAGAGAGAAAGACTTCTGTCTGTATCTACATGGTGGATTACGTTCCTGGCTTGTATTATCGATTGACATTTTCTAAAAAGGCACAGATTGTACGGCAGTGCAGCTAGCACAATTAAGCTTCATATGCAACTTGACATTGAACATTGAAGAAAGAAGTGGCATCAGCTGATTCGAGGATAGCTGATGTTGCAACTTCATGTGCTTTATAATCGTAGGGGAAAAAACGTCAAACCGACATCGGCTTGCGTGATCTCTTAAGACGTGATCTTGTGAAAGTTGTCGCCCACACCATCCAACGATAAGAAGTAACCTGCTACTCTCAGTTCATTCACATTGCCCCGGCCCATAGAGAGCAGAAGAAGACACTCATCCAAAATGCCTACAGAATTCATCAGTGTTACCTTCCCAAACGCGTCCACCGAGATCGATCCCATCCCCAACGCGGCGATTGATCCGGCCTATCTCGTCCGATATGCCAGGGCGCTTGATGACTATGGCTTCAATTACACTCTCGTGCCGTACGACTCGTCCTATTTTGACCCCTTCACCATCGGCGCGACAATAGCGTCAGTGACCAAGAACATCAAGGTGATCATCGCCCTACGACCGAACACGTTGTACCCGACTGTAGCGGCCAAGGCTCTCGCCACTCTTGACCAGCTGAGCTCTGGTCGCGTGGTTGTGCATTTCATCGCCGGGGGAAGCGACGCCGAGCAGGCGAAGGAGGGCGACTTCCTGACCAAGGACCAACGCTACGAGCGTCTTGAGGAGTACATCCGCATCCTCCGACGGGCATGGGAGTCTGCGGATCCCTTCGACTGGGACGGCAAACACTACCAGTTCAAGCAGTTCAGCAACCGCGTCCGCCCAACCAACGGCACCATCACCGTCTCGGTGGGAGGGTCGTCGGATGAGGCGTACCGGGTCGGGGGCGCCCTCGCCGACATCTACGGGCTCTGGGGCGAGCCGCTGAAGGAGACCAAGGAGCAGATAACCCGCATCTACGCAGCGGCGGACCGCGCGGGACGCCCCGAATCCGACCGGCCACGGATCTGGGTCACGTTCCGGCCCATCGTTGCCGAGACGGAGGAGCTGGCCTGGGCAAAAGCACATCGCACGCTGGACGCTCTGAATAGGAACCGACAGGGCGGGCTTGGAAAGACGCCTGCCAATGCGCCCCCACCGCAGAACGTGGGCTCGCAGAGACTGCTCGACATCGCGGCTCGAGGCGAGGTTCAGGACCGTGCTCTCTGGTATCCCACTGTCACGGCGACGAATGCCCGAGGGGCCTCGACGGCGCTGGTTGGGTCTCCGCAGACCATCGCCGACTCGATTCTTGACTATGTCGACCTCGGTGCAGAACTCATATCCATCCGCGGATATGACAACTTCAATGACGCCGTTGACTATGGGCGCTACGTGTTGCCTAGAGTGCGTGAGGCGCTGAAGCTGAAAGGAGAGGGCGGCCAGACGTCGTGATGAGGGTGGCTGCCATGTGATATCTCAATACTCGGCTCTTCGCTTGTAAGTAACGTGGTAGAGCCTACGCGCATGAAACAAAACACATTATAATATCTCGCATTTGCTGTTGCTCCCCTTTGTGATGTGGCGGCTCTCCCCTGTTCATAAGTATTATTACGCCCTCGGCCACACCCTTCATCCCAAGTGCATCTATTAATTGTATGCTGTTGGGGGTTATGTAGCCCTCGCTAGCCTTGATGCTTGCGGTAATTGTTATTGACTGCATCTCCGATGTGACGTGCATGGGTCGTCGTCGTATGAGAATCCCACGGCAAGAATCCTACAGCCATTACACTCGAGCAGCAGAAAGACTACGGAAGACTGCAGCGGCGCACAATATGAGGTATGGAGCGTTCTAATTGCGTTTCATTGATTTGCTAGGGTTTTGCTGGGTTGCTTCCCACAAACGTGTCATCCAAACGCCAAGAAGCACAACACATGTGGATGATCGTTGGAGGCCGGCCGGCATTAGCCGGTAAGAATTTTTTTTTCTCCGGAATACGGAATATTATGCGTCATTTCCTCACGTCAATACCTCACCACTCCTCCTCGCAACTCAACACATCCACTCCTCGTTTTTTTTTCATGATCTAATTCCACATCCACATCCGCAGCCTCAAGTTTTAGTTAATAATTGGTATTGATTATATCACAAAGTCCTCGTCATCTACGTCCTCCTCCCCAACCGCAGACTCGCCCCTTACGGGCTCGATCTCCATCTCGAATATCAAGGGCGGCGCGTCCCCTCCTCGCGCGCCGCCGCGGCCGGCGAGCTGGCTGCGGATGACCTTCTTGAGCTGCCGGCGCAGGGAGTCGAAGCCGAGCTCGTCGCCGCGGCGTATCTCCTCGACGGCGCGCAGGCCCGGGCCCTCGACGGTGAAGACGAGGCCCCGGACGTCGGGCCCCCCCTGCAGGCGCAGCTCGTCCATGAACTCGGCGAAGGTCGTCTCCTCCAGCTTCCTGCTGGGCGTCCACTTGCGGTACGAGTACACCGGCCGCCGCGAGAGGACCACCCGGTAGAGGAAGTCGATGCGTGGGGCGGCGCCTGCTGCTGCTGCAAACTTGGCTGGTTCCACCGTCTCACTCCTCCTCTCGGTCGAGGGTGTTGGCAGGTGTGCAGCGGGGTCTCGGCCGGCTTCCGAATCCTGGGCTGGTTCCTGTAGGACGTGGTGTGGGCGGGATATGGTATCACTAGGGGAATTTACGGGGTTGCTGGGTAATAAAGGTGGCGATTGGCCTCCTTCTAGGGTGTCGCCGACATGTTCACTGGCATTGGGCCTAACATCGGCGAAGCGGAATGTGACGGTGGATCTGTCAACAGCAGTTACCCTGACCGTTCTTCTCCCTTGTTCCTCATTGCTGCGTGAAGCGTTCTCCTTGGCCGTTGGGGACGGTGGCACGGCCACAATCAAGTCTTCTTTTCCTGCGTCGTCCCTCAACACCCGCCGAGAGGATGTTCGCTTTGGAACGGCAGCTCCTGGGGGCCTTTTCGTCCCGCTGTGGCCGCCGGTCTTGGTGGTGGGCTTCCGCTGTTGTTGCCTGGGTCGCTTCGCTTGGTGGCTTGGCGAAGAACCAGGTGTGTCGGGGGCGCTGTGTTTCCGAGCCGAAGCTGTGGCAGGTTGAAACGCCGGTAAGATCTTTTCTGATGATCAGCAAAGAGGGGAAGAAAGGCGGGGGAAAGAATGAGTACGGTTGAAGGAGTGCGCAGTCCGCACAGGCTGCCCGACGACAGCGGCAGAAAAAAGAAGAAAGAAAAAAACGCGTTGGTGGTGTAGAACGATCGAGTAGGCAGAGAATTGGCTGGCACTTACTGTGAGTTCAGTTGGCCTGGGGCTTGGTGGCACATCATAAATTTCTTCCAGCTTCACGGCTATGCCCTGTGGCGACGGGGTATTTATGTCAGGGCTGTTGTCTATGATGATGGGGTTCTGTGTGCTAGCTCCCCGGGGAGGAGCCGTGTCGGCTGAGGGTGCTCTGTCTTTGTTCTTGTACTTCTCGTTGCGATACTGCTGTTGGTTCATACGAAAAAACAGCATTCGCACGAAATTCTCAATTCTGCAAATCATTTGGTTAGCGCGCTGGGATAGACAGGCCCGTCATAGGTAATAGGAGTCAACGACGTACTGCTGTCGGTCGTGGGTGTATTGCAAATCGTTGAAGTTCGCGGCAGAGGGGTCGTCTGGCCAAAACAAAAGGCCGTTCCCGTCTCTGTCGAGATATGCCCGAGTCATCTCCCTGAGTCCGTCTTGGTGGTCGCGGTCTCTCCAGTCATGCAGGCTAGGGCCGAGCATGCCGTCGCTGGTGATGAACTTCTTCCTGAAAGCCCGAACGTCATCGTAGAAGGCGCTGCACCGGGCGAGATGTGGATCTCCATAATCGAGTGCCTGCCGAAGCGCAGTGATGTTGGGAAGGCTTGCAGGAGGCCTCCTTGAAGGTGAAGCAGGCATTGGAAATGGAAAATGCTCATGGGAGAGAGTCTTGCGTGCTATCAGACAATGGATGATTGTTGAAATGGAAGGGACCGTGTGGAATTGTGGAAAGGGAAGAAGGGTGGGGGATGGCTAGGTCCCTCATTTGGGGCTTTTTTTCCTGCCCCAGTTGGTCTACCACAGTCTGTGCCGCCTCTGCGCTGCCCTGCTGAATGCGCCTTGAGCGGGTGGTTTGTTGGAGACAACTCGGCTACTCCGAAAACCTCCTTGTCAAAGTTTTTCATAACATGACCCATTAGACTGCAACCGCCCCAAAGAAAGATCGAGCATGGTTCGCCGTAAAAGCGACAGGAAATAGATGCCGATGAAATCAGAGTTATTGTTAAATTTCTATCGTTTTCAACCCGCATCCTTCGGCTGACGAAGACGCCATTACCTGCGAGCCTGTGTTCCGTTCTACTTGCACGTTTGTCGCACATCATGAACCAACACGAGGGCTGGAGTACATTTGTCGCAGCCCACCTCGCTTAATTGTCCGTGTTTGGAAGGTGATTATGCGACTGCAAGGATAACTAGGCTGCCAGGCAGAAATCCCAATCCTTCTTGTATGACAACGGAAAGTTATCCCAGAAGACAATGCCAGTTCAATGCCGCCTTGGCTGTCCCTCAAAAACTATTTAAAGGGCGTCTTCTCGGGCATCTTTTCGTCTTCTTCTCGAAGTTATTAACCATCCCTCCTGCTCATCTCTGCAGTGCCCTCCTTTTTCTGCAACTTGTTCATACATCGCCCCGTACTCACTCACCCAAGCGCTGTTTTCCCATCAACGTTTTCACCATGCCTTTCCCAATCAATATGCCATTCGATTTTCTCACTATAGTCCTTTCCGTTGCCGCCGTCGTGATCGCCGTCGGGCAACTCCGTGTCCTTGCCTTATTAGGTGCGAATTAATTATGGTCTGACGGATCATTACTTGGTGCGCAGCTCTGCTCTCTCAGCTTGGCTACTGATGCTAGGCTCGCAGAAAGAAATCTCGTCACGCACCCGTTGGGCCGCGCGATTCCAATCCATTCTGACGTGACGGGTATGCGGCTCTCCCCCCTCCCCCGCCCCCTCCCCAGCCCCCTCCCCAGCCCCCTCCCTCTTCTTATTGTCCCAACTCAGCTAACAAGAAGCTCGTCTTTTTAGGCGGTTATTGCCGGTACGACTGGAAGACTAGACCGTCTTCGAGGGTACAAATCCATTAGCCGAAGGCTCCAGGAAGTGGCATTCTGCCCTAGGCCACAATTCATTCCCTGAGGGCAACACGGACCCTCGGTGCAATCGACAAGCTTGACAAACCCAGCCGTGGTGACAGCAGGATTGCACAGAGTTCTTCATTTCTCCTCGGGGTTTTTTTTTTTCCAGTGTTTGTTTGCTTATCGATCTTGCCCTTCCTCGTCCCACTTTTCGCACACAGCACATGTCATTTTGTCCCCCTCTTCCTTTCTTCATGCGACACTTTATGGTCGTATCTTAGAGTGGTATGTGCTCTGTCGCAGGCCATTGTGTGCAGTATTTGGGTAAAGTGGCCGATGTCGGAGAATGAGTGAGTTGGAGGTGCCAGCGCAGTGGCGATGATTTGCTTTAGTTGCACGCGCAAACAGCTATCATAGATTTTTCTGATTTGAAGGCACATATACTCAGGTCAAATTTTGCTTTTCCTAGCTCATTAAATGCCTCATTCGCCATCCGAGCAATTGGATTGGGGTCTTCTATCAAGAACATGAAGCTTGCCGTTGGCTGGTCGAACGATGATTCAGTGACCATGTGGACGTAAGATCGATCACGGCTATGGATGATCGATACTATTTTTACCAAGGGACCTTGCGCAGCCCACCCAACATTAAACTATTCCCTCTTACTGTTGCCCAACATGTAGGACACCTAATTCACCTTATCGAGCTGGCTGCGGGAACTGTGACAAGTTCATTTGTTCTTGAGTGGGCTGAGTGGGGCAGCACGATAATTATTCCTAGTTTGAGATAACTGTATCACTCACGTTTTGAGTCTCCCCTGCAACACCCAGTGCCCATTAGTTCTCTTCTAGGTTTGGCCAATGGAAGACGAAGACGCAGCCATGTGTTTCAGCCTGTCGTAACGGTATCTGTTGCTTCCAAGATGAAAGTACAAGCAATTATAAGGAGGCAGGGAGTCTTGCTCGAAATTTACTGCTGCATAACGCATTTGCCTACCACCATATCCTCCCCCGCCCTGGCAAAATCTGCAGTGCCCAATTATTCATAATTATCCCACAGAACTCAGACCCGACCAACACAGCCACACACTCACGGGGTGGGTCACCATGTCATTGGCTGAACGTGGTCACGACGCTCGGGCGCCACACCAACATCGCCCAGGGCCTGTTCATCGAGATGTTCCGGACGGCCCAGCTGATCTTTGTCATCCTCATGCTGGCCGTCGAGAAGCGCCGGTCGACCTACCTGCTGAAGAAGCTGACCTGGTACGTGTGCAACCCGGGCCAGGACGCGGTTAGGGCTGATCTACGACTTGGAGACGGCCCCGGTTTGGCGTCATGATGAGGCGACGGGGGAGGAGACCTGAGTTGGCGACTTGGAACTGATGGAGAAGTGGGAGAAACGCTTGATTTTGTGTTGACATTACACCTGGGAGTTTCGTGGGGATGTTGTTTCAGGGGGGAGCCACCCAAACTGGTCATAATTGTCTTCAATCTTTATTAGGTTCATCTGGCTTGGGTGATAGCTTGTCGGGGCTGTCATTGTCTTAGACGCCTTAACGAGACGTGGCTGCAAGCAGACAGGGTTGCAGTCTTGTTCTAGATATTAAGAGGTGCATATACCGCGGGAGTCTAGATGCTCTCGAGGAGTGGATACTGGGGCGCGGAGATTGAGGCAGCAGATGCGACGGCGTAGAGATGGCACTCGGGGAGCAGATTTAGCTACAAGAATTTACCCTAAAGAGCGTTTCGGGAGTACAAAGCACTGCTGCAAGCAGATACATTGATGGATTAGCTAGAATGAGTGACTGTGGCTATGACAAATACTTAAATTACGGGGGAATCTCGAAAAATAAAACAAAACGGTGCCATCACCGGCTTCTTCCAAGAACGCCGCCGGGGAGCCGTTTTGATAGGGGGACCTATTCCCCCACAACCAGGGCCGGTCTCCTCTGACCACCGGATCTCTCCGACGACTGGAACCGAACAAACAAAAGGAAAGGAATGCCAAGGAAAGGCACAAACGCCGATACTTCAAATCAGGATGCCCTCATCTCTCGCAGCTTCTCGATCAGCCAATCTCCTGCAGCTTCTCAGTCAGGCACGCGCCAAACGACGACCAGTCCATGTCGTCTGCGAACCTGCCATCGAAGGCCAGGTGGCCGAGGCTGTTGAACATCTGCTCGCACAGCGCGACGGCGACGCCGACCTGCAGGCCCGCCTGCCCCGACAGCGCGAAGCCGTCGACCACCAGCTCCGGCAGCAGCTCGGGGACGCACCGGTCGCCCGCCGCCGCCTGCAGGCCGCGCAGCACCCGCAGGGTCCGGCCGTGGGCCTGCTTCAGCCGCATGTAGCAGCTCAGCAGCAGGAGGGCCGTCGAGTGGTCGAAGGGCGCACCCGGAGAGCCGATGTTGTTGCCGCCGCTGCCGTTGTTGGGGCCGGGGCTGACGCCCGGGAACTGCAGGCCCAGTTCGTCGGCGAGGGTCTTGAACTCGTGGGTCATGGAGAGGAGGTGGCCGATGTCGAGGTTCGTCGGCGTCGGGGTCGATATCGTGGACGCGTCGTCGGGCGGGGTGGGGATGACGGAGGCCAGGCGGGGGTCGTCGTTGGCCGTGTTCATGTTGGCGATGTGCTTGTACAGGACCAGGTTCAGTCTCGAGAGTTGCTCGATTGTGGCCAGGTGTCCATCTGTCTGGTGCTCCTCCCTGCCGTCTTCGCGGAGCGGGCACGGGGCATTGGGAATCAGCGTGTCGTGGCCCGCCAGGAGCTCGTCGTTAAAGGGCGAGAGGAAGGGAGTGTAGCTGCTGAAGGCGCCGTCGGGGCCGCCGGGGTTTGGGAGTAGGGGCGAGGGGTTGAAGAGGGGGCTTGTGTCGATACTTTGCATATCCCTGGAGGGGAGAAGCAGTCAAGTCAGCCAGCTTTGCCAGATAGCCAATGCAAAAAAAAAAAAAAAAAATAATACGAAAGGGTATGCATGTATGTATGGCCGGCTGTGTTGTCTTCCGGTTCGTTTATTTGCTTTTTGTCTGGACGCACGTTTGACTCAGCTGCATCAGAAATGAGTGAGGAGAGAAAGAGTCACCCAACAGCGGGTCGATAGGAAGGTCGGGAGCACTGCTGTTGTTGTCGCTGCAATGATGGCTGCCATTGCCGTCAGCAATGTCGGTCATGTCGGTCATGTCGGCGATGTCGGCCATTCCGGCCAGGCCGTCCTGCATGTCTATCTCGACGCCATCGTCGAGGCCCGTCGGGTAATGCAAAATCGACGCGCTTGAGCCTGTCCGGGACCGGCTCTCATGGCTCTGGGGTTGCTGTTGCTGTTGTTGTTGCTGCTGTTGCTGTTGCTCCTGTTGTTGCTGCAGACGGTTCTGGTGGTTTGGATTGTTTTGGTGGTGGTTCAGCTGGCCGTGCTGGCTGTGCTTCGGCTGGGTAGACGGCCGGCCCATCGGGCGTGGAGGAAGAACGGCGCAGACAGTCTTCGCCCTCTCACAACGACGACATCGCGGGGCGCGGGGGTCCCAGACGCATCGTAGCTTCTGACCGCGACATCTGTCGCAGGCCACCTTCTTTGTCACACCCGAATTCCCCGGCGCGGCGAGGCTGCCGTCGTTGGTTCCATTGCTGCTGCGCTTTTTGCGGTCCTGCGAGTTTAGCCTTGCCGAAGACATTGCGGAACTGGCGGCACTGGGGAATGGATTGGAGGAATTAGTTAAGGCAAGGCAGCTGGGTTCCGGGGTCTGACAGCGCGGGGGAAGATTGATGATGGATGCTTTTTGGGCTGATGGAAGCCGGGGCTGGCCCCTGTCATGACCTGGAAGCAACCCCCAAATCTGGCCCTAGAGTCGATAACATGCCCGACGGCGGAGGCGGATCCTTCCCGAGACATCTTGGCGCGCATGACAACGTAGCAAGGCCGGTCTGGCTCGATTTGGCCTCCTGAATGTTCCGCCTAGAGCCGTGAAGCCCGCCGTCGCCTATCTGGCACCCTACTTTGTAGCTACCTATGTAAGTGTGCACATGTATAGGTACTTGAGTGTTAGCACAGGATGGGACGGGGTGGGAGTCGTGGGGTTCCGTTACCTAGGTAGTTTGACCCTGCTCACTCTGAGGATCTGCATTGCCTATGGGTACCTGTTAAGGTACCATTGCTTGGCAGGTACAGTATTGACGCGAGCTTCCATTAATTATCCTCACCCGAGTGCCTGGGGTTGTCATGCGCCCTGTCAACCCAGCGAGATGGCTCTGGTCTGCTGCTTCTCGGGCAGCCAGCCGGGCTCGATTTCCCCAGTGTTCTCAGCATCAAACCCCCGCATTCTGAGATGATATTAATTGCATGGCCATCCAGATTGGGAGAAGCCTGCGCCGGCGAACTCCGCCAGCGCTGGTGCATTGTTACTCAGGTCATACCATAGTGCACTGTAACGCAACACAAAGTCGGAGACATTGCTTTCCCATGTCTAATCCTGAGAGCAAGAATTTCAACAACTCCAACTTGCCAATTGCCTTGGCCCCTTGGCTTCTCACCTTATCCCAGCCCGCTGCCGCATGCAATGCGTCATGCAGGCCCATGACGAGCGAAACCCAAGAGCCTCTCGACTCAGAGATCCTCGTATATCCCCGATCCGATTGCGATTGGCGATGCCCTCCGACCCACTCTCTTGGACGGTCCACCCCGTACGACATGAAACTCGAAGCAGGTATCGCTCTGGCATGGCAGATGGGCGAGTGGAGCAGAGAGGGAAATTATAATACACGGGCTGTGAATGTACGACCAAATGGCTCTCACCGGCTGGTGCTCTACCAGCAGCCCTCAGATTTCATTTAATTAGACCAGAGTAGCCGCCCATGTCAAACGGAAGAGCACTTGGGTCGGTTCCAACACTTATCGCCGCCTTCAGCAAGTAACATGGGTTTCGTCAAGCTCATCAACCACGGCCTTAGCGACGCCACTGTCGATGAGCTGTTCGATCGGGTAAGGGATCGGCTGCACTACCACACCACTGCACCTCGCCAGGGCTTGGTGAGACACTGCGAGCCGTTGACGATGACAATGACCTGTATTATCAACATCTGGTTAGCCGACGAGGACTTCCCAGGATTCCGATCTGCAAGCACGCAAAAAAAAAAACACAAACTAAAAAATATTTGCCATCGACTAAAAGCGACACCATCAGTTCATGTAGGCGTTCTACCGCAAGTGCAAGTCGACGCACATCCAGCTGCTGCACTGCTGCTCCAGGATGACGTGGGCAGGCTCGAGGCCGAGGAGCAGGACCGCCGCGGCTCGTGCATTCCTGTGGGCAAGACGCCCCGGCCCCAACGAGGCCGTCGTCAACGTCGGCTACTGCTTCCAGCGTCGGACCAACGACACCCTCCGCTCCGTCGGCCACCGCGTCCGCGCCCCGGCCGGTAAGACCAAGGGCGAGCTGCTCGACTCCCTATACCGTAATCACCGCCTACTTTGGAAGCCCAGATGAGACCAGTGCGTTGGCTCCCCGCCGGAATTTGTCAGCCCTGCCCGGCCGGCCAAATACGGCGCCATGTCGGCGTGGAAGTACAACCAGGCCAAGCTGACTCGTACGTACTAGGCAGGTAGATAGCTTAGCATGGTGGCAGTGGCTTGTTCTCGTGCTTATGCTTGTGTTTGTGTTACGGGCGAGCTTGTTTCTTTTTCCGTGGCGATCGGCGTGAGAACGCCTTCCCGCGCCCCATGTCTTAGATGTATGCGAGTTAGAAAGCACAGAAAAGAGATCGACCCATTTTTTCAATGTTTAGGTATTCGGTGATCTTCAGTCACCGGTTGATTGACACTATGCCACGCACTATAACGGGCTAGAGGGCTGTCAACTGACCAGTATTGGATCGACGTTGCTATTCCAAAGCCCAGGGAATACAGGTGTTTCGGCCCCTTGCATTCCTCTAAAAACCCACGATCGCGAAATGTACAGCTACAGGCAAAGCATAGATCGATCAAGTACTATTAAATTAAATCCCACCGTCTTTGTTGACCAACAAGGTACCCTGGTCTACGGATCCGTACTCGAGCCAAGATCGGCGCTCAACTCAAGCCACCAACTGCAGCCCGGAAATATTCTTCTTCCCGCACTATGATAACCCCCAACCCCCCCGGCCATAACCCGCTACTGATGCGCCCTGAGCGTCCCCTCGTCCAGCAGCTCCTACACCGTCTCGAACCAACTCTTAGCCCACTCACGTATGCCTAGGTCGGCCCGCCTACCCATGGGCGCGGGCAAGCCGATGGCCTTCCCCGACAGCGTCGGCCCAGCACCCAGTCGAGGCGGATGGCGCGTGTGAATGTGTCGCGCCGGCGTCTCCGGTGTCGTCAGGCGCCCCGCCCGTGCGGCCTAGGAATCGGTAGCTGAGATCCATCGTCTCGGGGTCCGAGACGCAGTCGATGGCGTATTTGAGGGAGTTTGTGTGTTAAGCTGCTTGATCGTCGCCACGCTGGCGGAGGGGTAGTGATGGTTGACTACGTGGTCTGCGCCGTGGGACTTGGCTCGCGAAAAGTTGGAGGGCGAGCAGGTGGATGACCAACGTCCCTGTTGCGGTGCTACCGTCTTAGGCGAGGGCTTTCTTGGGCTCCATAGCGGGCCGGGCGGGCCAGCCCGGGATCTGCAGGTTTTGGAAGAGCGCCAGCCTGACAGTCCCTGTGCCTGTGCCGAGGGTGGAAGCCTCCTCGAAGGACATGTGATCGGGGGTTCTCACCACCCCGACGTCTGTCCCCTCCCACAAACTGCGAGTACGCTACCACCTTTGGAGTGAGCACGTGCATGCCTTAGATAACACACGTCCGGGCTCAAGCGTGTGATGGCGGCTGTTTCTTTTCTTCTTATTTCTTGCCATGGTGGCGCACGGCGCCGGCGCTGGCTAGCAGGCAGGACATCTTGACGTCAACTGGGCTGAAGGCGACGGCCCTGGTTTGTACGAGGACCATGTCATCCTCGAGGTCTGGGATCTCGATCTGGTCCAACAGCTTGAGGCGGCCGTGATCGTCGCCAATAATGGCCAGGTGGGCCTTGGGGAGCTTGTCCATCTTGTGGGGGGGTTCTCTATAGTGCTGGTGGTACTGCTGGCGCTCGTATTTGTGTTGGTAGTGTAGAGGCAACGATACAATGGGGGATCACCAAAATCCCGCTCCTGCCTCCCACAGTAGAGCCTGAGCATCCACACCGACCAAGGCTGCCTTAAAATGTACCCAATCTTGAACGTGGATTCGGTGGAGCCAAGGCAACGCGGACGAGGGCGAGACATCAGTGGATCCATCTTCAAAGCTGCAGGCGAAGTGGCCTAGGCTCGAACGATGTCCGGATCATCCCGACGTGGTATCGTTGTTTCGCAAAAGTCGCCGATGTGTGCCTGCTTACGCCCCCGAAATATAAGGCGATGCAGCCGTGTTGGCACATTCTGGGGCTTCCGTGTCGACTTGGGTCGGCCTTATTGACGTCACCAACTCATCCCCGTCTTCTTTTTTCGCTCCTCTGTCAGTTCGGATGGCCTTGGCAGATTAGGATCGGCAGATTAGTCGGTAAGCGTATTTCTTATTTTCTTGGGCCCATCGTTCCATAGTAATTATATGCTCTCTCTCTCTCTCCAAGTGGCGCAATTGGGGATACATCAAGAACGATGCCAACATTCAAGCCACTCGGGACAGGAGATATAGGTGGTTCGTAGAGTTGGTTCCTGATGGTAGTCAGCTCGCTGCTGCTGCTGCATTTTCAGGTAGTCAATGCCGATTGTGTCGCAGAACCACGCCAAGTGACGGGTTTGCTCCATGCTGGCTCAGCCGCCAAGCCAGATTTCAGCTGACGGCTTTCTGGTTTGTGCTACCAATATCAGTGCCTGCAGCATCCTCAATCGAGCCGTCCCGTCTGTAGTGTCATATCGATGTATCACCCTTTCCCCCATGACAGAAGTGCATTTGCTAAGGTAATCCGTTCATGGCGCCAGAGTCTCGCCCATAAGTCGAAGGCCGTGTCTCTCAACCAACCCGCCTTGATGCTGGCTGCTGGGTGGTTGGCAATAGTGGAAGGGGAGAGGAGAATAGTAATGGCAAAGTCCTCAATGGCTCACCATTTGTGTCCCCCTGAAGTAAACGCCATATGCAGGAAAGGATGCCGGTCATCCCACCGCGTCATGGCGGATACGCACCCATTCGGAAAATGTCCGACGTCAGATCTCTCTCTCTCTCCACCCTCTTTACTGCGCGTCATCCGTGTACCCCCTCGGAACTTAGATAACCTTCTCCGTCGTGGCACAGGGGCGGAAGATATGTCCCAGCTTTGCTGTCACGTCGTCGTCCATGTCGCCCACGAAAGTCAGGTATGGGCCTAAACCGGCAGCTCCACAAACAGAGACTCACCAAAGCAAGACAGTGGGGAACAACATCTTGTCCCGGGTCTGGAGATACTGCTCATAATACTGCATACACATCTTGGCATCATACTGAAGTAATTCAAGCAGCACAATGTGTGAGGTTAAATTCTAAGCCTGTGCAAGCAGAAGTAATTATACACATGTGTAGAGCAAACGCTCAGTTATTATACTTGAAGGGAACCGCCATCCATCGTCTCTCAAGCCCTGCGCCGACACTTGTTGTTGTTGAGGGCGTTCACAGCCTTTGCGTGATCATAGACGAGCGGCTGGGCCTCGGCGTCATCCAAGAAGATGGTGAAGCCGTCGTCGTGGTTGCGGCCGTAGGAGTAGCCGGAGTAGCCAAATTGCCAGTACATGTCGCTCATCTTCTCCTCGACCATGATCTTCTGCCAGCCGGAGATGACCTCGGTGCGGGTGACGTTCTCGACGGTGCCCAGGTTCTGCAGGCGGCCCTCGGGGCTGAGCCAGCCGTACTCCTCGTGGACGACGGGCTTGCCAGCCTTGCGCCCGGCGGCGCCGTGGTCGCGGATCCACTGGCTGGTCCAGTCGACCGTCTTGGACCACCAGTCGGGGTACGAGTGGAAGACGCCAAAGTCGATGCTGTCGAGCGAGATCTCGTGGTCAAAGTCGCCGCCATCGGCGCCATTGTACGCCCAGTCGTCCGACTTGATGTTGAACTCGCCCTCGCCGCCCCACGTCACGAGGTGGTTGGGGTCGAGGCTCTTGATGTACACGCTCATCTCCTCGATCCAGGCAGAAAGGACCGCGGGGCCGCAGGTGTCGCTGCGCGGGAGGTTGCGGACGCCGTCGGCGCCACAGCGGGGCTCGTTTGCGAGCTCCCAGGCCATGATCGCCGGCGAGTCCTTGTAGCGCGTCACCATCTCCTTGACGTATGCCTTGAAAGCGTCCTTGATCACGGGGACGGTGTAGAACTGGGCGGCAATCACACGTGTCAGCATCGTCTGAGCCAATTGAGGAAATTGGATAAAGGGGAAGGGGGAACGAACATCATCGTGGTACTTCCCACCGAGATTGACGGTATAGACATCCATGCCCTGTGTCACGGGTTGTTAGTTTCCAGGCAATCATCTTTCGGACGGGGGAAAAAGCAAGCTTACGCCGTAATCTGCCCAGTTGTTGGTGAGCGCGACGATGAGCTTGGTGCCCGTGTTGGTGGCCGCATCGACGACCTTGTCGAAAGGCTCGACATTGATGGTCGGCTTGCCATTGTCCCAACTCTGGAAGACAACTTCGGTTGCGCCAGCTCCCTCGCCGCCGTATTGCGGAAGCCCATTGGGGTCGTAGGTCACGTTCTTGTCGTTGAAGCCCCAGGTGCGGAATACCTTGAGGCCGGCCTCCTGCGCAGCTGTCATGCCCTTCTCAACGTCGTCTTGGGTCTGTGTGGTCAAGTCATCATTAGCCAATCGCGCGGGCCAATCCACCAGGGGTGGGGGTGGGGGTGGGGGGGAACACGAACGCCGCTGAAGGAGAAGTAATAGGCATTGCTCCCTGCGAAGTAGAAGTCCTTCCCGTCAAGCTTGAATTTCTCTCCTTCGACCGTCACGAATCCTGCGGGGACGTCGCGGGTGGCAGCAGCAGGGGCAGCCTGAACTCCACTCAGGAGCATCCCGGCTGGGAGTAGAGAAACGAGATTGAACAGCATTGTCCCGACTACGCAGTTCCGCGCTGATTGATGATACCTCTGATTTGGACGGTGAGGGCCCCAATTGGAGAGAGTACGGGGGCAGCTCCATGATATTTATTCTCGCCATTCTCGCCCTTCTCAAGGGGGAAAACACATGTTCCCCAATTACGTCGGAGGTCCTTGAGCCGCGCTCCCAGGATAGGAATAATCGGCTATTCTTGGCACCGCGCGATCCCACCAGTTAACGACCGGGGTTGTCGTACTAAATTGGTCTTAGGACCCGGCGCCATGGCGAGCAGGCATTGTAAAATTAACCAACTCGGATGTGGGCGGAGGCTGCAGAACCGGCCCGCCTGCCCTGTAACTCAACCCACGTTGTCTGCGCCCTGAAGCCACGGCTGGGACTGTGGTTCTATAAGACGGGAGCCTATCCGGACGTCGTAATTTGGTACCTATAATTAATCCGCACTCCGCTCGGTGTTAGGACCGACCTGATTGATCTCTTGGTCAACCCGGTGAACCGGCCTATAATAATTATCATGCCACGGATATAAGTACGGATACCTCCAACCACAGCCAAACCATTCTCAGAACACCACAAGCCGAGGAAAGTCGTGCCAATTGGTGAACTACCGGAACAACTAACCCAACAAAACCAGTAATGATTGTTTTCTGGTCCGCTGGTTCAAATAATACATACACATTGGGTCAGATAATACGGAGTGCATGTTCGACAACCAACAAAGATGACTTTAGGCTCTGGGCCCAGCCATCTGAGGGGGCCCCTGATTTTGGTGGTATTTTTCCAGGTCTTGGAGAATCCCCACATTCTACGGATCGGAGACGGAACTCTCGGATATGTAGCAAAAGCGGGGCCCCTCGTATATCCACAGGAACAGGAACACGCTGCATCAACAATTATAGAGGGGCGGTCCACTCAGGGACCCATGTAGTTAGACCTGCTCTAAGCAGTAAAATGAAGTCCTCCCCGCATAACCGAAAGAGACTTGAACGGACACGGGACCTGGGGTACTCAGCATCCCTGGATTCCCACTTTCCTTCATATACAGCCTAAATGAGGATACGGTGCCCACAACCACTCTCGATAATCCAACCAAACAACTTGCAACCCCTCACCCCACTGGTGAGTGCCCGAATACCCCCAGTGCCCTTTATAAGGTACCAGTATCATCAATCAGTCTCACATCACTTCTTAGATTTCTTTTCTCCCTTTTTCTCATCATTCACCTTCACGGTGCTCCCATCCGCTTCAATTCGAATCATATAGTCCCTGGCTGGCAATCCTTCTCGTGGGACGCCAGCATCAAGAAGGGCCTGGCGGAAGACTCTCTCGAGATCGTATTTGTACTCGTCGTTGTCGACGTAGGCAACGGAGATTAGTACACAGCTGACTGACGGCTTTCGCGAGGCGTTCTCATTAACTTGGGCCTGGAAGCTGCGGAAGCCGTCTTTCGTTCGCTAGACGAATCGTATTCCATTAGTAGATGATGTCTTGACAGTTGAGGAAATACATAGGGGTGGATAGAATGGTGGGTTCTCACAACTTGCATATCCAAGCGATACTCTCCCTCTGTGTACACGGTTTGTTGATAGTCCACATGAGCACGGCTTGTCAGAACATCGGCTGGGATGTTATCGACCCAGGCAAAATATGTGCCAGGGTAAACTCTATCTTGGCGACCCATATGTGAGTTGAATCAAGAGAAAAGATGGTATGATCCGAAATATATATTGGAGGTATGAGGATCGGATGAAGGTCGACTCCTCTGGACTACTGTGGATGGCCCATGATCCTTATACCACCAGGTGGGCCTTGTTAATCGCTCTAAAACAGACGCTTACCAATACCCAGGCCTGGCGCAAACGAGTCTCGTCGCGAATGGCTGGCAGCATCCCATAACTACTCAACTTTAGGCGAGCCACATCTGTCGAATAGGAGGAGATAGATAACCGCTGGTGCGAAACAACCGGCGGGAAAGATGGTGACATCACAGATCATAGAACTCTACCCTTCATAGTAGAGTCTCATGTCGACGTGATGGCATAACTGGCTGCCAAAGGGTACCTAACCCTGAAACCAACATCTTGACATTGTTCGAAGGTCCTCTCCACGGCGGGGCAGTTGTCTCTGCGCACATGGGGTCTGTGCGTCAGCTTCCTATTTGGAGACAACCAACTGCCCCTGCACGAGAGGTTGGCTGATTAGGTGCAGTCGAACACTCTGCGTCTGCGACATGTTTGTAAGTTCAAGTTTTTTTTTTTTTTTTTTTTTTCAAGGAGAACAATCCCGGTGGTTTGTGGATAGGCGATTCGTCTGTTTGCGTCAGAGGCCAAACATTCTTCGGCGCTTGTGTCTTGCTTTGGGCCTGTGCACACACTTTAGAGGTAATACTTTTCCGTCTGGTTCGTAATTTTGTCGCACTTATCATTTCCCACAATTTTGTGAATTTTCGCTCCAGACGTAATACACGATTTCCAGAATTCGTGGCTATGGACTGGTCAACGGCGGAGTTCATTCGCATTGATGACTGCTCTTGCAAGGACCATCACGCAACTTCATGCAATGGTCCGGTTCCGGCTCATGTATCTTCGATCTCAAAATCGCCACCATGTCACCTGGTGGACAAACAAAAGAGCAGAGTCGTTTGGACAGGCGGAGATTTCGGTCCACCTAAGGCTCAGTGGGTTAAAGACTGGCTATCTGGATCTGCAGATATTAACAGCATCCGTGCCGTTCTCAGACCATTGCTTCCTCTCCTCGACTTCGGTGCTATCGACGACACGGACATCCCGATCACTATTGAGCCTTTAGCCGAGGGTACATGGAACCAGACATTCACCATTTCCAAGGAGAGCGGAGACAGACATTTCGTCTTTCAAGGTTGAATCCGAGGTTGCTACGATGCATTACGTTGCCACGAAAACCACCATTCCAGTTCCACATGTGTACGCATACGACTCGTCCTCCGACAATGCACTTGGGTACGAATGGATCCTGATGGACAAGATTGCGGGATCTTCCTCATTTTATGACCTGCAGTCAGACATGTCGACAGAGGAGAAACTCGATGTTGCTCGGACGGTGGCCGATTGGGTTCATCAACTCCACAGCCTCCAGTTTGAGAGTATAGGGAGTGTTTACTTGGATCGGAATCCGGCAGCAGAAATCCCGGAACCGGAACAAGGCATCGTTTCAACCGAAGGAAGAGTGGCGAGCTCGAATCCACCACCTGCTGCTGCGCCGCCGATCTTGGGAACCTCCTACGCAACCAGACGATAATGAAACGGCAGAATCAACACCCTCTCCCCACTTTCTACTCGGCCCACCCGTCTTGCAAGAATACATGCGGGATTGGAGGCTTGAGTATCCTATCCCCCGCGGGCCGTTTCCGGACTTGCACACTTTGATGCGTGCGCTCCTAGCTTGTTGCGAGGCCGAGGTTCGAGATCCTAGGCAACATCTTCGGGCCCGTTATGACTCTCTTTTGGGTCAGGTTAAAATGGTCGGCGACTACCGTGCCGGGGCGAAATTCGCCGTCTATAGCGTGGACAAAGAATTTAGTGACATTCCCGAGCAAGAACGCGATGCCAGGTTGGACAAAATCAAGTCAACAGCCGAAGCCGAGCTTGCCACTCTGGAGGACATCAACGCTGTCAAGCAAGGAAACGATTTCATAGACTGGGATACGACCCGGTACACCATCACACAGGGACTGGCCATCGAAGTCGACCGGTTCTCCGAGATGCTCGAGCAATGCTCCGATTGCTCCGAGATCCTAGACATCCTCTACAGCCCATCAATATTAGCGACACATGCGGAAACATCTGTTTCCAGCACGATCCTCTTCCACTGGGACATATCATCACACAACATCCTCGTTGACAACAACATGCACCGCGTAACGGCACTCCTGGACTGGGAGCAGATCCACACCCTTCCTCGCTTCGTGATACCAGGCGCGTATCCCCCGGTGCTACAACCTGACTGGGGAATGCAGCCGGACAGTCGATCCCATTTGTCAGAGTGGGATGGAGAGGAGGGCGACGATAAACCACAGGCTCGGCTTCACAGAGAAATGTGCTGGGACAAACAGCTCATGCGCGGGGCGTTTCGCGAGCGTCTGAAGCAGCTGGATTCCCCGTGGCTCTGCGTGATCAAGACGTTCTCCGAGCGGGAGGAGAGGGAAAGGATGAAGGAAGAGACCGGATGGGACGCTGACTCCACTGACTCGGATGATGTTGATGCCGGCCAGGAGACACCCCCTATGATGTGGAGTGATTTGGTAGCTGAGGCATTTCGGATCATCCAAGGTCTTGACGGTGTCGGGATTGACGAGGCAAGAGACTTGTTGGAAGAGTGTAAGAAGTTTGCTGGGCTTGACTCTGACGCTAGTTCCTGACTTCGACTTCAATAATCCTAGCTTTAAATTTGAAAGGAACGCCTCAGGTGAAGTTCAGTTAATGGTATCCAAGTATACATTGCACCAATTTGGTAAAAGAAGGGAAGAAGAGAGGCCAAAATATAAATAAAAGAAGAAGAGGGAAAAGAGTAAAAAGGGAAAGAGGGGAGGGGAGACTTGAGGGTAAAATAAAGGAGATGGAGATGGAGAGCTGGAGAGCTGGAGAGCTGGAGGGTAAAAAATTGGAAAACCCCCAAAAAAAACCGACGCGAGCCCGATTCGAACGGACGCCTCCTAGGAGATAAGATTTCGAGTCTTACGCATTAGACCGCTCTGCCATCGCGCCTCATCAAACAGGCTGTAATTAGCGTATGTAAGCAGCATCTTCCCCACTTTAAACTCTATTTTCCCAACGGTCTCTCCTTAACATTTACTCCACACAAAGCTCTTATTCCCTCTTTTCCAAATCCATCGTTTTCCCACAAAGTCCTTGATACCATCCCGAGTACCTAAGTGGCACGCATCAATGCCTGTTGGCCCTATATTTTGACATTACCAGAGCCATTCTTTCTTGCCTTTGATTACCATCAGTTCATCCTACTTCGCGGTCTCCTTCTTGTTCAAGTTGCGCTTCCCGAACTAGCCCATCAAGGATATAGAATCTAGACGATCAGTCATGTCGTTTAGCCCGGAAAAACATAGTTTTTATTCTTGCAAAGCAAACCAGAGGCCTAGTAAGGACGACGGAGAACCTCGATATACATGTGGAGGCTTGGCTCTTCGAAAAGGCTTCACTGACGACAAGGACATCATGTGACTCGAGCAGGCAGGCAGTTACTTGAGGAAGGGAATTATGATGCTGCTCCATGTCCTCCCTTGCAGGCCATCCCGGCAATCGGCAATCACCCTGGAGACTTCCTACCGGTCCCGTAGCAGGGACTATCATGTGTCCTTCGACGAGGATCGGCTTCAACGTGTCAGGACTATAGCGAAAAGTCAGGAGCACGAAAGAAGCAGTCCTCGAGGCGTGGCTCTTGGACATAGGCCATGTAACATCCACACAGAGCGAAGCAGACGGACCAGCCGATAAACCCAGCTTAAAAATACGAGTGGAGATATCGCTGCATATGCCTCAAAGGCGAGAAACGCTCCACATGGGAACCGGGCAATGGCGAAGTCCGAGTGGGAAGCAGAGCACTCCTTTGGAGGATATAACGTCTGGGTATCCACTACAAGCCATGCGGGAGGACCTCTTGTGGATCTTTGCTATCTCCAGCCCTACCTCCCTCGTGGAACAGACTTTGGAGGCAAGTACATCACAATCCGTCCCGAGTTCTCGGCTGCGGATACGAGACATCCATAAAGTATATGCAACCCAGGCCCTAGACACTGATCTGGTCAGCCGCCTGGCTATCAGGGCGACCGGAACTCGGAAAGACGGTACATCCTTTGACATGTTCCTGCCGTATTCAGAGCAAATTATTTCGCAGACCGGATCTTCGATGGCAAGAACCGGGGGGGTGGATGAGCGTTTTGCCATGGCGATTCATTCCCAAACCTCGACCTTGTGGTCACACAACAGAACTACTGGATAGTTTGCGTTCATAGTCGGCTTGATAGCCACACGTCGGATGATATTCTTCTAGGCTCCCATGTAGGTTGATATGGTAGATGATACAGGCCATTTTTTGTCTAATAAAGTACTGTACAACGTCGCCAGGCTCGTGATGGACCTTACGGCTGGAGTCTGAAACACAAATGGGTCAATGGAGGGATTCAGGTAGAGACCTCTGGGATCGATTGTTGATCTGGAAACCTCAGACGCCTGTGCTATCTTCTACCTCTAGAAATCACACCAAAAGTAGCCCTAAATAGATTGCGCAAGCACTCTGTAATTCCAATCCTTGTCGCCAGCCATGAAATCATCAATGAAGCAATCGGCATTAACGATCCAGCGAGAACTGCGACTAAAAAAAACCGTGTAGCACATCAATACCTCGGAAAAATGAACGCCAGACCAGTCAGTCTTTCCTAGACTAGCAAACTCGCGAAACAAAAATCACGCCAGGCCCATCTGCCAACATTTCAGACCCTAGACAGCGGAAAACTAGGCGACTATTCGCACAGCCCCTCTGTGAGCAGCTACTCGTCTTTCGTATCAGCATTGTCGATCGCTTACAGGTTTGGCCCAGCTAGGATGTGAAGCACCTCTTATTAATTTCCTCTCGACCTCGCTCTGCCGCAACTTCGGAACTTCCTTTGGGTCGAACGAGTAGGTAGACGAAGAATCGCGGGGCTCTGTGGTCTTCATGGGGACTGTCCCAGAAGCCGGCCTCGACTTTGCTGACTTGGTGGAAAACATGTTGAAGCGCCAGGGCATGTTGATGTGATGGGTTGTAGGAAGGAAGGGGTAGGCAGTTGAAAGTAGCTGTAGGCTGTTGGTATCTCGCAAAGATCGCAAAGAAGATAATCGTTGGAAACTTGGAGATGATTTGCTCGATGTTGGTTGGATATGTGTTATTGTTCTTGTTGACTTGAATGAGATGGTCTCTTGGGAGGCTGCACACCAATGGACTTATATACACAGATACTTCGCACACCCAGGTTGAACTCCGAAGCCACGTTAGCCATCATCGGAATTCATGATTTTGGCTGAGAGTTAGGCTAATGATTGGATACACGAATGGGCTCTAGCCTGTTTTAGTACAATGCCGACCGTCGGAGTTGGAAGTCCGATCTTGGTTACGCAACCCCGCGTTAGTCCGAAATCCAAAAACGTCAGCATCGGGGTTTCGATGACGACGCACCTTTCCTCTATTCGACCACAAAACCCTATTCCGAGAAGGAACAATAGCGCGGAGTCGGACTTCGGCCAAGATTCAGCAATCTCATTGTTCATTCCGACTCCGACTTTCCATATTTATGCCGATGCCCTCTTTCCCAGACCCGCCGGTTGCCAGGACCGACTTCTGCGGAGCACCCCGAGCACCCGCCGCGATGGCTCGGAATGACGGCGGCCAGATTGTGGACCTGCAGTTCACGCCGACAAGCCAGGCCCTTACTGGCAAATACCGACGCAATGGGAAGCTGCAGTCCTGTGAGCCTTGCAGGAAGAGCAAGCTCAAATGTGATCATGTTGTTCCCGCTTGCGGGAGGTGTGTCAAGAGAGGTCGGGATAACCAGTGCGTCTATCATCCGAATCCCCTCTCGCGGGTCAGTTTACCTTTCATATTCCCACCCCCTTGAGAAACCCGCCGACATTTGTCCAACTGATGGGCAATATCAGCGTCGGCAAACACCAACACCAACATCTATTCCGACCCCATCGACGTCCATCATAAGCGACAGTCCCGGAACCCCCTCCCAGTCAGTCGAACCATCGCATCCGCCATGCACAAGCGATGGCTCCTTCCCAGACGCTCAACTCCCGCCCGCCGTGGAAGTACGGGGTCCGGCGCGCAGGGCGGCATCGGCCCCGCCGCGGGACTCTCGGGGCGAGCTAGTAGTGCGTGGGAATGCCGGTTTCTTCGGCGCGACATCCTACTCCTGTATCTTCTCGGAAGGGCTAGGAAATCTAGAAGCAGCCTCTGCGGGCCTGGAAGCGCCACAGACGCTGGATATGACCGTTTCGGAAGAGCGCATCGCCAGGGGCTGTCAAGTGCTCGCCTTTCTCAAGGACAAGCCCATGATTAACAGGTTTGTATCCCGATGGTATGAGATCTGCGAAGGGGCGGCAGGGGTCTGCCTCGAGTTCATCATGAAGGAGTGGCTCATGAAACTGGGGATCCATCACGGCGAGGTTCTGACAAGCCAAGACCCCGAGAAAATACGTCGCCTGTGCGAGCTGATATGGCGGAACACACAAACCCCCCTGGTCTTCAGCCGCAAGACAACGGCCTTGGAGTGGGCACATCTGAGCACCGGACAGAACCTCAGATGGGAAGTCATCGGGCTCATCGCCGCGGTCGTCGGGCTGTGCGCCAGCTGTCTCGACCCATCCGATCGATTCCTGAGCTATCACAAGGTCACGCGGTATTCCATCTCGAAGAAGATGAGGGAGATTTCAAGCACCTGTCTAAGTTTCTGCCGTGATTGCGAGGCGATCGACGACATGTTCATCTGGCTCCTTCTGGAGGATGAATGGCTCACCAGCGCCATCAAGGGCGACAGGAGCTACGCCACATACCGGGCATCTGGCGAGACGAACAACGCCGTCCTCGCCATGGGCTTGCATCAGGGGGTCAAGGCCAGCGACAACATCCCCTTCTTCCTCGCCCAACTGCGCAAGAGGGCCTTCATGGAAGCGTACAGTGTCGAGGTCAGCATGGCGACATTCCTCGGGCGCCCACCGCGACTCTCGCACCGCTATTGCAAAATCGACCCGCCGCTGGATTTGACCGACCACCAGCTCATTCTCGAGGGTCCCGAGCTCGACGCAGCGCTGGCCGGCCTCGACAAGAACGGCTACAACCTAGCCGGGCGGCTGAACCGCATTACGTGCATGAGGACCTACCTCGGCCTCGCCCCGAGGAGAGAGGACATCCTCGACCTGGCGCTCGGCGACTACAGCCCGGAGGAGATCCTCCAGCGTGCCGAGGTGATCCAGCGCAAGAGCGAGGAGCACTGGGCCAGCCTGCCGCCGTTCATGGCGAGGACGCGCGACTCGGCCTTTGACTTCTCCAAGACGAAGCCGCTGGAGACACTGTACAGCAGCTCGGTGCGGCAGGGGTCGCGGGCCAACGAGCTGCTCCTCCAGCGGGTGCTGATGCGCCGAGCCGGGGCGAGCCCGGAGAAGCTCGTAGGCGCCGCGCGGGACATCCTCCGCGACATCCTGCAGATCACCCAGCGCCATGACATCGCGTCCATGTTCCGCATGGACTTCACCGCCCTGCTGGTCGCCCACGGCCTGCGCAGCGGCGCCATCATCGCCGTCGAGCTGCTCAAGCAGGAGCAGCAGCAGCAGCTGTCCTTGGCCCACCACCACCACCACAACCACGGGAACCCGCCCCCGCTGCTTCCCCGCAGCCAGACCATCCAGGACCTGTCCGTCTTCGCTGCGAGGCTTGGCGCCGTCGATCCCAGGGACGGGGCCTTTGGCATGTGCGACCAGGGACGCAAGGTCATCACCCGGATCCTGGACAAGATCCTAACTCCGTGTCCCCCCGCTGCTACTGCTCCCAGCTTACCCCCTCCCGCCTTCCGTCATCCTGCACAGGCGCCGCAGTACCAGCAGCATCAGGGGGGGCTCGGGCAGATGGATCTTGATGGCCCTGCGGACCGGGGGGCGCAGGAAGCCGGCCTCGCCGTGCCGGACATGGCGGGCGGGGGGTTGGCTGACTTCGGTATCGCCATCGAGGCTCCCTTGAGTCTGGGGCATGATACCGATTTTATGCAGTGGCTTGAGAACATGGACTGGGAACGTGCAGACACGTGGACTGGGTTTTGAACGTCTCTGTAGCTGTTCCATTTTCCCCGACTTGCTTGTTGAGCGTGCTTTCAATTGTGTTACCACAATATCGGGATTCAGCCTTTCGGTTATTGGTGTTCACGGAGAGGGTTATCGGGCTTTAGACACGGATTTTTGGTTAGCCCTATGGCGTTTGCGAGGATCTTATCAGTAAGAAAGTTTCCCTATCTTGGCACACCTTCTTGCACAACACACCAGCAATGCCACACCTTACTGGGGCAGTGTTCTTCAGCTTCTCCGTACGTGGGACCCCGCCTGTACAGCAGGTCCGCAGACATGGACCGGAAAGACGCGTTCGGGCGAACCGCTCTCTACTACGCAGTGCGGAACTAGCACCTCGATGTGGCCTAACTGCTCGAGCGCAAGAGGTGGCACGTTTCCGACGAGGTTATCCAGAAGCATGTGGCGGACTCGAGGGTTGACTTCATGGCGACCGCGGAGAGCTGAAGATCAACTAATTCCCTTCCATTTAATTTGTCCTCATGATGAGTGGGAGTTAATCGTTTGGGCTCTAGCCCGTTTCCATGACGACTGCACCGTTGACGTAATTATTTAAGCCCCTCCCAAGTGAGTTCCAAAAGCACTCGTCATTAAGTCTTGTCAACGAGTCACATCCAAGTTTGGGGGTAGTCAAATACGCCTGCTTACGATTAAGATGACGTCGACAATGAATCCAAATCACCAACTCCGTCCTATCTCAGCATCCCAACAACACATTTCCGCACTTTGCGTTAACTTACCATACCGTTGAAGACCTGTCTAACTTGAATGAACAACGCAACATGCCATCCCCGGGCAGAGACCATTACATCCAAACTTCAGGGTCGACAGACCCCGTTTGGGTGCACAACGACCAATACTCGAACAGACCTCAATTCCGACCCTTGATAGAGGATATCGAGACGGACGTCTGCGTCATCGGCGCGGGCATTGCAGGAATCTCGGTCGCCCACGAGCTGGTCGCACGCGGCCACGAAGTAGTCCTCATCGAAGCACGCGAGACCGTTTCCGGAGAGAGCGGCCGGACTAGTGGCCATTTATCAAACGCGCTTGACGATGGATACACCAATATCAAGAAGAAGCACGGCAGGGGCGGAGCCCAAGCTGCCGCAGATAGCCATACCTGGGCGCTGAACCATGTCGGCGAGGTGGCGAGGAAGCATGGAATCGAGTGCGAGTATCGCCATGTCCCCGCGTATAAGATCTCCCAGTTTGAGCGGGGCGACTCTCACCACGGCAACGACGTAGAGGCGATCAAGGAGGAGGTCGAATTGGCAAAACAACTAGGTCTCGACGCCGATTTCCGCGAGGGTCTAGCGGTGAAGGGGTGGACTGGCAAACCCGACCAGCGCGACGGAGCCGTTTTCGCAAACCAGGCAGCTTTCCATCCCACCTTGTATCTCGTCGGCGTCCTGAACTGGCTCAAAGAGCAGCCAAACTTTCGATGCCACACCCTCACGCGCATGTTGACGATCGAGGAAGGGACCAAGGGGATTCTGGGCATGGGTGGCAAATCTGTAACTGTGAAAACCGAAGGGGGCAATACGATCCAGTGCGAGCACGCCGTCGAGGCGACGTGCGTCCCGCTTCAGAAGCTGAGCATCATTGCCGAGATGTCCTACAACCGCACCTACTGCATCGCAATCCGCGTGCCCAGGGGCTCCGTCGAGGACTGCTTCATCTACGACTCGGCCGATCAGTACAAATACGTCCGCCTGACGCCGTGCGACGAGCGGGACGACTTCCTGATTGTGGGCGGCTGCGACCACAAGGTCGGCCAGGAGAGCCCGGCGGGCCGCTTCGAGGATCTCGAGGCCTGGACCCGCGAGCGCTTCGCGCAGGCCGGGACGGTGGACTACAGATGGAGCGGACAGGTGTACGAGCCCGTCGACTTGGTCGCCTTCATCGGCAAGAACCAGGGCTGCGAGCGCATCTACGTCGTGACGGGCGACTCCGGCAACGGGCTCACGCACGGCGTCATCGCGGGCCGGCTGCTTGCCGACGAGATCGAGGGCAAGGAGAATCCGTGGGCGGGGCTGTACTCGCCCAAGAGGATCCTGTCCATTGCCAAGTCTGCGCCCGAGATGCTGGCGCACGACGTCCAGATTAACACGCAGTACAAGCGGTTTCTGGAGTCGGACATAGGCGATATCGAGGATCTGGCCCGCGGGTCGGGTGGCGTGCTCAATAAGGGCTTGTTGTCGAAGCCGGTTGCGATCTACAAGGATGAGGATGGACAGGTCACCAGGATGAGCGCGCTGTGCCCGCATATGAAGGGTATTGTGTGCTGGAATCCGGTGGAGAAGTCGTTCGATTGTCCTGTGCATGGGAGCCGGTTCTCTGGCACTGGAATATGTGTCGAAGGGCCGGCGAAAGCAAATCTGCCGCAGGAAGCGTGAGGGAATAAGTTAAATATCATGGCCAATTTTCCATCTAAGCGATCGTATAAGTTGGGCTAGCCCTCCAAGAGTCCACCGTAGAACAGAAATAGCCACAGCAAGCAAGGTGGCACACTCGATGAGCAACAAGTGATGGCAAGAGTCATGCCAAAGACGGGCCCCGAAGATCTGATGCAGCAAGTACCTCCATATTACTCCCAAGGTGGCTCGCTTGTACCATGTTCTCAGGTCCCACTACTTGGGGCACGAGCTCGCCCAGTTGTTGCCAGAACACACCGACGAAGTCCCGTAGTCGCAGCACCCACCGGAAGAGTTGCACTCGAAGATGTCTCGGGTGAACCAGCCATCCCCGGCGGCGGTAACGGCAGAGCAAAGTCCGCAGTACGAGCCCTGCTTGGTGCCCTTCTTGCACTTGCACCCGTTCTTCTTGCAGGCGCGCTTCTCGAGGCCCCGGCCTTCGACATCTCGGACCTCCACCTCTGCATCCCTCTTGATCTTGGCGTCGACCTCGGAGGCTGTAACGTGTTAGAAGAGGCATTGGGGAGTGGATATTGGCGGGTCGGGCACTAACAGATGCTCCCCTCCACCGCGACGGCAGAGGCGGCCGCGAAGAGCGAGGCAAGGAGAATGGCGGACTTGATGAGCTGCATGGTGGCTGATCTGGTGACTGAGGGAACTTAGCACTGGCCCTAAACACGACTGGGAGAGGGGAGGGCGAGAGAAGGGGTGTGCCTACCTTGGCAAAGACAATGCGAGTATGCTAGAGGATTGGGAAAATGTGCTCGAGTGATGATGGGAATCAGAGACGTGGAGGAGGGAGGGAGCACCCGTACTTCTTATACTTCCTCAACCACCTCGATGGGTAGGTAGTGCTACACGAGTTTATCGACCATACGCGAGCCGTCGAGACTATTTTGAGGTGTCTGGTTTCACAACATTGAGAGTGTAAAGCACGGTTAGGAGTTGAGAGCTGAATGGTCAGAGGCTAGAACCCGATGAACCCGGTAGCCAAGAGTCCCGTTGTCGGTGATTGGGTCGTTAACAGACTGCATTTGCCTTCTCAGATATCTATTCCCGCAGCTGGGGGTTGAAGGTGGCATTCTCGAGTAATCACAGACAACATTAAGCCGCCCATGCTCCTAAACTGGAGTAATCTTCAAATGCAATACAGGCAGCCTGCAACATCCCGCCTGCAACGGGAACGGATATTGAGTAGACAATATTCTCGAAGTAGGGGAAATTCGGCGGTGTAACCGAACATGTTGGTCGGGATCGGGATGTTGAATGAGATCTTATCCAGGGACTTCCTCTGAGAAGTTGTAATCATCGGCCGCAGCAATTACAGGCGGCGGGATTGTTGGCCCGGGATACACTTTGAACGTTCTCCAAAGGGTCAATCAGCGTATCATTTTCGGCTGACTCGAAGAGTCTAGTCTCACGACGGGACGATGAACGATTAATATATCGGAGGTAGCAACCGGGAGAGAGACCCAGGTAATGAGTAGTATCGGCACACCATCTTTGAACATAGCGTTCCATGTTACTGGCTAGCCTCCTCGCCTAGACAGGGCGGGGTAGTCCCGGATATATGCCAAACTTTAAATATAGCGTCGAGAGTACCCGGTTTCTCAGAAGTCGGGCACCATATCCAGGCTATCCTCCGAGTTCCGAGAGTGTGAATGTAGGGAACTCGGTGAGTATCATGATGCGGCGAACTAAGTTGGCATTCAGCACCGGTCATGCTGTCAGGAGTGCCTGTATTTGTAGTGGCCGCCGCTGTCCCTCTGGGAAGTTGCTGATACTCAAATCCCCACCAAAGACAAATCTTACTGCGTAGCCAGAAGAGCATCTGTACTTAGACTTCAATTTTGGGGCATCGTCATACCAACATTGGTCTCATATGCGCCACGCATAACGGGATAATTATCCCCAGGGGGTGAAATGGTTAATTTAACCGAGTAGACACTGAGACTTGCAAGGGCAAATTGCTTACCCACCATCTCGGGATGGATTGTTTTGCCGGTGGCCTGGCCTGAAAACATGGTCGGCAGGCGAAGATGAAGAGCTGGCGACAACCCGATATCCAGCCCCATCTGTCGCCTTGTAATTATAGTCCTGTCCAATTCCGTTGCTTCGCGGTTGCTCCGTGGTTTTGAAGAGGGAAGGAGGGATATGACTTCAAGGATAGAATGTGTGGACGAGCCAAGTCAGCAAAGGTGCCAACGCAAGGTGCCAATGCATGTATTAATAATGCAACTAATCATCGCCAGCAGCGTTACATTTTTCGTGTTGGGGTCGTTAGGTACGTCCAACGCATCGCTTCCACCCGGGGTCCAGAAATTCCAACCGTATCGCTAGTTCGCTACTCTACCCGGGGATACTAACACGCTCATTCACCTGCTCTTGGCGATCTCCCTCTCTCCTTGCGCTACCGTTTAATCAATGGGCTCCTCCTACCTCTTGGCGAAGCCTCTCCAAACCGTGCCCGGCATGCTCCGCGGGCGCCCTCTCGATTCCGTTGTGGGCCTGCGGGCGCGCTTGCTGGGAATCTTCCTCCATCGTGGACGCGGCGTCTTGTCGAGTGGCGGTTTTGTCGAGACCTTGAGGAGCAGCCTCTCGATTCCCCATCTCAGCCTCCAGACTCGGGCCTCCTGCGGCTGGTGCTGACGCCGGTGCCGGTGCTGCTACGCCGCTCGGAGCTGCGTCATGCCCTTCATCTCCCGTCGGATCGCCTTCCGGGGTAGGCACTTGGTCTCCCGCCTTGGGCGCCGGCGCTACGCCGCGAGTCTTCGGCCGGCCAGACCGGGCGCCGACCGTAGCGGTCTCGGCGCGAATTGCGGACCGGATTTGGTGCTTTGTGTAGCCGGTTATGGTATGGATCCGGGCTGGATTGAACTGGGCGTCGTAGTAGAGGGTTCGTACGCGCTGCCGTTGCTCAGTGGTGAGCTGTTTCGTGCCTGAAGTCCCCTTTGGCCTGCCCATTATGTCGCCTTGTTTTACCACCTGCTGCGTACTGGGAGAGGACACGTTTTCGAAATTTGCGCGAGGCTTGGCCTGTTTTGGCGGAGGGGTTGCCGAGCACGGACCTCCGGTACTTTGCAGGGGTTTCTTTTTAGGTTTTTTTTTCTCTTTTTCTTTTTTTTGTGTGCAGTGAGGAACAAGATCAAGCTTCAAGCATTGGGCGCCCCACTTGTCCGCCTTGGCGCCGGGTTTGCCAATTGCGGAGCATACAACAAATGCCTGAGGGCAGCGCTACAAAAAGCCCGGTCGCTCCAGGTATTGTTGGCGTAATTATTTGCCTACCAGACGACAAGCGGCGGCCTTCTATTTGTTGATGGCACTCTTTGAACACTCGTCGTGCCACAATGGGATCGGTTGGGATGCGATGGCCTCAAGATAGATCTCGCAATCTAGAAGATGGCAAGTTCCACCTGTCTCGAACTCGTGCATCACGGCGGCGGCTCACGCGACTGCAACAGGCAAACCTTTGAGGGAGCACCGGGAAGAGAATAAATGAACGATGCCTAACTACTTGAACAGTAGTATCATTGAACCCGAGCAAATCTGGGAGGACGATTTAAGCAAAGAATGCGGGGGTGGAGATGCTACCCCGACAAGGCGGGTAACGTTAAGCTTTACGTTTCTCGATGCATCAACTTCTTTTTTTCCCCAATTCCCACGTCAACCAATGTTCCCCCCTGGGTTGCTGTTCCTTTAATCCTTCCGCGGGGTAAGCTTGGCGTACAGACCAGGCTTCATCCAGTTGTTGTAGACAGTCAAGCCAGGGTAATCCTTCTCCGGGTCCCATGCATCGTGGTTACCATGGAAGGCAATATCGTTGTGCCAGAGCAGCTTTCCAATGATCAGGCGCATCTCCATGTAAGACAAACTGTTTTGTTATGTCAGCATCGAAACACCGCACACCCTCAAACTAGTTAGCTCCATTACTCACTTGCGGCCGATACAGCCCCGGGGGCCAAGAGAAAAAGCATTTGAGGCACCAAACTTGTCTGTGCTGCCCTCCTTGTTAAGCCACCTCTCCGGAAGGAACTTGTAAGGGTCCTTGAAGTTCCTCTCGCTGTGTGTTGCGCCCCACATGGGGACCGACACGGTGGTCTGCGACGATTGTCAGAAAGTTGGCCATGCACCCGACACGTAACCCCGGGGCGAAGATAATTATCACTCACTCCTCCGGGAATAAACTCTCCGTCAACGGTGTCGCCGCCTTGGGGCACAGTTCGCACGAACCCAATCGGCGCGCTGGGGAAGATGCGGAGACCTTCATCAATCACCGCCGTCAAGTAGGGCAGCTTCACCAGATCCTCAAAGTTGAGATCTGCGTCGGACTTGAAGTTGGACCGGATCTCCTCGGTTAGCTTGTGCAAGACACGTGGATTGCGGAGAAGGTGGTTGAAAAGACCGGCGAGGAAGCCTGCTGTCGTCTCGGTTCCAGCAATACTGTCAGGGGTTATTAGCTGTGCGTAACAACGGGGTCACACATGGCTCTAGAGACATGCCTTACTTACATGAAGAGAGCACCGTTGACGATGACCTCGTCCTTGTTGATGGCACCGCTGTCAGATTGCTTCAGGAGGTAGTAGAGAAAGTCCTTATGGTCTGAGGAAGATTGGGACATGCGCCTGGACAGTGACCGGGTTAGCGAGTCAGCTCCGGGGATTCGGCAAGCAGGCAGGCATACTTCAACATCTTCTCCCTACTGTACTCGAGGTGCTGGATTCGCGTCTTGCGAATGCGGTCGGGGATTAGCTTCAACAGCAGCTTCTGCATGGTGCCATTGGCTTGCGCAATTCTGCGGGTAGCCTGCTCGAAAGCACCGGCCTTGATGGAAGCACTGATGAGGGGAACCCAGAATCGGAAATCCTCTATTATCGCAATGCGTTAGCAACCTTCGCGAATTTCTGACACCAGTGCCGGTATCGGTGGGGACTGACCGTTGGTTAAGCAGCCGAAGGGCTCGCCGAGCGCCATGTCGCCGATGATATCGAAAGTCGTGTAAGCGAACCAGTCAGCCAAGTTGACAGGGGTTCCAGTCCTGGCAAACCCCCGCATCTTGTCTGAGAAGACATTGATGTACGACTTGACAATGTACTCCTGCTCGAGAAGAGCCTTGGTGGAGAATGCATGAGACAAGGCTCTTCGTTGCCGAGCATGGTCCGCGTCGTTGGCCATCGTGATGGTCGAGACTCCTGGGACGGACTGGATGCTCCCGACATGGATGGGGTCCTTGTGGAAGTTTTTGTGGCCAGGCCGGCTGCCATAGATGTCCTTCCAGGCAGCTTCATTGTCGAAAGAGAGCTCGTTGGGAGAGACTCGGACGATGGGGCCGTACTTGTCATGGCACGCCTTGATCCAGAATGGAATGCGGCCACGGAGAAGTGCGAGTACATTGGGGAACTGGTCCGGGTTAGTTGAATTACAGCGTTTACATCGCTTCCAAATGGCCTACCGGGGAGACTCTTGCAAGGAAGGGGCCCGGGAAGCGAGCCAGAGGGTGGATATAGAGGTTGTAGATGACTTTCCAGACCATCCATAGTGCTGCCTAGAACAAAAAAGCGCTTGTTAACGCCTGATATGGCTTCCAGTGAAACTCCTCACTCATGCACTTACCCCTACTACAGCAAGGACTCCAGCAAATGACGCCAGGCCTACATCGGTAGTCGCCGATGTCATTTGAAGGACAGCCATGGCGAATCCGCCTCTCCACCACTTTGCCTCGGGATTGGCCGAAGGGTTTTCAATATGAGAAAGACCGTGCTGATGTCCGGGAGATCCTAGAGAGTATCCAACCTCGGGCGACTCGATAATATGGCAATCGCCCAGTCAGAGGAGATTTGGGGGCTTGGTTTGGGGGTTTCGGAGTCCGATGGCTCAACAAATTGGGTCTCATGGATATTATTGAATTCGACAGTTGAGGAGAGTCGAATCCCAAATGTCCGAAATGTCCCACATGTCAATTGGGCTACTGGATGCGAATCGGGCGATCATGACCGATGGTCTTGCTTTCCACGCAGGCAATTGTTTTCCGCCTCCTCCTCATCCGGAATGTATAGTCCGCGTGGGAGAGGAGGCGGTGTGGGGAGCCATGGTGGACTGCACGTAATCTGTACAGCACTGTACCTTAGGTGTGGTAAAATCCCCTCAATGGGCACTCCAACAAGTTTCCCCCCAGAATAACCTCTTAACACCTCATTTCCCCGCACACAAATGGAGAATGGGATCGCTTCTCCAACATCTCCAAATTCCCAACAAGGCAGGTGTTGCGGGGTCAAGACAGGGACAAATAAATGCTGTCACTTCCAACATCGCGTCAGCAATGGGCAGAGAGGTTCCTTCCAAACCAGAGAACTGATGATAATGTCAAGGCGGTGCGCCGGGTGGGAGATACGGCGAAGTAAAATCAGAGACTGGAATGTTCGGGGTCGGGTTGACCTGGACTCAGTTGGGCATGGCATGTTGTTGATGTTGACTTGGACATGAAGGGTCACGACACCTTAATGCTAATAGCAGCTTGACATCTCCCCCGGGAACTGTATTCCCAAGGATCAGTCCGCTCGTGAGCGATTACCCGAGCATCTGCGCCAACTCAACTACCCCCCAACTTGGTTTCCCCAAAAACAGAATTCACCCCGTCATCAATTTGAGCCAGTCCTTGCTCAGTTCTGATAGCCGCGGAAGCCAACCCTTTGCCATTGCACCGTGTCAATCCACGTCCCCTTCCCGGTAGACGCGCACATAATATCCATCACATCATCATCAAGATGGGCAGCGTTGTAACCTAGCCTTCGACCCCTGACCCGAGCCCGAGCTAACAATCCACCAGCCCAAACCGTTCAACCTCCCCGTAAACCACGTCGCTATTTCGGTCCCAGACTTAGACGCAGCCATAGCCTGGTATTCGACCATCCTGGGCTTCGTCCTCATCAAACCTCCCCGAGTCTCCGACCGCGCCGTGACCCCCGACGCGGCCATCTTCCAGATCTACCCCGGAGACCTGCGCCGAGTGCGCATCGCATGGCTCAGCTCGGGCAACGGCGTCGGCGTCGAGCTGTTCGAGTTCCAGGACCCCCGAATCCAGCCCGGCAACGAGGCCAGCTTCGAGCGTGACTACAACCGTGGCGGCTTGTTCCACATGGCCGTCACCGTCCCGGATGTCCAGGCAATGACCGACAGGGTTGTCGCGAGCGGCGGGAGGAAGATCGGGGCCGCCGTGACGGTGTTCCAGCACCGCGCGGCGTATATCCAGGACCCGTGGGGAAATGTGGTTGAGCTGCTGGAGTGCTCCTTTGAGCAGTTGATGTCAAACAGGACATAACACACCTTGTTTGTGAAAATTGGCTTGGTAAAAATAATCCTTGACCCCAAACCCGAAGGAGGTGATATTTTGCAAACATCATTGGGCAATAAAAGGAAACTTTAGTGAGGCTAGCAAATGGGCCACATGACGAGTAGGCGTGACTTGTATCAAAGAGGTTGTCGTTAGGTATTGAATGAAAGCGTGTGATCACACCACCATGCATTCCATTTGGGTCCTTTCATCCACATTCCGCATCCGGCACTCCTGCCCACCAACCCATACGCCGAGATGCTGAGATGCTGAGATGCTCCACGAGTTCCTTTTTCTTTTGGAACGATACGTCTTCCGTAAGGCCGCTATGCACTTCTATTGCATCCTCCCGTACTAGTCTTTGATGTTCCGTTTTCGTCGACCTTGGTAAGACTCGGGCAAGCACCGAGACGCTGGGATGCTGACCAGGTCTAGCAACGAAGTCCTCTTCTCGGTAGTTCTAAAGCAGGTGGCTTCTGGCCCCTCACCTTCTCTCGCCCCTCCGTCATTCACAACACACGATCTTCAACGGTGCATGAACCGCTTGCTTTTACACTCAGCCAAAAACACACAAGGCACACCAGAGACAGCACACCGCCTCTCTCAAAGCCAAAGACAGCGAAAATGGCCACGCTTCCGACCCTCCCCTACTTCGCGCCACCAGACCGCCTGCCTGCTCCACTGCCCACCGTTGCCGAAATAATGGCCGTGACGCCGCCGCCCGAATTATTCCCAAGAAAACACCCGGTCGTTCGCGTCGGCAAGCACGTTATGGTCAAATACGGGCGGGGGGTGCGCCTCCAGGAAGGCGAAAACATGCTCTTCGTCCAGCAGTCCTCGAACGTGCCCGTCCCGACCCTCTACGCCCTTTTCCACGACGAAGAGACGGGCAACAACTCCATTGTGCAGGAGTACATCCCGGGCCAGAACATGTTCAGGTACTGGGACACTCTCGATGCAGACAAACGCTTGAGGACGATGCAGTAAATATCTACTCGATCGAATTCTCGCCGGACAGCAGGTCACTTGCGTCTACCTCAGGTCAGACTGTCAAACTGTGGGACGTGGCAACAGGGAAGTGTGAGAGAAACAGCTTGACAGGAACAGGTCTAGAACCAGAGCGGTTGCGTTTTCTCCCGACGGCCACTTACTTGCGTCTGGCTGCCTCCAAGCGGTCGAGTTCTGGGACCGAGCAGTCGGGCAATGCATACGGACGTTTGCGGGTCACAGCTCACGCGCCGAGGCAGTGGCATTCTCGCATTGGTGACCCGCCAGGCTATCAAGGCTTATGATCTCGCCACTGGGCGCTGCAGACAGACGTTAAAGGTCCAGGGGCACGCGATCCTCTCGGCTGCCTTCTTGCCCGATGACAAATCACTCATGTCAGCAGCCCGCGAGAATGCGAAGATCTGGAACCTGGCGACGGGGAAGTGTATACTGACGCTCGGTAATCAAAACGGGGTAACCATGGCGGCCACGCTCTCGCATGACGGCCAGCCGCTCGCAGTTCTGTCCCACTTCAGGGACAGCTTTCGGCTGTGTCATCCGACAACCGGACACTGCATCCTGAAGGCCGAGGGCGAGGATGCCATATTCTCGCCTGACGGCCAGTCTGTGGCCACCACATGCGGCGATACAATCCTGCTCTATGATCCAACGACAGGCCGCTGTATGCAGACGCTTGGGGGCCATGACGACTATGTCATGTCGGTTGCCTTCGCGCCAAACGGCCAGTTGTTGGCAACGGCGGGCTATGATGGCAAGGTCAAGCTCTGGGACCTGGCGACATGGCGCTGGAGGCAGACGTTGAAGGGCTCTTTCGGGAAGTTCATATCCGTCATATTCTCCCCCGATGGCCGTCTGCTTGCGTTTATATCCGGCAAGGCGGTCCAGCTATGGGATCTGGCACAGGGGGGGTTGATCAAGACTCTTCAAACCCATCAGTTGAGTGTTCGGGCAATCGCCTTCTCTCCTGATAGCCAGTCGCTTGCGTCTGCATCTGGCCAGGCCGTACAGCTCTGGGATATAAAGACAGGGCTCCGGAGTCAAGAGTTCAGTGAGGAGTTCAGTGGCCACAGCTCAAGAGTCCAATTCTCTTCCGATAGACAGTTGATTGCGACTACATCGGACGATGAGGCCTTGAGGCTTTATGACGCGGGGACAGGGCGCTGCATCCTGTCACTCCGGGGCAGACCGTGCCCAATTATTGCATTCCCGTCCAATAGCCAGTCGTTTGCAATCCACCATGGTTGGGATGTCACACTCTACAATGCAGCGACACGGCGCCCCACCCAGAAACTCGAGGGCAAGAAATCAGGCGTCACCGCACTTGTATTCTCGTTCAATGGCCGCTTGCTGGCCTTGATATCGCGGACCCAGTCCTACAGGCGGTTGGAAGAATGGGAGTATATTATGGGGCCCCGGGTCTGCGACGTGATAGATCATCAAGTCGAGGTCTGCGATGTAGAGACGGGGCACTGCACATGGAAGCTCGACTATCGCCTGGAGCGTATCGGCGCCATCGCCTTCTCACCGGACAGCGGGTCGCTCGCATTGATAGCCTGTGACAGAATCAAACTTTATGACCTCGCAACAGGGACTATCACGAGGGACCTCTATGTCAACGTCGAAATCGAAACAAACGGTTCCATCGCGTTCTCGCACGATGGCCGGACGATCGCGGCCGTATGTCGTCATGATACGGTCACGCTCCGCGATCTGGCGTCGAGGACTCGCTCGGAGACGCTCCTGGGCCACGGAGTCGCCATCAGCTCAGTCGCCTTCTCGGAGGACGATCAGATGCTTGCGTCGGCGTCCATCGACGGCGCCGTCAAGATTTGGGCCTTGGCTACGGGGAAATGCACACAGACGTTCGAGTTGGGAACTCTGGTAAATTCTCTGGCCTTCGATACTTCCGGTTCGTGTCTCCACACGAATGTCGGCATCATCGCTCTCGATCCGGATCCCACACGACAGCCTCGCCGGCAAGGCTACGGCGTCAGCCCGGACGGGACTTGGATCCTCCGGGACGAGGAGAACATCCTCTGGCTGCCCCCAGAGTATCGGCCGGGGTGCGTGGGCGTAGCCGGCTCGACCGTCGCCATCGGCTGCCCGTCGGGACGTGTCCTGATTCTCGGGTTCGCGGGCGACGGACATCGAACGGCAACTTGATGAAGAGGCTACCATAGAAGTGGCCATCACCCTTGGGAGGTAATTAGACAAAGCGTGGGGCCATATGGCCGAGAATGTTTGTAGACCTGGACTGGTAGCTCTATAATAAACCTCCTAACCCAAGTTGCCCTCTTCCTTCAACTTATCGGACACAAGCATCAAAGTAGGGAAGGAAGAACGAAAATAGAAGACGTAGCAACTGCTCCAACGGCGAAGCCGCTGTGCTTGAGTACAGAACCCGCAGAACCAGAACACCCATCTCCTCCCTTATGCTTTGCCGCGTCGTCCCCGCCCTCGGTCTCCCTCAAGCCCGAACCGCTACCGGAAACACCCCCACCAAAACTGCCGCCTCCAGAGCCCCATGGGTCCCCGGGTCCCGCTTGCACCCTTTACCCCCGCCGTCCCCACCACCTCCATCTATGGTCGCCGCCGCAGACGTGCTGGTGCAGCTACCTCCTCGTAGTAGCCGCCCCTCCGACGTGCCCATTCCTTCTCGTCGCCGTCGTCGTCACACCGCCCCCGCCCCTCAGCTTGTCCTTCCCGTCAATGACCGTAATTGCCGTCATCCACCGGGCGCTCTCGGCGGCTTGCAGGGCCGTTCGTGTACGCGGCAGCGGCGGCACTCGTCGAAGCGGACTCGCCGAGGGCGCAGAGGTAGGCCCCCATCGTCGCCGAAGTCGATGCGCATGGCCCCCGGGCCGTAGGTCGGCGTCACGCCGGTGAAGTCGTTGCCGCAGTGTATGGGGCGCGGAAGTTCGTCTGGCAGGCGAGGAGGTATTGTGTCTCTATTGGCGCGGCGGTGATGACTGACTCGTAGATGTGGTAGGGCGTGGGGGGAGGAAGACGGTTGTTGTGCTAGGCTTTTGGCCTGTTGGCCCTGTACGAGAGGTCCGGTGGCGGCTAGAAGATAGAATAGAAGGGTGAGGGGAGGCGCCACTGTTGGGGTGAAAACTTAGGGGCTGGGCCTGCGCCTGGCGTGATTGGCAAATTTCGAAGACCTCCTGTCAAGGGCGCCGTGAAGTTGGTCCCTGATAATTCATTTGTTCCTGGTCGTCTATGGTAGCGTGAGGCCTCCTTGTAAATGTACAGTACAGACTTATGGGAAGAGTACCTGGCAAGAGTAGGGCTTGGGTATTAAACGTTGCCTCATGCTTAAGCTGGAAGAGACAGAGCAGAGCTGAAACTCTCACCATCAGAGCTATTTACACATCTGCCGTCTCATACTTGCTCCTGGCTCTGAGTCCCTTCCCCCATCGAAAAAAGGCCCAAGGAACTGGCATGAGAGCCACGGCAATAAATCCAAGCAAGCTAGTTGCCCATCCAATGCCTAGCGTGGTATACACTGGAAAGACACTCGTCAGCAAACGCTCCAATTCAGCCGCGTAATCCTATGAAATCAAGGCGACAGGCTTACTTTGAATGGTGAAGAGGGGAAATGCACCGGCCAGCCCGTAACGCGCGAAGCTATTCGCGCTGGCAGCACTGGCGACTGTCGACCCATGGTATACGTCAGATGTATACTGTATGGTGCTTACGAACACGCAGAGGTTCCCCCAGGCGAACGGCACAATGGCTACAGCAGGGCTCGCCCAGCTTATGTCGCTCCTCGCTGTCCAGGCCAACCAGAAGAGTCCCAGAGGCAACCCGATGCTGCCGATCATGGCCGGGTATAGACGGTACTCTGGAGGCGTCTTGTGCGACAGGTGCCTCCTGGATTGTGGGAGATAGAGAAGGACGTTGCAGATCAGGACGGTGAGCGCACCAAGGAAACATCCCACGACGATCGAGATGAAAACCAACCCCTGCTGCTCGATGCCGAAGCCGTAAACAGACGAGAAGATGAAGGGAACGGCGGCAAAGAATGTAAAGAGGGTGGCAAATTCGCAGGCGACGTAGAGGCAGATGAGCCCCACGATGGGTTCTGTGACCATCATGTGAAGGGGGCGTATGAGAGCGATGGTGAGGAACATGCCGACACGAGATTTCAGGGGTTGCTGTTTTGGCACGGGCAGGCCGAGCTGCTTCGCCCGGCGGCGCTTCAGGATTGGGTGGTAGGTTTCCCCAGCGGCAAGAGCGGCGAGAATGGCGACGGTGGCAAAAAAGATCAGAGTCCATTGGGTCCAGCGCCAGCCTTTCCTATTGACGACGAAAGAGCCTATGACAGGTCTTTGGGTGTTGATTAGCAGATGGTTATGAGGAGGGGAGGAATGATCGTAAGCAGTCCGTACCCAAGTCCCGGGCCCAGAAATGGCATCAAGATAAAGATGGTCGAAGGGATGGCGCGTTGAGCGGGTTTGTACGTCTCAGTGATGGTCCCCGGTGCAAGTGCGAGGCTGGGGGAGAACCAGAATCCGGCGAGAAAGCGCAGAAAACACAAGGCTCCGAAGTTGTTGGTAAACCCAGCACCCAGGGTGAAGAGTGCTCCTAACGGCATGCTCATGAGGTAGACAGGGTATCTGCCCATCGTCTCTGACAATGGCCCTCCTACGACAGGTCCGAGGCCCAAGGCGAAAACATACATTGATACCGGCAGTATGGACTGGGTGGTTGTGACGCCGAACTCGTGCTGGAACTCGGAATGTGCGGAGCTTGGGAGGGATGTTCCGATGGACCTGCAACTACTAGTTAGTTTTACCCCTTCTATGGCCTAGCCATGGCCCTGACAAATGACCCTTACGCAGTGAATGCAGCAGTGGATAGCATGAACAGCTGAAGTAGCTTCTTCTTATTCGGCCAGTTGTATGGATTATAAGGGTCCTCGTCCCAGTTCCAAGCCGCGGGCGTCTGCTCATTCCCATGCTCCTGATCATGATCCTGCGAGTTGCTCGCGGCAGTCTCAGGGTCGGTGATGGATGGCGACTTGGGTCTCTGGGCTCCATTTTCGAGACGCGCAAGCTCAAACTCGAGACCGCCCCCGTTTTGAGGTTCATGGGCGCCCTGCGTCGTCATATTGCCAATAGGTTTGTTCCCGTCATCGTTACAGGAGAACTGCAGGTTCTTGAATATAAGGGGGAGAGAGAAATTGTTATTCCCGTCCCCTGATTACTCGCATCGCCGATGATCCCGCCCCGACAGTTAGTACTCGGTATTAATTGTGGATGATTTATCAGCGCTACGTAATTTCTCCGACTTACTAATCAGTGCAGTCGGACAAATGACATAAATGGTTTCCGTGCCCGGCGCAAAGTTCCAGCAGTTCTTTCGATTTTCAATCGCCGCGAATATGGACACTGTGATACAAGAACCGGCCAAGAAGCAACGTAACCCCGCAGATGAAGCTCTAAAGGTATGCGGCTAATTATCCCTTTTCCGCACTCTCCTGGCCCGCGACGCCTTAGACTTGGCCCACTCTGCAATTATCGTAATCATGTTGAGGTGCTCACTGCTGGTAGACACGCCGAGAGCGAAATCGCAAGGCCCAAGATGTATTTCGGAAGCGTCGACAGGCGGCGGAAGAAGCGCAAAGGCGGCGGCTTCAGCACCTCGAGGAGGTCGTTGAAGAAATGAGCGGCGTGCTCGTTGGCTTCTGCGATGAGATGCTCGAGAATGAAGAGATTGCGAGGCATCCAGCCCTCATGGCTAGTCTCCAGCGCTCGGCTCATCGGATCCTGGCATTGGCGAGAAGCGTCGACACGGACGGGGTTTCCAAGAGTTCAGAGGCAGATACCATCAACCACGAAGATCAAATTCCACAGCGTGGTTCGAGTTCGATCAAGGAACCTCTTCCGGGCCACGTACATTCCAGCGTGCCGCAAGCATCTCCTAGCTTCGATGTCGAGATAGATAACATGGATAACCACCTCTCGGACAAAACAGCACCTCTCAATCAACGACCATTATCGCCCCAAACTCAACATCTTCTGTGGGCCATGAACCCGTTCCCACTCCGCCTCGTCGAGACAACCCTTTCCCGAGCATACCTGTTCCTCAACGGCGATCTTCATGTACCTATCGAAGAGATCCATCGAGCCTTTGGCACGGTGCTACACCTCCGAACGCGCGAACAGCTCGCGGCACGCATGCAGTGGCTGCTCGGACCAGGGAGGAGTGACATGTACCGAGCGGCGGGGATAACCCAGGGCAGCAGCACCGCCCATTCAAGCGGTACGGAGGCACTGGAGGAGGGTTTCCCACACACGTTTTTATCATCACTGGGGGATCGTATCAGCCGAGGCCCCTCCGACGCAGATCTCGTTCCGGGCTATCCTGGCAACCAGGCCGCGCAGCCCGAGTTTCTTACCGCAGTCGGTGTCCAGAAGCAGCTCGAGGGTCTAGGGGCCAAGATGATTGACCCAGACACGATGGAAATCAGCATCAGCAGCAGCTCCGCATTATCCGGATCTGGCGTCGACAAGCCGGACGTGGCACTTGGCGCCCCTCCGCTGCTGCACAGTCCGAGGCCAAAGGCTTCGGCACCCCTGATAATGCGGCTAAGCGTATCTCTCCTAACAACCAACCTAGCTCACGTAGCTGTGTGCCTCGGGAAAGGACCTAGGTATCCGCGATGGGAAATGGGACGGGCGGTACAGGCGTCGGTGACACTGGTTCGTGGTGGTGAAGGTGTTGCGAGACAATAATACTTAAGACACGGGTTACTGTGATGTTGTCAAAGAGTATTGGCTATATTCCGCGTTTCAAGTGAGGTGAGTGTATGGATGTTGACCAGCGGAACCCGTTTTAGGCCAAGGAGACATCGGGAAGGAAGTCGGGCAGCTATCAGATATCCGACTAGCCCATATGTTCCTCAGATCGGCGGCGGAGGGGCTTAGAAGGGCCGCAGGGAGCCACTGTTTATATTATACCTGAAGATTAGAAGCCTGCTCCTTAATAATGGGACGTACATTTCCCAAAAAAAACGACACCGACGGGACTTCGCAGAAGACGGGCTCGGCACGGACCTCGTGACACATGGTCCAACATTATTTATTATTCCTGCTTTCCGAACCCTCGAATGCGAACCTTACTCCTCTAGCAGTTTCGTTACATTCTCGAAATCATCGGCTCCTTACGGCGACATATTCATCACGCTCAATTTTGAACTGGCCCTCTCTAAATTAGCAAGACACAGACGACACCTCAAAATTTTCACGAGACTCTCCCACCAACGTACCTGCCATGCTTCTCCTCCAGCTGCCTCCAGAGCTTCCCCTCTACATCCTAGACTACTTCGGCCCGGAATTCTTCCTCCAAGACATCTGCCGCCTGACTATTTCGAAGAAGTGGTATGACTTGGGCTGGAAGATCCTCGTCGGGGATCTCCAGCTCACCGCGACGTCCCTCGGAATGTTCACGCGGGACGAGGCAGTTCTCAGACGGAGCCAGCCCCACATCGCCACACTCGAGCTATTTCTTGAAGGATACGAGGATCGAAGGCCATTGTTGCCAACCGACCGTCGTGGAATACGGCCTGATGACACCGACGCCGTTGACGGATGGACTGTTAATCTAAACTCATCTCTGGCAAAGCTGGCTGCTATGCTGCAACGATGCCCCGGCATGCGGTGTCTAAAGCTCAAAGCGAGACCCGAACGCCCTGGTCTGGGTCTGCGCCGGCAGGGATACTTGATGGTAAAGCCTCTGGGTGACCTTCTCTCCCTCCGTCATCTGACCAACTTTGCATTTCGACACTGGGGGCTCTATCCTCAGAGCCAGGCATGCGATCCTGGTATACATCTCTGTCGCTCGATCAATGCTTTGCTTCGGTCGTTGCGACGGCTCCATTGCCGAATGGATAGCATATGCGAGAGTCTGCTGGAGCTCCCACCGCACGATACGCCCCTGAACCTCGAGGAGGTTATCATCAACTTAAGCCTCTCCGAGCTGTCGGACGCAATTACATCATACCGTTATCCCAACCGCTGTCAGCCCATCCCAAGTGAGACTTTCTTGCAGTTGAAAGAGGCTATCGAGAACCAGGCAACGACACTCTTACGCCAAATGAGCAACCCTCGGATGGTCAGGGTTATATCGCACGAGGTTCCATCTCTCGGTATATCCGCATTTGACGCCATGACGGGACAACGGGTTCGACTGGGAGATGGTATAGAATGGGATGCTGATGGGGAAGTGGTGGACGAGAGTGACTGGGAGGACGAGACGGACCTATTTTGACAACAACTCACCCGCCACTCCCGAGATTGCTTTCTAGTTTTCTTCTTGTGGTATCTGCTCCCTTCTGTTGGATATAAAGCTGTAACAAGCGACGACTATGATGATGTACAGTGGCTATAGACAAGGCAGAATCCGGTCTCAGGGCCAGATATGTGTATGATAGGTACACAAGACAGGTACAAAATAAAATCTAGTAGATGTATGCTTCCCCGTACACACCCACGAGTTGTTTCTACATGACATTATCTCCGTAGATCAAGCGGACTACTAATCATCACCCATCCCACAGAGCACGATGTGGAAAGCTATAGGTGCATCGATCAGTAATATCAACTGGCTTGGACCCGAAGACGTCGGAGAGGAGTGCTGATGAGCTGTTATCAGCTGAGGACTCCGTCTTCTCTAGATGTTGCAGGTGTTTGCGGATGAGAGACTTGAAGGTGCGGATGTTCTCGTTTTGCCGGTCAGAACCTGCGGGAAACGTGATGAATTCTGGGAAAACAGCCAGGCGCTCCATTGGAACCGTCTGTGCCTGGTTCCAGTCCATGACGCCCGTCAAATTAAACTCATCGTCGAACAGGAGGTTTCCGTGATGTAAGTCGAGGTGACAGAGAGGAAAGGGGCCATGGACTTGGGCTTCAATGATGATGTGGGGTATAATTAGCTGTTTTTAGAACCAACAGCGGCCCTCCACTCTGGATCGTGAGGATGATCTTTGAGAAGGCGTCTATTGTCCTCTATTGTCCTCTTGCTGGTGTGCGTAGAACATTCCAGTGACGTTTGGGGAGTTGATCTAGACGACGATGTATTGTCGAGGCCGAGGGGAATGACTTCGAGGGGACCGTCGCTGTTTTCACCACACCAAAGCCGGCCGAGATGATTAAAGGCCAACCCTTGGAGTTAGAATACGACTTCTACTAGTTGCCTTGCGACTGTTGACAGGTACTCAGGCGGAACTTCTGAAACAATTGGACGTCCAAGAACCCGCCTAGCCAAGTGCTCCATGAGAAAGTAGTTCGTTGGATGGTGAGAGTGAGGCATCATAAGCAAAGTCTTGCGGGACCGGTATGATTGTCCGGTTCTTGACTATCCTCATTGTCGTGATCTCACTCAGCAGGTCCATGGCAGTGTCGCGGGCTTGGGACGCGTCTACTGTGATGTGCTAGATTCCCGCTGGTTGACCCACTCAGGGATGGATGTAGCTAGGCCTGCTTTTGGCAGTAAAATGAGCTATTCCTGCGTGGCCAAGGAAGAGCTACAGGGGCACGGAATCTGAGGTACTTGACAATTCCCCGCGTGGATTCCTTCCATTCTTGCCTTTCCTTTTTTGGTACGCTTCAACATATATAGCCCAATGAGGATACGTTGCCCACACTCACTATCGATAATATAAGTGGGTACAATTAGAGGGTAATTGGAGTTCTCCGTTTGCCTCGCAATTGCCAATACAAATGCTGCCGGTCCTTGACTCCAGACCGTCAAACCCAGTCCAGCTGGCACGTGCACGTTCGGCTGACATGGCGCAATGTGGGGGAAAGCATGGTTGGCGGGGAGCCACCGCGGTGTTGGTTGGCGGGGTGCTTACTATCTGCCCAGCTGGCGTTAACGGGACTGGAACGCGAGACATCTACTTCATTCCGTCCTGTCCAACTCTCCTCCATGTAAATTATCAGGGTTCGTATACTCGATATTCTTGGAGCATATTTCAAGTCGAGCTCTTCCCCCGCAACACCCAGCTCACACCGCCAATCATGGCTGCAATCATGGCACCCGTCCCCCGCATCTTCTTCTGCGTCATCGAGCCCCTCGTGGTAGGCTTCGCCGCCCTCGGCATCATCCACAACCCAGCCAAACACTCCACAGGGCTGCTATCCTACCTCCCCCCCCCCCCCAACGAGGTCGCCGACACCGAGAAGCTCGCCATCATGGAGCTGGGCAACATGATGCTCCTCATCGCCGGCCTGGTCGCCATCATCATGTGGACCAGCCGGGACCCGCGCACAGTCCACCTCACTGTCGCCGCCATGGCATTGGTCGATATACCACACTGGGGCGCAGCCATTTGGGTGTTGGGGTGGGAGAGATTGGTCAACTTCGGAAGCTGGAGCCCGGAGTTGGTGACACAGATGGTCGGGCCGCTGGTTACCTTCACCTTCAAGGTCGCGTATTTGATGGGGTGGCTTGCGAAGGATAGGGTTCCGACTGGGGAGAAGAAGAAGGCGTGAGCAGATCTTCTCGTTGCGTCTACAGCTTGGTGGACGGGGACATGTGTGCAGTCGGCAGGGGTTGGTTGCTGCAACCCCGAAGAGATTCCCTTTTAATTACATTTCACATCCGCTGTGATCTATGGCCAGTTCTCATTTTCTGGTGTTGATGGCAGTACAGTGTTCCTTCCTGTCTCTTTAACGCTTCCCAGCTCATCGAATCATCGTCGTCCAAATCGCTACCGAGAGAGACTCTATCCTCGACAAAGTCGTAGGCAGGGGCAAGACAGCTCATCTGCCCTGAAAACCGAGCTGATATAGCTACAGTCGCCACGCGTGAGGCACCTGGCCTGGTCGGCCACTAACACGCAGCTCGAGCGGCCTGGTGTCGCTGAATCTCGGGTGGTCCGGCTCATCCGGTGCCGCTACCAGGTGGCAGAGTGGCCGACTCCGGGGCCCGTATAATCCTTGAGAAGCCCGCACCTCTTGATGTGGCCCACGGCTTCTTTCCTCGGCTCGTTTTTGCAGCAGCGGAACATGATATGCGGAACCGATTGTTCCTGAGTCTGAGTCTCGCCAATCATGGTCTTGAAGGGTTCCGCGTTACAGCCCTTGACTTCCCAGCAGTTGTACTGTACTTCGCCTTGAATTCCCGCGGAAAGTTCCTACGACCGACCCTGCATCGTGCCATTTCGGCTGTGTATTCCGGGGGAACGCGATTCTGTTCATTGTCTCATCGAAAATAGCATCATGTCTCGCGCCCCTTGATGCCTAGAGCGCCAAGGCGACAGAAATTGGACCGCAGGTGTAATCCGTAATCAGTGTATTTATGCGGCAGTGGCAAATGCAGAATTTGCTCGGCCACATGTTAATCTCCGAAGCTTTACTTGCGGTTGGTCACAGTTGTCAATCTGCCTTGTGTACTTGCCTTCCTAGGTTGTAAGGATCTTTACGCTAATCCGTATTATTTAATTAATTCTAGCCCTGTGAGGAACTCGATCCACGGACAGGGGCCGGAGTTGTTGCCGGCTAAACCGAAGGAGTGGCTGAGCTCGGCGTGTGACTGGCTGGCGGTGCCGCCAAGAAGACCAACTCGGGGATCATTGCGGCACAACCGAGTCTTCGGGCTTCCTCCTCTCTTCTCATAGGTAGAGAAGGGATAAGACCCGATTGTTTACAGTGACGTCAAAAATATTTGGCGGCCCAGAACGCCTGCCCAGAACGTCTGCCCAGGCACCCCTGCCTGAAGGAACAAGCTCTTGTGGTAGTGCCCAACAGCCTGTTTTAAGATACAAATACGCGACATTTGTCTTGGCATAGGCAGACGAGGGAGCATATAACCTCTTGGCTTCCGCGACGAAATGCATTTCCACTCCCCAAATCTCAAGCTAAGAAATAGGCCCACGAAGGAAGTTACCACATCGCACCTCATTGGAATATCAACAAATACGATGCCTTCTTTCGTCGCCATTGCCGCCGCCGCCCTGGTGGGCCTCGCAGTTGCACAAAACAACACCACAAGCTCGGGCAACACTGTCAACCTTTTCATCAACGACGGTCTACACGGTCGGGCTGAATATGCCGCCTCAATCGTAAGCGCCTGCGGCGACCAGACCGTCTATGCCATCCGCTGCACCAGTGCAAACGTGCCGGCAGAGACATGCGGCCCCAACGCACCGGTTCGTACAAACCAGTCTCCCCTGCCCCCCGAAGCACACAATAGCTAACCAGACACAATAGATACTGACCTTGACGGAGGGCCCGTCCGACTACATCATCAGCGTGGTCAGCAAGACCAAGACGGCCGGCCACTCTGCTACGGTGACGCTGGGCGAGTCGTGCGTCCTGGACGGAACAACGGCCGCGTCCTGCTCCGGCGAATTCACCTTCATCGTGGACAAGACGACCAGCTCGGTGGCTGTGTCGACAGTGCTCACGGGTACCGACTACCACCGCTTCGACGTGGCCATCACCGGCGGCGCCGAAAAGACCGCCAGCGCGACCGGAGAGTGCAAGGCCAACGCCGCGCCCGCCGGGACCAGCGTCAGGATGGTGGCTGGTCTGGGCGCCGTGCTCGCGGTCGGTCTTGCGGGGGTGCTTTCTTTGTAATTGGGTGCTTTGCGGGAACATCGGGGGAAGGGGAAAGGCTGGAGGATAAGGAGGCGCGGCTTTAGAATTTCATGATATCCATCTACGCACAGAGCCAAATCTTCTTGCAGTGGCTCGTCGGAATCTAATATAATATAATCCAATGGGCTCTAAATATTTCTGTGAATTCCAAATAATGTCATCAACGCTTTGAGTTCTAAATCACTTGGCTATCTCGTAGGTAGGGAGGGGGTGGGGTTGAGACTTGACCGTCCGAGCAGATGGGCGAACTTATATGTGGCAGCAGTTTCGTGTTTGCGAATACGAAGTCGACGACATCATGGAAAAGGCAACTATCCAGATGCCTCCCACCTTGCAGTTTGCCAAGCATATTACAAGCATAATTTGATATTGCTCTGGGTTAACTCGCTTGCTTGATATCGAACTCTTCTACAGGTCATATTAACAATATCTACCCAAACCCCCCTTCGCCTAGGTACGCAGTTCAGTGCCAACATAGCTCCCAGAGCCCTCTCGTTCCTACATTCCCTTCAAATGATGGTCGAGAAAGTTATACGCCTCAGCCTTCACAGCTTCTGGGAAACTATGCCCTCCGGGGTAGACAACGGCTTTGAAGTGGTCGGGAACCCCCTCTTGAGCGTAGACATCCTCTGCCCTTCTCGCTATAGAACGTACTCCATCGATGGGGAAGAGCCAGTCAGTCTCACCTGCGGTAAGAAGGAAGGCGCGAGGGGCAATTTCGCAGAGCAATGCGTCGAGGTCACAGGTTTCCAACAGCCCGGGGATATACGCTGCTCTGTTGTGGTTGATCCCATCCCGAACAATCGTGTCTAGCAGACCAAAGCCACACGACGAGACTGCTACGCGCACGCGAGAGTCGTACCAAGTCAGCCATAGTGCTTCCTGGCCGCCGAGAGAATGACCGATCACACCGACCCGAGCAGCGTCTGTGTTGGGCAATGAAGCCAGTACGTCGAGGGAGCAAGAGAGGTCGTGTAAATATTTCGTCTGGAGGCAAGAGCCACGGAGAATGCGCTTGGTGAACTCGAACTGCTCATATTGAATGCCGTCCAGGGCACCCTGATTCCGATGACGGACGTCTTCCGTTGGTCTTCGATCCTCGAAGCAAAGCAGGTCGGGACATAGGACGACGTAACCCCTCCTGCAGAGCTCCAAGCCGTAGTGGAAAGTGCTATCCCCGAGAGTCCCAGCTGGTTCGGACTTTCCTAGATGGAACTGGCCCGCATGCTGGTGAATCGCGAGGATAACGGGCCATCCATCTTGAGGGCTGGCGCCCTTGGGGGTGAGGAGCCACGCAGAGATGCGTTCGCCGTCTTCGACAGCATATATGGCCAATGTACGCGTGTGATCTTCGCAGTCCGTTGTTGTCTCAAGGACAACGTCTAGCGCCACACGTTTGGGGAAGCGACCAAGTTTTGCGAGGACTTGCTGTCGGAAGTCTGAGGTCGCCATCGTTGTACTATATGGGCAGAAATGTGTGGTTTGTTGCAAAACTTCAGAGACGCAATTTGTTCAGATTTTGCTGAGAATTGTGTAGACTCTTCCTTGCGTTAGCTAAACTGTAGTTGGGGTTACAAATAAACTGCCAAGTGTTGCTGGATGTTCCACGTGATGGATCACGTGGCCCCCCATACAACACCATTTCAGCAGACCTGTCCCTGGCCACACCACCTTTGTATGGGGACACCTGTCAAAAGCCCTCCGGCCCGGTACCAGCTGTGGCGCACAGACCCTAGGCATAACCGCCTCCCAATCCACAACTGGCCATACCCCCATTGTGCCCCCTTTTTGCGATACTAACCGTCCACATGTTCGGATAATACGACAGCGTCGTACTACTCACCATCTCTGGAGGCTCCTTCCTCCCCAGCACAACCATGCAACCAGCCGAAACAGCAACCTCGCCATAGGTGTCGCCGGTTCGCAAGAAGGCGGTAGAGAGGGAGGGTGAGCCCTAGGCTGCAGGTAAGAGGCGGGGGGCGGCGGCTTTGGTGCGCATTATTGTACCGCTGTGGTAGAGCCGGAGGGAGGTGACGGGATTCTTTGGCGGGCAGAGTAAGGCGGGAAGACGTAGATAGCCGCCGATAGGTGAAGATGAAGGCGATGGTTGTGGAGCTGGTATGGGTAGCGGATAGGAGGATCTGGGGTGCTTTCTCCTTCCACTTCGGATCGATTGGTAAGGCGATTCGGCGGCAACACCATTCTTAGTAGAGCTGACGGTGTAAACCCCGTTGAATGCACCGTGTGACAGAACGCGATGGTGCAGCGGCTTGAGCGGTTGGTGATGCTAGTCCTGCTTTGACCAAACTACCCGACAAAATCCGAAACCTTGCGTATGTGGCGTGTGTGAAGTGTCCAATGGAATAGCTAGGCCGTGAATTAAGCTTCAAAGACTGCTTGGTACTTGATGAGTCCGGCGGGGTCTTTACTTTTCGCGTGTGAGCCCCTTGTGTCACTGTGTGTTTAGTCGAGAGTAGCTTCTACATCTCGCAACTGCGCCCGGATGAGATCGGAGAACCGTTGGATCTGTTGCCTATTGAAAGGGACTTTTTGGCCAACCATCCGCTCTACTGTTACGAAGGTACCTCTGATGAAATCCGCGATTACGCCCAATGAAGAAAGCCACTTCTCGTGGCATCTAAGGGATACTAATTATGCCTCCGTTGGGTTTGAACAACCAAGTTACAAGGAGCACCCTGCGACGCACGGGCAGCGAAAGGGGTGTATCACACCAAAGCCGTGCGAGGCAAGGGCAAACGGTCACCAGCGGTGAAGCACACTACTCTAGTTTCCACCTCAACCTTGGGTACCTAGCCAATGTATGGCTGTATACATGCGTATGGCGCCCCTCCCAGTCAACATCTAGAGGCCCGTGCGAAAACGCTTCCTCTGCACGCGGCGTAGCCGCTGACTCCACGCGGTTCATCATCTGGCCCTGCCAATCATAAATAGCGACAGCGGCTGGCCATGTCGGGCCCGTTAGGTACCCCAAAATGCCTAAGACCTGGAGACCCACACTTGAGAGCATCCATAGGTTGCGTAGAACTTGCATCTTAGCAGATGACTGGATGGGGTGTCAATCCTCGAGGCTAATATTTGAAGTCTACTACATTAGATACGCGCCGGTCCGGGTGGAGCTGTCCGTGGCTGGACCCCCCCGAGGATCTAAAGATATATTCACGGCCAATCAAGGAGCTCAGAGAAATACAGTGAGCATTGTGAGACACTCTCTGGTCCCCAGCAACGATGATTGGCTCCACTCAGCCAGTCACTCACTTGCCCTGTGTCAGCGGCAAACATATCTACAGTGGCTTGTGAGTCCTTGCACCTCTCTTGGGCCTCAGGAACAAAGGAATGGTGGACTAGTTAGGACTCTGTGGACCACTCAAAGACAGTAAATAGGAGGCAGTCTCCCTTTCTTCTGAGGAGCAGAGTCCAGCGGTTAAAGTGATTGTATTCTCCGCCAATTTATTAATAGGGGCCTTCTGGCTACCTGCTAGACCGCTCTGATACATCTTCGTCGTTCGCTGTGTATTTGAGGCTCTGATATTCGTTGCTGTGTACTTGAGGCTCTGATATTATGGGGGATCATCGAACCATCTCTCCTGGCGATATTGGTAATGAGGTTTCCAGCAATCAGAAAGTTTACCACCCATCCAATCCAAACAACTGTCCATGTGGCCGGTACATCCTCATGTCAGCCATTTGCGGTCATCAATACGCTGAATACCCGTTCCCCTGTGGTGCTAGGAGAACGGCTTTAGAAAAGATCGGATTCTGTCGAAGCACAGCCCCCAGGAACCTGGTCGATCAACCCAGGGTTAATGAGCGCTGTCGACACTGTTCATTGCTGGCGTAGGTCCAATTACTCGTTGATCTAAATACACGACTGACGAGGGCGTGCGATTTTAGCTTACACAACGAAGAAGCTAGGGGCCCCCTTGCGCAACGCGATCAACCATAATTGCACCTCATCGACTCCCTGGCACCGGAAAAGCAAACAAATACTGGTGGCACCAGGCTGCCAGTGCGGTGGATGAAGAGAAGTTGGGGCCTACGGGCACCATCCCGGGCCGATGTGGGCCGCCGGGTGACCCGACTCGAAGCTCGGCCGAGCCGGCCCGAAGAAAACCGGCGACGAGTCACGTGCAACGGCGTTTTTCGATTGTATTGAATGCTGATAGCGACTGACGCCTGGGTCTTGCCAAGGTATTAGCGCAGTGCTACCCCACTCCAGCAATCCCGAGGTCGAAGTGGGACGAGATCGCGAGGGGATTTGTTCGGCATCTCCAGCGAGGCCAGAACAGTCCCTCAAGGACCAAGAGGGCAAAGATGGCGTCTGATAACGAAAAGGGCAGAAGATACAGCCGACGAGCCTCGATGACTTGTGCTAATCTGTCGGGATAGACGGTATTTGAAGAGGGGATTTCGCATGTGGGATGGGTTGTGAGGCCTGCAAAATGGGCGGGAAGACATGTTCACAGCTGCACACCATAACGGGACGAGAACTGAGGACCCTGGGCGGCTTGCTTCTGAGAAAGAACTGAACGACTGGGAGTGGAAGATGGAGAGACTCTTCGCACGTAAGTACACGGACCCTCTATGAATTGGATTGATGCCATCTGCCGAAGATAGACGACTCAGATCCAACCTAGGCAGAACCACCCCACTTTGCGCATTATAAAGGACACAGCTTCATCCCCCCACATTGCGGCACGCCGCGATTTCCAGCATTTGATACAGAAGTCAGCTCATATCGGTTCTCGACCACCCAGCAAACCCGAAACTCTTCCCAGAAACATAAGCTTTCGAGCTGCACACATCAGAATATGACGGTCAAGGGTCGCTTCGCTCTGTCGAGGGCGTCGGTGAGCGATCTTCCCGAGATATCGCGACTGCAGTACAAATGCTTTCCCCAGTTCATCCGGGAGATCTTCATGGGATGCAAGACCGAGGCCGACCTTCCCCGCATTATAAACAAATACACCGCCATCATGAGCGAAGACCTGCATGACATCTGGATCAAGGTCGTCGACACAAAAACGGGCAAGATCGCCGCTGCCAGCAATTGGAAAATCCACCCAAACGGCGCGTCCGCATCGTCCGACGACCAGCCGGCCGAATGGCTGGAAGGCGAGGAGCTGGAGAAGTCCAGGAAGACCCTGGAGTCCCTCAACGAGGCGCGGAGGAAAGCAAACCCGGGAGGTTATGTCCGTGAGTATCCCTCCCCTCCCCTCCCCATGTTTTGACCATCTCGTAGCGGCGCTGACTCCTCAACGGCCCCCAGACCTCCACATATGTTTCACGGATCCGGACTACCGTCGCCAGGGCGCGGGAGGCATGATGATGCAGTGGGGCTGCGATGTGGCCGACCAGCTGTTCCTCCCCGGCTGGATCGAGGCCTCGCCCGAAGGGAATCACCTGTATAAGCTCCATGGCTTCTACGACTTTGGTAGCGCTGCGGGGGGGCTTTCGGGGACAAACATGAAGAGGGACGCGAGGAAGACTGTTATACAAGGGGGCAAGCCTTGACCCACCCAGCTGCCGGATATTGAACGTGTTTTTATATAGTATTTGCTCGCGGCCTACCTTATGTACAAGAACCATGCGGAGTTCTCCAGACCTCGGACCACTCACTGTTCAGCCCTCTCCCACCCAAGCAGGCCTAGAGACACTGCGAGTACCACTGGTTCGAAGCCCTGCACGTCCCCTGCGAGCAGCAAGTAGGGCCCGTCCATCCCTCACCGCCGCATTGTCCCCACATGGCAGAACACCCAGCAGGAGGGGGGGTGGTGCCGCCGTTTCCGCCGCCGTTTCCGCCGCCGCCGCTGGACCCGCTCAGCTTGCTCTTGACAAAGGTGAGCGCCGCCTGGCCGTACTTGTTGCCGTAGCCCTGGTGCGTGTTCTGGTCGTTGCCGGTGCAGCAGTACGGATCCGCCGCGTCGCAGTAGGACTGGATCTTGCTGGCCGAGGGGCAGGTGAAGCCGGCCGGCCGAGGGTCGAACTACCATTTTGCTTTGGTTAGCATATCTCGGGCCGCGTAGTTTGCGTTAGAAGGAAGGGAGGGGCTTCCGTCTCATCTTACCCCTTGCGCCGTGCATGTGCCGACGTTGTAAGGCAGGCCCCTGATGTACCGGGGATCGCCCATGAAGATGGCCGCCTTGATCATGTTGACGGCGCTGGCAGAGATGGGAACCGCGGGGTTGGAAATGCCGGCTCCAGAGTCGCCGCCGCCGCAGAGGGCGTTATCCATGATTTGGCCACCCTGTCCGGACAGAATCCATCAGTATACCTTCTCCATATCCCGAGTAATAGCAGCGCGGGGGAAGGTAACTGACCTGCGAGTAGCCGACCAAGACGAGCTGTGTGTCGGGACACCTGCTGTTGAAGCTGTTGACGGCCAAGGCGACGGCGGCGGTGCCCTGGTTGGCCGAGACGCCGTACTCGATGCCGCCACACGAGGCCTGCCCGCCACAGGCCGGGTAGCTGATGGCCTCGGAGGTCGAACCCGGATAGGCGGCGAGGATCAGGTTGACGACAGTGCCGGCCGTGCCGTAGCCGGGGGCCACGGTGGTCTCGCGGGCGCCGAAGACGTGCACGCCCGGGCACGACTGTCGCGCCTCGAGCTCGATCGGAGACGCACCCACGGCCAGCGAGTGGGCCAGGAGGAGGAGGAGGAGGGCGCTCTTGGGGTTGGGCCACATGTTTGCGACGTTGGGTTTCCGGGTACGATGGATGTCTTGATGTCTGAGGAGGCTTGGGTTGTGTGTCTTGGGGCGATAGATCTCCGCGTGAGTCCTACCGTTATTATATAGGCGGGCCCCATCGCGACGGGGCCCTCGTCTGTGGGCTATGCTTGGTTTGCCACTTTACCTCGAATTTACCATGTTGCATTCCGTTGGCCCATTGGAGGGCTTTTGGGGAGACTATCCACACGAGACGTGAGCCTCCTGCCATCGTGGCCGCCATCCAATTTTAGACCCTTGCGCCAGGCGCCGGGTCATTGTGGTTCTTCGTGATAGTCTCTCATCCCAGTGCCAGTCAGTGGCTGACTTCTCCGTTGGCCCGAACTGTAAATAACCCGGTTTGGAGGAGGCGTTGGAGACGGTTGATGGCGAGAATGTCATGTTGCAGCCAAAGCCCGGGGAAACGACAAAGGGGGATAGGGCCGGAGTAAGGTGCATACACCATACCTTGAGAGGGTCGCTTCTGGAACCCAGAACCCGGGAAAGGTGAGCTGTGCAATATCAACCCATGAATTTCAGCCTACAGTACAGGTCCATGTGGGGAGTGGGGATTATTTAGGCTGATTTCGGCCCATGCACGGGGGACGTTGCAGTGATCGGAGGCTCTCGGCCGCCTCTAACCTTGAATGGGAACGCTGGGTCGGCATGCTTTCCGTCAACCGATTTGGAATCTTCAGCATTTCCACCACCCCCAAGTTTTCCTGGGATGGGATCATGACGACCTAGCGATGGTTTGGGGTTGTTATCAAAGAGCATTAGGATTCTGACATGCTATAGGAAGACTGGATTCGAACCTACCTAGTTTGGGGCCTCCCAAGATCAACAGCTGAGGCGATGAGTATGCTTGTCGTGGGATCCTGCGTAAATGTCATGTTCTCCCGAATGGCTATCCTTGGTGTCTAATTCATGGTCTAATGAGATGACCAAGGCGCATTCCTCCTCGCCGACCAGCATATTGGATTGGTGTAAGAGACAAACAGGGCCGGATTCATCGTCTTATACTCGTCGTTGTTCTCGATATCGTCATCCTGGCCAGGGCTTCTGGGAATCGATGCTGGTGTTGGTCGGTAGCGAGCGGATCGTCATAGGCGGTAGACAAACCTGGGTCTGAGGCCACCTGGCTCAAGGCCCCCGAGGAGGATTCTGACGGGCCAAAGGAAGATTTGGATCCAAAGCCGCCTGGCTTGGGCTTCTGAATATCGAGGGTATAGAGGATCGAGATATTGTCGCGAGAGACTTTGCGGACGTCGGGGGCTGACGCAGAGGAGCACACTGCCCACGCCGCCAGGAAACACTGCCTAATTACCTGGCGTTGGTCAGTCGTCTTTGCCAACGAAACATCTTCCGGGCGATCGAGATCCCGACTCCCTTCTGACAACAGCTGCTTCCACGCCCCGAAAGTCGCCCACCACCACAGGCGCCGGGCCACCGGAGGTTCAGTCTGTGCATTGGAGGTGGGAGAATAGGTGAGGTAGGAGGGCTGGGATTGTCTTCTGGGATATCACATACCTGTACTTGTTTTTACCTGAATCTTTTGATTTGTCTTCCACAATCATGGATCTTTCTGTCTTTATATCAGGGTTTAAAGCGTGCTTTGATCTTGTGTTGTCCAAAAAGCTATCTACTGTCACAAGTCTTCACTGTCACCTATTCACTGTCACATACTGACATAATACAATTGGTCCACTCCAAGTTCACCTTGAGTGACGTAGGGCTTGAGGTGAAGCTGGCCTCCATTCACTACCTAGGGCTAGCTTAGTGAATAGAAGCCAGCCTTGTAGTCTAGGCCTGCGAAGCGAATTGTAGATTTCGCTCCAAACAAGGTTCGCAGCCGTGACCGCCGGAGCTGAATTTTCTTCTCTTCCTCTTCCTCTTCCTCTGACAGCCAAAGTCTCCAAATTGGCGATATTCAACCACGTCGATTGCGTCCTCCTCATCTAGTCCTGACGCTCGCTCGCCTGCCTCCTGCTAAGTCAGTCAATCATGGCCTCCGGCATGGAGCCAAATCACGACCAGGCTCTCCAGATAGAGCCTGACCAGGAGGAAGCTGTCCTCCTAGTCACCTCGTTTTACCGTCACGCTTTTGACAGGCAGGTCACTCAATTTCACCCTCTCAAGCACGCTCCGGTTCGCCAATCCCTTGCGCAGCCTTTCCCAGCGATGCCCACCTCTCCCTTCGGCGGCATGGAGCGCCTCCCCGTCGAGCTTACCACGGAAATATGCCAATACCTCGACATCCAATCCTGCTTCCGACTTCGCCAGGTTAACAGGTTCGCTCGGGAGGTCGTGTCTTCGCTGCCTGGATACCAAGCTGTTGCCACCCATGGCATGGATACCCTCCACGCTGCTCTGCGGACGGGTGTTGCGACACGCCTGAACATATCCGACGTCTACAACGTTCTCTGCACCATGGAATGTGCTATTTGCGGCGCCTTCGGCGGATTCATCTACCTGCCTACCGTCACACGGTGCTGTTTCAGCTGCCTCCGAACATGCCCTGAATCCCTGAGCACTGTCACCATCTTCGCGCTCTCCCAGATCAGCGGTGTATCTTTCAATCGCCTGACCCGAGTACTGCCAGCGCTACACACCATCCCGGGCAACTACACCCATACCGGCCAGTACTTCAAGGCACGCCGCCACGTGGTGAATAGATTGGCAGCCATTGACACCCTGCGCTCCCTCGGCCTCGGGAATGGTGTCACCGCCCACCGTGAGGCTTCCAAGGATTGCGCTTTCAGGTTCATGTCGTCAACTCCTTTGCCATACTTCGACCCGGCAACTGGGCAGGTCGACCGCGGCATCAGCTGCAAAGGCTGCCAACTTGCCTTGGAGAGGAGAATGGAGTTATATTGGGTCTACATGAACCATGACGCTCCCAATGAAGCGTTCACGAAGAGGGGTTTCCTGGACCACTTCCACGCGTGTCCAGAAGCAAAGAAGCTCTGGATTGCCAGTCACGGAGGAACTATCGCCATCGAGGAGCCCAAAGCCACGCGTCCAGGCGCATTCATGAGCGAACTGGACTCCGACGGCAACCCCAGAGAGGATTAAAGCTCAGCCCGTCCGCTGCCATCAACAACTCCCCAACCCACCTCAAACGCCGCCCGCTTCGAGCGGGACATCCCCTACATCGACCCCGAACCAGGTTCATGCGCGCGCATCGACGCCAAGGGCCGCATCATTGGGATGCACTGGAGGAGGTCGACGGCCGGTTTGCTGGGATCAACCATTTCGAATCCGCAGCGTGGCCTTGGGAATTCTGCACCATCTCGGCAGGAACAGACGGTCTTTGAAGAGCAGCCGAGAGAGGAAATGGGATACTGGGGGAGGAGAACGGATCATCACAGGATGGCGACGGTTTATTGCGTCCGAGTCATGTACATTTATTCACAACCTGTGTCCGCGACGGGTTAAACAGAGCTTTGTCTGGAGCAACTAATTAATGATCAATCGCCGTAATCTCCATTTGTCGTTCAATGTCGCATTCCATCAAGACACCCGGCGGCAAAGGTGAACCTTACCCACCACAACGACAACGAAGACACCAGGCGGAGGTCATGTCTCCACAACCTCGCTTACCTCAACGACTGACTATGTTTGCGTTAGTCTTGCTGCTGAGGGTCTCCAAGAGAAGTCTCATCACAATTGGGAAGAAGACATACCGCGCCTGCTTCACTCTTGGCCAAGAGCGATTTGCTCTCGTACCGGACAGACCCAGCTTCTCCACTGCCACCCTTCTTCACATATTCCAGATACTTCGGGGCGCCGGGGTAGTCAGTATTGTCTGCAACAGCAACAGATCCCTTTCGGAAGAGCTTCAGCTCTTCGCACAACCTCAGATCAGGCAAGTAGAACTTTTCCCAATGGTCGAGAAACACCATATCCAGCTGCCCCTCCTTGACCTTCCCCTCCGCGTACAGCTTCTTCAGCGAGTCCGACCCGGGACCCTCCAGAACAGACACCACATCGTCAAGGCCGGCCAGCTCGAGGAGATCCCGCGCCGTCTGCACCAGCTTCGGGTTCAGCTCGCAGGTGTAGACCCGCACCCCACCAGCGGCGTCCGCGCCGTTCAGCTCCTTCAGGATGGCGCCCCACGCCAGGGCCGAGGTGCCGACGAAGGTGCCGAACTCGACGACGAGCTTGGGCTTCGGCTCCAAGGCGGCCAGGACGCCGCGCACGACGTCGATCTTGGGCCGCCGGAAGAGCATGGGGAGCTGGATGCTGGTGGCGAACTCCTCGATGGCCGCGATCAGCGTCCATGGCTGGCCGCGGAACCGCTCAGCTGGGAGAGAGAGGATGTGCTCGTGTAGCTTCGCCGCCTTCTCGTTGGCCTGGGTGCGCTTTGTTGCGGTGGGGTGTGGTTAGCTCGTCGGTCTCGGGGGGTGGCGGGGGGCACGTGATTGAGACTCACGAATTTGGAGACTGCGTCTGACTCCATTTTTGGCTTGGATGTCTCAGGGTATGTTCTGGTTCTAGTTTGGAAGTTAATTAACTACGATCTCTCTGGAAGTTGTCGAACGTGTTCTGCTTTTGTAGTTCCCCAGCCGATCCCCTGACGCGCGGGCCTGGTCGGAGTTACGAGCGAGTAATTACTCCGAGACACAGGGTACATGGCATGACGCAAGTGCTTCATCACCGGGGTGCGCTTCCTAGCCAACCGTCAAATACCTTCGGACTACTACCTGGATTTATTCTTCGGGGCTGAGATTGAAGAGGTGTGTCGGCTCGGAGGAGATACGAAGTCCCCCGCTGCTTCTGGATAGTATGATGCATCATGTATTGCTACTCCCTGTCGATTGGCTGAATGGATTGTAAAGATGTGCCATAAATCCCGGAGGATGTGTGACGATGACGCGGCATTGAATTGCGGTGAACCGCACTCCTGCCCTTCAAGAAGCCCGGGGCAATCCATCCAGCTTTTGTAATGTTCAAGCACTCGGCAATGGCGAGGGACAAGGTTGGGACAAGACATCAAGAGGCATGGTGTAGTGGAGGGTTCTAACAGTGAGAATTCTCGGAATGATAATATCTGGGAGTCCCGATTGGAGAGAAGACGTCGATGGCGGCTCCTTTTTCGTCGTTCCGTCGCCCCTTCGATCCTTGCCATCGCTGTTGAGTCCCGACCTGTGATTTGGGTGCGGTTGTATCGTTCGCTTGTCGCACTGGGAGGGGGCCTCAATCACTGGAGCCGGTGCCAACGGACTTGCGGTCATGAGGGCAGTGGTACTGCTTAAGCATGACGAAATGCGAAGATGTATTTTGACATGTGCTCTTGCATTGCGCCGTGCCCCGTTGATGACAGCAGCCGGATACTCCGCAAGAGAGGAGCTGGAAACCTTTCGAATCGGAACCTCCAACTAAGAACCCCAGTCCGTCCATCGATGGTCCCATTTCGGGCAGAAGAAGATCACCAATATCCAACTTTTCCCTTCCCAGGATCGCCTAGGTGCTCTCGGGATATGCTGGACCAAGGAGTTCAACACCGCGCTCAACTCGGAGCGGCAGAAGAACAGGTAGGCGCCTAGGGAGATTGGTCTCTGCGACTCTTCCATGGCTGTAAGGGCGTACGGCATGGCGGGTGTGGTCCTTCGGAGAGTCGAGAATTGACAGGATCTGGTCCTGAAACCGGGCAATGTTCTTCTGGTTTTGACTGGTTCAGCGTCATCATCATCTGATGGTTCAAGTGTGCGTTTTGGGGAGCCGAGGTACTTGTCCTTATTGCTGTCCTCGTTCTCAGATTTAACATCCATATCATCATCCTCATTCTCGGATGCGACATCCACATCGTTGTCCTCGTCCTCATATTCGATGTCCACACAATCGTCCTCGACTTCGATCTTATCGCCATGAACGGGCCAGTCGGCGAGTTCTTTTTCAGCTATTTCTTCGTCATACTTACCCTCAAGCTGCGAGCCAAGTTCGTCCTCGTCGTCATCATTGTCCGCGACGCAGCATAGGCACCCATCGCCGTCCATATACAATGCCTTGCCAAGTTAAATTTCGGAGCTCCTTATACTCCTCGATGGTCATGCCCTGTGCTCTTGGTTAGGATGCGTCTCTTTAGTTCCTCTCCTACGAGGCTGACGAGGAATCAGCGTCCCAAGTGTCATAAACGCCCTGCGGACAGAGTTGTCACCGCTGGAGCGGCTGGAAGCGGATTGGGGCGAGGATGTCGGGCTCGTCCAGGCATCAGCAGGACTCGGCTGCCTAATTGCTAGAACACGCTCTCTGTCTGTATCAACTTTGCCACTCCAAGACCGAAACGTCGGGTCGAATGGCGTGGGGAAGGGGGCAACATGGTAGTGGAAACACGATATTTTTCTTACTTCGGAATGAGTGACAAAGTGCACTTCCCCTATCAAGAATAAATCCGACTGTTGTCGGCTGAGTAGACCGTCCGTTCCATGGTAACGAAGCGCAACTGGTTGGCGGTCTTTTGACTCCACTCTGAAATTTCTGCCATCTGTCTGTCAGGCCCTTGGGCAGGGACTGCTGCACAAATGGAGGAAGGTTAAGAGAATGCCGCCATACCTTGGCGGTAGAAGCTTGTTCCGCCACTTGCTTGGCAAATGACGCAATGGCTGAAGGATTCCTTGCTTGTGGATGTAATAAATGCAAGAGGACATGTCGATAATTTATTTGCTGTCACCGCATCTGCATGTATGGGTGCGAAGTAAAGCGGCTGTGAATGCGTTGCAACTTTTGGCTGCCAGAAGGCACACGGCACGCACAGACCACCTTCAGACGGATTTTTGCAGGGACTTTTGCCGCCACCAACAAAGTACCTTTGCCCTAGGACTCATCTTTTTCGATCTCCAAGTAAAATCAGGTTTCGTTGGTTCATGCTTGGCAACGGTGCCTTAACCAGTATTTGTTTCTCCAGTACCCACCATTTTCCTTGTGATTCGTCACCAAAGAGGAACACCAAACACTGAACCGATTGCGCGATTCGTCGCTGCCTCCACTATGCGGCATTTCTGCAAGCTGATTGGACGCTCATGCGCGCATTCGGGATTCGGCAGCAGCTGGTACGTACCTTTAGGTCTCTGATCTGGGGCATCGTGCGCTTAGCATTAAGCATAATATGACCTCCGGACTCGGACCCGTATGCAGACATGACAATTCCAACGGTCCCGAGGCACCGTGGCTTGAAAAAGTCAAGACGCCACAGCCCGGAGCCGCTGACGGTTGCAATTAGCCCGAGTGAAGACCGTTTCATGCGGCGCACTCCAGAAGCCAAGCTGCCAAGGTCTTGGGTGTGGCTCCGAACACATCGCCGAGAGAAGATCTTATCCACAACGATGAAGGGCCCGTGGATGCGTGTTTCTTGGCCTTCTACAGGGCAAGGCTTGAATAAAAAATACTAAGGTAAGATGTTGTTCGCCGTGGGTCCCAGTGTACTGGTCTTCCAATCTCTCACCCTCCATTTCCCCTCCTTCTCGATGCCCTCCAGCTCTGCAGATTTTAAACCCGGGACAACCATCTTTCGACTCAATCCCATGTGCCTGTCGGATTAACATCTCGACCCTGCGAAAAGGGGCGTTACCCCTAATCGAGATACTTCAGACGCTGATCCCGCCGTACCTTCTTCTCAAAGCACGAAATCCAACATCTTGCGCCGATCGGGAGAACTGAGACATCAACTGGATCTGGGGTTCATCAGCAGTTGAGTCCATCATGGAAACCCTAAAGAAGATTGGGTTGTGGATTGCGCCCCCTCCGAACAAGTCAGATGATGGACGCGACCAATGGCCATCTCGAGCTTCCTTTCTCCTCGCCGCAATGGGTGGCTGCGCCGGGATGGGAAACCTCATTCGATACCCGTCGCAGGTCTACAACAACAACGGCCTCCAATGGTTCATCCCCTATCTGCTGTGCGTCTTCATGATAGCCATCCCGGCCCTCGTCCTCGAAATCGCCATCGGCCAGGCCTACCATGGCGGATCCGTCGTCGCGTTCAACAACATCCACCGCCGTCTCAAGGGTCTTGGATCTAGTCTCCTCTACGTGGGTTTCGTTGTCGGGCCATATTTCGTGGCCAATCTTGCCTGGATCATGATCTACTTCCGACATTCCTTCACGAGCCCTCTGCCTTGGACCGGCCACAGCGAGGAATTCTTCTACAAGGATGTCGTGGCCAACATCGACCCGATTGAAGGCAATAAGACCAACTCCGCCGTTCTCGACTACGTCAAATACCCGGGTGTCGCCCTCATCGGCGAAACAGTCGGGTGGACGGCCTTCACCTGGTTCCTCGTCTGGCTCTGCATCTTCCGAGGCGTGGGCTTGACGGGCCGGGTCGTCTACTTCACCATGGGACTCCCCATCGTGATTACCATCATCCTTATCGGCCGGTCCGTGTCCCTCGAGAACGCGGGGCGGGGACTCAAGCTGTACGTTGGCGAATGGCACGGTGAGAAGCTGGGCAGCGGGGAGATCTGGCAGACAGCAGCCGGCCAAGTGTTTTTCTCTACTGGTGTGGGCTTCGGGTATTTCAGCTCGTACGCATCGTACAACCAGAAACACTCCAACGCCGTCATGGACTCCCTCCTCATCGTCTGCAGCAACGTGGTCTTCGAGTCCCTCGCAGCTCTGGCAGCCTTTGGTGTGATAGGCTATCTTGGTATGGTCCCTAAGGAAGGAGAGAGGATCGGCTCGTTTACCATCGGCTTTCTCACCCTCCCGACCGCCATCACCGAGATGCCCGGGTCCAACTTCTGGGCCGTCTGCCTATTCTTTACCCTCATGGTTCTCGGCTTCAGCTCCGCCTTTGCCATGCTGGACGCCGTCGTGACTCTGGTCATGGACACGGGAATCAAGTGGCGACGGGAATGGGTCGTCACTGCACTCACGATCCTGTCGTTCTTGCTCTCTCTCCCCTACTGCACTCAGTTTGGCTACTATCTCCTCACCGGGATCGACAGGTGGGTCAACGACATAGCCTTGGTCTTCGTCGTCTGGTCCGAGTGCGCTTTCTCCACGACTTTTTACCGCTGGAGAGACGTCGCCGGGCAGGTAGGACTTCCTTCCTTTGTGACCTTCAACTGCGGCTTCTTCGGGGGCATGTTCTTCGGTGTCACAGTTGCCCATGCAGTCTCCCCGGCGGCTGGGGCCGGCGTCGGCTTCGGCCTCTTCATTGGCGGCTCCATCATTGCCAGTGTCATCGGAAAGACACCGGACTCCAAGGTCCCGGCCAGGTTCTTTCACCGGAACGTCTTCCTCAGCCGGTTCTGGTATCTGGCTTTCTACTCGGTAAGACACACCACACCACCGGTGCAGAGCGAGCTGCTCCGTGAATGAAAAGTTGCTAACAGGTAGTTCCAAAAACCAGGGACAGCAATTACGGCTCGACCTCAACATCATCATCGCGAGAGGCAAGAACTGGAACATTCCCGTATTCTGGGCTCCCCTCCTCCGCTTCATCTCCGCCCCTGTTCTCGCCATCATCTACGGGTTTTCGTACCCGGGCTTCCACCAGTTGCGCGACGACCCGCTCCACATCCTCGGCTTCGCCGTCGCGCACTTTGCCCTCGCCCTCATCGGGCTGGGCGTCATCGTGCCGAGGTGGTTCAACATCCTGATCCCGGCACATCGTCGTGAGGACGGCAAGATACCCTACGCTCCTAACGTTGTGCTGGGGACCATCGATTCCGAACAGGCTGAGTCGATGGAGGGTGGAGCGGCCGGCTCCAAAGCAGGAACGGAGACGGAGACGGAGACGGAGATAAAAGCGGAAGCAAAAACGCCGACGAATGTGGAAACAAAGACTGAGACAAACACGGAGACAGCGACGAGCGAGTCTACTGCATAGGGGCGGCCATACATGTCTGGGGAATAGAGATCGGAGTGCGAGGGCGGTCCGGTTGAATGGGAGAGGGTTGGCAAGTGACTAGGATCATAGCCACCTGCATGGAGATATGACAGCTTGAGCAGACCCCAGCCTGGGACGGCCTCCAATTATTATTACATGCTGGCTTCTTGCTCACACGGGGCTGAAGCGTCTTTTACACCGTAGGCTTCTCCAAGCGGATGCAGCACGATGTCGGTGCCCTTTTGGGGACACGGGGTCTTGACCGTTTGTCATTCCCCACGCAGAGGTGAGTCATGTCAACACTTACTCCTGGGAACTATTCGAGTCGTGGACACAAAAATGACAACAGTAGATAAACTGCCCTGAGTTCCAGCGCAGACGAAAACTCAGGGCAAACGAACATGTACCCCAAAATGGGGACTGGAATCGGTGAAGTGGCCAGAGACAAGGTGAGTCATGAGCGCTTTGACTTGACCACCTGACAACAGGTTGAAATGCTGCCGAGTAGATAGTTGGTACCTCCCAAGTCCAACCCTGCGAGACTACTAACAATATCACTCCCTGACCCGCCGCCACGCATCAACCTCCCTCCCAGCCTACCCCCTCTAGGTCGCTCCATTGAAAGCCAATAAATTCGGTGTCAAAAACCCAGGATTAGACACCACCCCCGACGTAGCAAGCTTCCGGACCTTCTCGCACAGCGCAACGGGCTTAAGCTCCCCCTCGAGCGCAATAAGGTACGCAGCCAGGCCCGCGACATGCGGCGACGCCATGGACGTGCCGGAGAGCACCTCGGTGTCGTCGGGCCCGCCGGTCCAGGTCGACAGGATGTCGACGCCCGGCGCGAACACGTCGACGTCAGGACCCCAGTTGGAGAAGGAGGCCCGCGCGTCGGAGGCGTCGGTCGCGCCCACGGTGCACACCGTCGGCTCCGAGGCCGGCGAGAAGAGCTCGGCCGGCAAGCCGTCGTTGCCGGCTGCCACGGCCAGGAACAGACCAGCCTTGACGGCGGCGGCGGCGGCTTGGTTAGTGGACTCGCCGACGCGGGGGCCGCCGAGGGAGAGGTTGGCTACGGACTTGCCGATCCCTGCGATGGGTGGGTGGTTGGTTAGTTATTGCTGTGAGGAGATGTGGGCTAATGGACCGGGGTGAGGGGAAGGGGCGGAGGAGGTGGGGGAAAACACTCACGGTCCTTGGACTTGGCGTCATTCACAACCCATTCGATTCCGGCGAGGACCTGGCTGTTGGTACCGGAGCCTTGGGAATCGAGGACCTTGACGGCGATGAGGTTGGTCTTCTTGGCGACGCCGTACGTGCTGCCACCGGTCGTCCCGGCGACATGGGTGCCGTGTCCGTTGCCGTCCTTGTCAAGGCCGTCCCCGGCGAGGTTTATGCCCCAGTTGGCGCGGCCGCCAAAGTCCGCGTGGTCCACGTAGATACCCGTGTCGATGATGTATGCGTAGGTCCCCTCCCCGGCGGAGGCGTCATACACGTAGTCGGTAGATCCCGGCTTCCGATGGGAAATCCGGCCGAGGCCCCATGGGGCGTTTGTCTGGGTCTGGCGGACACTGAGAGTGACGAGGTAGTCCGGCTCAATGTATAAAATCTGGAAGGAAGAAATGGTCAATAAATGGTAGATTCTCACGTTTGATGACGGGGGCATCTTACATCAGCTAGATCGCTGATGATTACGATTAGGGAGTCTTCCGCGGAGATTGTGAAGCCCTTAAAGGTCCCGATATTGTGTGTGCGTATTGGAGGAGTACCTCCCAGAATATTGCTGACAGCGTCAATGGTGGACTTGACGACATCATCGGACGCTTCCGGCTTCATCACGACGATGAATTGGCCTGGGATTATCTCCGCAGCTTGTCGTGCCGCGAGGATTGGGGCAGCTGTGACAGAGGCTACCAAGGCCAGGAGTCGGAAGAAATGCATGTTGGTGGTGGTGTTGGGGTTCGTGTTGGTATTCCAATGAACAGTAGAGGAATGCGCAATGGAGATGAAGCTCTGACTCGGCCGAACGAAAGGGCCATGTTGGCGGTTTATATCTCAATTCATCATCGCGCTCGTCGAGCGGTGGGGTTTCTGATTGCTACGCAGCTGAGCTCAGCTGGCTATCGTCATTGCAACCAGCGTGTGTGATCAGAGAGGAAAGCGACATTTGTACCACCGACATGCCGATCAGCAAGAACTGCAGCCATTCACCATCGGCATCTGCGCCGATCCCGAAAGTGGACCTCACGATCTCCGCCAGCGGTGATTTCAGGGTCCAGCGTGATACAGATCGCCCCTGCCGAAATACAGGGGTTCCAACCAGTAGAATCCACGCCTGCGGCTAGCGCTGTTGAGGTTGCAGATATCGTTGGCAGTAAGCTTCAGCAATCTGCTGGCGCTAACCAAAGTTCGTCTTGAATCACATGGATCGACACGGGTGGCTGAGGATGCTGAACACGGTGGCGGTGTGATATCGGGAGAGCAACTGCTGTGCACTCCGACAAGTTGGCCGATGCCCAACGATGCGGGCGGTGAGGAGCGAGCATGATGGGTTCTGCGGCCTCTCTCGTCGCTGCTATGTATCTATGTTGGTGATAATTACACCTGCAATCGGCCCGGCCATGTAGCGGCGACTACTCTGGGATGCTTACATTATCTCCAATGACGACAAGCCCCTGCAAGCCTCAAAGCTTGGGCATCGCGTCCCGTGCCCAGGACGCTGGATCTGCAAACGATGTTCGGCCCGCGGTTCTTGAGTACGGCATCATGTCCACGACTTCATTACCCGTTCGATCGTCGGTCGATACAACCTGGAAGTATCGCTACACCCAGACCTGGAAGTAAGTAAGTAACGCCGTACAGTCGTCAGTCACGCGGAAGCCGATTGCTCCAATCTCGTAGCTGTGAGTAACAATGCTTGCTTGGTTCATCGAAATGCGACATATCTTGTACAGTACCTTTGAAGCACCTGCAGTCGGTATTTCTTTGGCTTTGATATCATCCAAATAATTGCCTTCGACGCTCTGCATACACTATGTGATCACCTGTTCAGCCCCCGAAAGGGCTATCTGGGCCGCCGAGCTCGAGACCGAGGTGCCGCTGCCTCGACTGGCCAAATCCTTCCCGCCTCCCATTCATCTGCAGTTCCGTCCATCGGGGAGAATTGTGGGAGTAATAGCCTCCGTCCATGGCCATATTCCCCCAACCATTGCCTCCAAGACGTCACAGTTTCGAACGACACACAACCCTTCCCCTGTAAACGGGCTCTTCCATCATCCTCGGCAGGAACTTCAATAGCTTACTACCCACATCGATGATCCTCATCGGCTTGAAAAAAGTATCGTCCATCCCCTTAGCCAAAGCCTTCTCGACTTCGGCCTCCACCCCATAAAGCACCATTCCAATAATGGGAATGCGCACCCCCATCTCCCTGATCTGCACCGTGGCATCGTAGCCGTCGAGAACGGGCATTTTTATGTCCATGAGAATCATGTCGAAGCCCTCGGCGGAGCTGCGCACCATGTCCACGCCCTGCGCACCATTTTCCGCTACGGTGATGTTGGTGAAGCCGAACTTTCGTCCGAAGATCTTGGAGAGAATCCTCTGGTTGACCCTGTTGTCTTCGCAGATGAGGATGCGCTTGGATGGGGCTATTTTCCGTATCTCTTCGAACCCGTCGTCGACTGGTGGGGACGGGCACGTGTACGGCTGTTGGGGAGGACCACGGGGTTGGCACTGGGGTGGGCTTGGATTTGGGGGGAGCATCGTATCTCTCGGAGTCTCCGTGGCCGTTGTCATGGGCACGCTGTTGGATGTGGGTATGCCATTCATCAGCACCTGTCGTTGGGCCGAAGGTGGTATGAGGGGTGCGAGGTGATAGACTGGGTGAATTCCCTGGATATTATGTGTTGGCGGTCGTGGCTCGTGACTGTCCTCAGAAGCCAAGGTAGAGCGTTGTTCCATCATCTTGTCCTTTGTGTCGTCGCGAATAGCGAGGCCGAAGCCGACGTGGACGTCGTCCTTACAGAGGTAAGTGAAGATATAGCGAGCCCAGAGTCTGCCGCCGTCTTTGGCATAGCACCATTCGTGGTCTTCAACCCGGCCATCCGCGATACACATCTCCAGCTTTCTCCCGAGTTCCTTTGCCCGGATGTCGTCGTCCCCGTAGAGGATGGAAAGGTGCTTGCCAACGATCTCATCATTCGTATATCCGTGGAGCATCTCGGACTCAGGGCCCCAAGTCAGGATGGTTCCTTGGGCGTCGAGGGTGATTTCTGCATTGTCGGTGGCAGGTGGCTGCACACGCAGTCCGGCAGCGCCTCCACCACCTCCAGAGAGGCTGGATGGTTTCGGCTCTTTTATCTTGGCAATATCAGGATTGTCGGGCTGGCCTGATTCTGCGGATGCAGGCTGGGAATCATTCTCTAGGGACGCCATGTCCGACGGCCGACTCAGAAGTCGAAGTCGAAGTTGGAGTCGAGGGTGAGGGCGAAGGCGTCGGCAAGATTTCATTGCGGCGGGGAGGAATTGCAGCTGCCTGTTTTTTTCACTACAGCGGCCGTCCAGCTAAGCACAATGACGTCACCCGACCATCCAAACGATTCCCTGCTCGCGCTTCGGCGCGTGAGATGAACGACTTTTATTTGCAACTCCCCATAAGGATTAAATCCATTCGTGATGCCGAACTAAAGGAGTTCAAACTGGGAGATGTTCAAATCCTGACTCGATATTTAAGAACCTATGACAGCGTCCTCTCTGCTTATCCCTCTTCAGCGTGGTACCCGTCTACCTTACCTGGCCTACAGAACCTGGCACCTCCTCAAAGGTCTCATTCGGAGCTTCCAGCCTCGCTTGTCGCATTGGTTGAATTATCCCCCTCACGAGCATAGAAACGCATCTCGCCGGCGCCAACGTCAAAAACGCTGACAAAGTTGTTCAGGAACATGTCTCCAAAGATAAACGGGCCGTCCGGGAGGTTATCACCCAGACCTATGAGGCAGAGCGTGATGGGCGTCCCGTTGTAGTCCTGCTGCTGGCGCACCTCCTGCTGGAGGAGATCGGCCTCGCTGAGGTAGAAGGTCTTGCCGCCGATGGTGACGCCGAAGGGGGGCACCGTCGAGTCGCACGGCGCCCAGTACTGGCCGCCGAACCGGCCCATGGGTTCCGTGAACTGCTGCACGTAGGGGAGCACGATTGCCCGCGGCAGGAAGGCGAATGTCGTGCCGCTGTCGATCATGACAGGGAACTGGGACTCGTTGGTGTCGTTGAAGAGGCCATTCCACGACGGGTTGGAGTAGGTGAAGGTGCTGGTGTTCAGGCGGCCGAAGATGAACCCGTCGGGGATGATGGTATAATAAGTGTTTTCCGTCCTGGTGGCAGGGGCGTTGTCGACTTCGACCTAGTAGAGCGGGAGTCCTGGGTAAGCCTTAAGTCTAATTACTCGCACCCCGTGATAGGTGGCAGATAATCAATTACTCACAATTCGAATGGGGGCTCTAGCATAGTCCGAGGCGTGGTCCACGGGAGGGAGTCCGCCAAACGCGAGCCATCCCTTCTGCGAGCTCCTGTCCATAGCCATGCTGAACAAGGGCGGCACGAGACCCTGCTTATACATGCTCGTGAAGACGGGGTCGTATTTCCTGTGGCTGGGCGAGCCGGCGAAGTTTCGACTTTGGTCCGTGGTGTTGAAGATCTTGGTCTCGAGCGGGTAGCTGAGCCCCAGGATGCCGCTGGTGATTCCGTCTCCATACCACGTTGCCCTGTTGGCAAGCAGCATCTCCTGCTTCTTCACCGTCACCCCAGCAATGGTGATGTCCTCGTATCCGGTCTGGCCGCCGATGGACTCCCCGTCTCCGTACATAAAGGCGAAGTCGGCAACATCAGGCACCAGGCCGTGTTGGAAGGTCCCGTCAAAGGTCGGCCCAAATCCGCAATACGACGGCTGTGCTCACATGGTCAGACCAGGGAATTGACGACAAATAGACGGCGAGTGCCATGAGAAGGAATAGGCGGGAATGATAAGCGCACATTAATCGGCCCAAGTGTAGTAGGATCAACACAAGTGAAGTTGCTCTGTACGACCCAGGTGTCACTGGAACCAGTATCGACCGTGACCTGGAACTCCTGGTCGCCAATACTGATGGGAATGGCGTAGTTGGTGTTGTAGAGGAAGGTCATGTTGCTGGTGGCTGGCTTCGTCAAGTTATATTCCGACTTCAAATCCCAGGTGTCGCCGACGGCTTTGTGCAAAGTCTTCTGCCAATTACGCTGGGGTAAGTGGCCATGGATCTTTTGCATCGCCACGTGGTTGGAAGTGACAGCATCAGCACTTCGCGGCCGCACTGAATGTGATGGCTTGATGGTTATTCCACGGAACCGGACCCCCGGCATGGCATAGCTCGGCGGTTCGGATCTTCTGACTCGGGGGACGGCTCCTCCGATGGCGAGCCCCGCCACGGACAAGACTATCGTGACCTTCATTTTTCGCTGACTCCCGTCTGCTGAACGCACAGAAATATAGATCCTTGGGCAGACTCTCCGAGCTGTCGCTAAGACTGCAGCTTGACCGACAGCGCAAAGGTGCTAATGCCTGGGTGGGGTTAACTGTGACAGTCTCGTACCACACATATTTAATGCGAACTTACAGCTGTGGGCCAAAAAATGAGGAGGACGTGGGAGAGATTCTCGGAATCCGAGGTCAGCTCATTCTCCTCCGTCGGGTCTTATGTATCATCTCTAGAATGCTTGGACAGCAATCTGTGTATTCAGGCTGCTGAGCCGCCCAGAGATGCTTTTCCGAGTGGTGTGTACAGTACAATGGACATAATTATCGGCACTTGGGGGATTCTAAGAAACTCCTAGTTACTCTAGCCAATGGAATATGCGGTTGCATTAGTCTTCTAGCAGTCTTATACAAGCTCATTATTATTCACCAGCACAAGGTACCATCTGTAGTCCTTGGCTTGTGGATATATATTTCCCCTCCATCCATCGGTCAAGTAGTTTGTGAGCGCAGGATGGAGATAGTGTTTGTCTTGACGATGGTCGAACCAGGTAGTCGAATCTATTTGCCGTCCCGGAGCTATTAACCGCACTACCTGCCGAGGACTTTTGCTTGAGGACACAGGAAACCGATAATATCGCAATGGTATTATCCCGGTGGAGATAGCCGTGATTCACGCACCAGCGGGGGATGCGCTGCGGGGTAATTACTCCTCATCCTTGCGTTCTAAAGTTTCCGCCAAGACTCCGACCGCCTCGAGGGACTATCTCAGGGATGGCAGCTGGGGAGAAGGTTCGTTCGTCGAGTGATTCATCTGGTCGCGGACTTGTAAAACGCGGGTTTTCGCGAGTGGCGTTGACGAACTCGTCGACAAAACAAGTTTGAGTTATGGGTCAGCTCGGTGAAGGAGAGCTCGGCCAAGGAATGAAACTAGGGCCCCTTCGGCTTAGTCCTGCAGATCTTGCTCCGCAACTAGGGTACATCCCCACTTGACTCTGCAACGATGATTCTCAGGACAACGCCGCCATCATCTTGATTCAAGATTGTGCGAGGTATTGTGCTAGATCTCCTATTATCCTTTCTCACGAGTTGCAAACATTTATTCGACATGCGACCAAGGTTCCAAGCCCTCTCCGGCCTCAAGATCAACGCAGGTCGGCTTCAGGAGACCCTCCACCACTCCTGTCAGTGGGGTGCTGCACACCGATATGGAAAGTTCGTCGCCGCCATCTACCCCTTTCAGTTTCCCAGAAGCAGCATGTGAAACTGACGAGAATCCGCGGCATCAGGGCTCCAACTCAGACTGGCATGGCGCGTCTCTCCCTCTCGGACGACGATGCCCGCGTGAGGCGCTGGTTCGCCGAACAGACCCAAGAACTGGGGTGTTCGCTCGCCGTAGATCAGATGGGGAACATGTTCGCGAGACAAGCCGGTTCGCTGAGGTCGCCCGAGCCGATGACTGCGATGGGCAGCCACTTGGATACCCAGCCTCGAGGAGGGAGGTACGACGGAATCTTGGGCATAGTTGCCGCTCTGGAGGTGCTGCGGGCCATGAAGGATAATGGGTTCAAGACCCAGTTCGATGTCGGCATTGTTAATTGGACAAAGTACGTGATCAATACATGGTTGATGACCGAGATCTGACTAGAATCTTTGCCGCCCACAGCGAAGAGGGCGCCCGGTTCCCCAAGTCGATGGTTTCATCCGGCGTCTGGGCCGGCGAGGTGCCACTCGATCAGGCCTGGAACCTCCCCGACATCTTCGACCCGTCGGCGACAATGAAGACGGAGCTCCAAAGGCACGGGCTCATCGGAGATGTAGCCTGTTCCAGCGATCCGGCATCTGGTTACCCCTTGGGCGCGCACTTCGAGCTGCACATCGAGCAGGGGCCCATCCTCGAGGGCAGCGGAAAGAAGATCGGCGTGGTCCGGGGCGCGCAGGCATACCGCTGGCTTACCTTCACGGTCGTGGGCCGCGACACCCACACCGGAACGACCCCGTTTGCGATGCGCAGGGACCCGTTGCTCGCGTCGGCAAAGATGATCGCCGCGTCAAACGCGATTGCGCAGGAGCACGGAGCGCTGGCTTCCACGGGCGTGATCAAGATCCCGCCTAGTTCCTCGACCAATACCGTCGCCTCACAGGTGACGTTTACGCTGGATATCAGGCATCCCGACGATGGCGTCGTGGCCAAAGTCCAGGACGAGTGCCTGGCGGCTTTTGAGAAGATTGCGAAGGAGGATGGGAAGGGGGTCGAGATGCAGTGGGCGCTCGATACGGATTCGCCGGCAGTCAAGTTCGATCAGAACTGCATCGCCGCTGTGGAGAAGGCCGCCGATGGGCTTGTGGGCCGGGATGGATGGCTTCATCTCACGAGCGGTGCTGGCCACGACAGTGTCCACGCTAGCAAACGCTGCCCGACTACCATGATCTTTGTTCCCTGCAAGGACGGGGTCAGTCATCACCCTGAGGAGTACTGCAGCCCGGAAGACTGGTACGTTGCGAAGAGGTAATCGCATTCTAGAACTGCCAAGCTGACGATACAAAGTACAATGGGTGCCCAGGCGCTTCTTGAGGCCGTTATTAATTACGACCAGTTCAGGGTGCAACCAGAACTACCCCTGAAAAGTAATTGACGACGTCCTCGAAAGCGCAAAGGCAGGCATCCTCTGAATGCAGCGCGCACTCGGGTCAGGCGCCAATAATCGTCGTGGATCTGGCTGGCTATCGAGCTCTGCGGATACACTGTGGCTAAGCTGGCGTTATTGTTGGTTGAGCGGTTGTTACCGTGGTGAGCGAAGGCGTGGCTGTTGCTACTGCCTTCGCCGAAGCCGCACTTTGCAGCATACCGACAATGCTTGTATACGCAGGCTTTTTACCCAGATTCTTGTCCCAGAGACAAGCTTCTCCTTCTCCCGGGAATTGACTCGGGATCCATGAAGTCTAGATCAAAGATTGTTAGCATCTATCACCCCCACCCCTATTCCGAACCCTGAGTCAGAGATGAGTAGAGGGACGACTGACCGAATCCGTAAAGTCCCAAACCGTGATACCGACACACTTTGGCGTTTCAAGACAGGCCCCGACAACTTCCATGTAGTCCTGCGCTTGCTGCTCGTAGTCCTTTGCCGACGTCGGGAGTTGCGTGTGGCGGATGTCAACCTCGGTGAAGGCCACCTCGTCCACCAACTCGGAGAACCTCGCCATGGTCTCCATCATCTCTCGCTTGCTGGGCGATTTCCCCACGCGTGAGTGGCCCTGCATTCCTATGCCGTCTACACGAGCCCCGGCGGCTTGGATGCGCTTGATAAGGTCAATCGTGCTGTTGATCTTGGCGTTGCAGCACCTCTCAATGTTGAAGTCGTTGTAGTACAGCTTAGCCGCGGGATCCGCAGCCGCCGCTACTTTGAATGCCAGAGGAAGGTAGTCGGCGCCCATGGCACGGTAGACTATCCGCATTTTCCATATTAGCATCCGCGCTCCTCGGCCACACACAAGTAGAAAAGCCTTACATGGGTTCTGTCTATAGGTCCCGTCATCTTCCATGGCCTCGTTGACGACGTCCCACGCATAGCACTGCCCTTTATAATGAGTGACGACGTTTTGGATGTGCGTTGTGATAATCTTCTCCATTTGGGCTCTCGCACCATTCACTGTTAATATGTAGAGAGAGCGAGTTAGCCGACTGAACCATGCTGCTCCATCTCTGCTTATTTGTCAGCCACACGCACCCCATCCTGGAAGCTGGTTGTACCAGACCAGAGTGTGGCAGCGAAGTAGCTGCCCACTCTGTTTGGCAACGCTTGTGATGGCATCACCACTACCATAGCTGAATGAACCCTGATTGGGCTCGGTCAACGACCACTTCTGGCCATTGGCAGGCGTGATGGCCCCGAACTCGTCCGCATCTCGGGCAATCTTCATATACGCCTGGTTGCCTAGGGCAGGATTGTCAACGGCTGTACCGAAGTACTTGAGCCCTGCTGCCTTTGCCCACTTGTCCAGCTGGCCCGATGCCGGTACTGAAGCAGCGAGAATGCTGACGAGAATGTGCTGAAGATGCATCTTCTTGTCGGCTCTGCTGCGGTGGAGCAGTCAATAGTTTACTAGCACTCCAGAGCTGGTTGGGTCGATCCGGTCGTCTATCGGACCGTCAGCACTGCAGCCGAATAATATCGGGATCTCTCTGGTGGAAATAAGAGCAGATATGTGATGTGTGGCTGCATTGATGGCGAGGCAGACGAGCCCATGGGAAATTCGCATCGTTTAGGCTAAACTACAGCAACTCAGAAGTATTCAATTCCAGCTCACGGCTACTTAAAGTTAACTGCAAGTTAATCAATGGGATAAATCTGTCCTACCTAACAAGCCGGGATAATAGAATTAGCACAAGTAACTATATTATTCGTACAGCGAACCGCTCTTCGCCTCCTATTTTTACCAGGAAATTACAGACAGATCTGCTTCTCGGCCCTGGCCGCCCAGCTTGATCCCCGCATCGACACATTTAGCTGACATGACACGAGGCGCCCAAGACTTTGTAAAGCGAGCCAGCTAAGTCCCCGACAGAATGCCAAAGAACGTAAGCAACAGCTCCTCGTTCACGGGAGCAATATGCCCGACTCCCTCGCCAAAGTAACCCTGCAGCTTGGTACCATCCCCGTAGATCATCTGAGTATACGCCGCCGACGGGACGCCAGTCACGTTCTTCTCCAACGGCACATCCAGGACGTACGACCACTGCTTGAGCGCCTCGTACGCGCACTGCGGCTGGACAAGCGTATCGGCGAGGCCATGGAAGATCTGCATGCGCGTGCGCCTCCCCTCGTAACCCGGAAACGCGTTCTCGACAAAGGCCCCCCACTCCTCGGGCGTGTGCTGCAGGCCCTGGGCGCAGGTCTGGTTTGCCGCGGACGGCGTGAAGGTTGGCGCGCCGGCGGCGCACGCGAACGCCACCCCCGAGAAGGCGGCGCCGGCCTCGAAGACGTCCGGGTACGACCCCGCCAGCACGTTGGTCATCATGGCGCCCGACGAGCCGCCCATGGCGTAGACGCGGCCCGCGTCGCCCGAGTGCGCGGCTAGCGCGTGCTGGACCATGCTGACGATGCCGCCCGCGTCGCCGCCCCCGCCGTGCGTCAGGCTGGCGGCGCTCTGCACGTCCCAGCAGTTGCTCATGTGTGGCGTGCCCGGGTAGATGAGGATGAAGCCGTGAGAGTCGGCGTATGACGGTAGCTTCGTGGATTTGTACCAGGACGGTGCTGTGCCGCCGCAGGGGTGCAGCTGCAGGCCGAGGTGGTTCGGTTAGGGCGGGAGATGTAGAAATGGTTCGGCTGCTCTTTAACTTACCGCTACAACGATGGCCGGTTTGTCGGCCACCTTGTCGGGGACGTAGATGTACATCTGAATGTCGGTAGGGTTATCGCCGAAATCTTTGACGACCTCCAAGGAGGCGCACAAGCCCAGCGCCGCCGAGGCGAAGAGCCCAGCTGCAGCTCGCAACAGCATGGTTGACGATGTTTAGCTTGGAGAAGGTGATCGAGCGATTAAGAGCTGCTGTTGTTCACCACGGCTTGCCCGCAGATAATATACTGATGGGACTCGTAAGTCGGAACCTACCGGTCCCGGTGCCACATGGTTGACCCCAACTTCGGGATCAGATCTCGGCTTCCGTCGACAGGGCTGGCCAATGTGAGGTCGCATCCGGCAACGAGCAGCGGCACTTTGCTCGAGCTGTGCGAAGTGGTGATGGTGACCGCAGGGCTCCGTAAATGGGAGTCTGATTAGCCGCCAACAAGTCTCCCGTTCCGCAAATGGAAATGGGTGGGTGGACGATAGGCGGGTAATTGCGAAAGCTTGTCCCCATTGCGGCCCGGGATTCTGGGGTATTTTAAAGGAGCTTACGGAATTCCGGAGCTCGGGACTGGTGCCGATTCCCAATGCCGGTTCTTTCGATGCTCTACCTCGGTACGATTTCTCCTTTAAGGAACGAAGCGGTACACCTGTCTGGGAAAGATTGCCCGGACGAATGGATGACCTCTCGAGCAAGAGGGCCATCCGCAGACAGGTGACAACCACCAGTCCGAAACCAGGCAACAAGCAGCAACGCGAATCGCTTGGCGCGCCGGGGTGGGTTTCGGCCGATATGATGATAATCACTTGATCAAGGGCTATTTTCGAATAGCTGTCTCGGGCAATGTCATTGTCAACGACATCTGAGCGACACTCTGATGCGCCTTTCGAATATGTTTTAGAAATTTCGACACGTAGTTCAACAAATGTCATCCATGTTCCGTGTCAGTTGCCACCGCTTATCCTGATACCGTCGATGTCAAAGCCCGGCTGGCCCATGTTATGGCATCCTAACGATACGCCTCTCTTAAGGACCACCAGCACGGCCGCTCTTGTCCCAATAGGCGTCTCCCTTAGCCCGACAAGTGCCGACAACACAGTAGTAGCCACCGCCGCGATTCGCTTGGTTGGGAGAATACATGACAAACGGATCGCCCGAGGGGAGCCATCCGCCACCTTCGCAGGTATTCAATTCGGCGTTGCGGACCGTATCTATTCTTGTTCGGTTATTCGTCTGCGAGACGCGGGGGTGAGATATAAAGATGAGAGGAGGCAGAAGTACTTACAAGCCGTGTGAGCGGTGTTGTACCAAATGCAGACTGTTTCGCCTTGGCCGGCGTAACAGGTGTAGGTATCGCCAGTCGTCCAAGTCTGCTGGACAGCGAATCCGCCACTGATCCAGCCGAAGGCACCCACATCCGCGGACCATCCAATGGTGTATGACGTTTCGACATCATGGCCAACGCTGCAGGATGATGATGCGCCGCAGTTAAGGTTTTCCTATAATTTCCAAGAAGCTCGATTAGCACAAACGTTCACTCATCCCAGATCACTGTTGATTCGCGCAGGAAGCCTCTTTCTGAGTAAACCGGTAAAAGCGCCTCTTACCGAAAGCTGCTTGTCATAGAAGTTTTGATGGGGATTGCCTAAGTCGACATTATAAGCCCAGGATAAAGCACAGGGTGGCAGGGGGGATGGCGGGATATCGTGAGGGAGACTTGCCATCTCCTATGAGACTGGTGGCTGTTTCAATCTGGCACTGCCTCGAAGACACGCTGCGCCTGATTCGGGCTACTCCGGTAGATTCATGGGCTATCTCACGGTTGCTGGAAGTGAAGAATCGCATAGCGGCTCTGACATTTTCGTCCTCGTGGCAGTCCTCCTCAATGGCGGCATCAGCAGAAGGAGCCCAGTTAACACGGGAGCACTCGACGACAGCAACGTCGGCATTGTACTTCTTGGTACAGATTGGTCCTCCGGAGTACTCGGGGTTGGAGTGAGCCAAATACTTGGCGTCACCGATGCTGAAATTGCCGGAGCCGTTTTCGTTCAGGTCGGAGAAGTCGATGCTATGCGGAGTGCCTGCGATGATGCTCGAACAGGTCTGGGCGACGAGCTTGGAGCCATCGAACACGCTTAGCAACGTCTGACTCGAAGATTTCGCGTGCTGCCAGAAGATCTTGATGTCGGCACAAGTAGCTGAAGCTACAAGAGCCAGAAAAGGAGTCAGAGAGCGCATGTTGCTCGGGGTAGATAGATATAGAGAAAGGTTATGCGTTGAAGGTTTCAAAGTTTAAGCTTGATGGTTGGTGAGAGTTAGTGAGCCCTACGAAGACTGGCGACATCTTGACTCTTTAATAGTTTGACAGAACGGAATGTTCGTCAGATTTGGAGGCGGCTAGTTTTTCGGAAGGGGCGTATCAAACAGCTGATGGGGGCCAAATGGGACGTTGAGCACCTATTCCAATGCAACGTTGTAAGGTGTAGCCGCCTGCGAATCCTGCGTGAGCATATGTATGCTCTAGAGATACGCAGCTTCTCGATGGGGACAACTCGATCAGATAGCAGCCGAGTACCCGAGGTATCCGAGATAATAAAAGAAGTGAGAATCAACCCAGACCCCTAGATATCCAGGTATCCCTGGCGAGATATGTCTACGTAGCAGTGTAGTCTGCCTAGTATACTACGTAGTATGCGCAGCAAAGACCCCTGGCTCCCCAACGTTGTTTGTTGTTGGTATTCGTTTGTCATTTGCCCCTGCGTGAGAACCTAGTCAATATGACATGCTATACTATAACATGCGCATGAAAATGTGCATGTCCCTATGTGGCACAGGAGGTGCACATGGTTGCTTACCCACCCTCTTATCGGAATAAAAGATACCAGAGGCTGGCTCGATCAGGTAAAAAAAATCGGCACCGCAAACCACAACACCACTCTGAATAGCACCATTCTAGCTGTAATTGCAGCCTCCAAAAATGCTTACCAGACACCTTCCAACTTAACACACTTTTGTAATTGCTATGGGATCGTATCTACCTATTAAATGATATTTTCCTAGCTTAATCCAACATAGTCCTCTAAAGCTAGGTTGGCTGATACTGTTTGCAGTGCCGATTTTTATTTTTTTTCGTGACCGAGGCTGGGTGGCTGAGGTTCTTGTACATACAAGATGGTGGTCCGCGCCGGGCTTGGTGGATCAAGAGGGGAGAACCGAGCAATCAGAATTCAGCAGTCCTGATCACGGCACCTGTATTCTAGCCATAATCATATAGACATTGCAGTACTGAATCCGGCGAGCAGTACGAATCTCCCGTCATATGCTTGAATCGTCACCAGAGTTGACCAGCGCAAATGGTATTAATCTGGTGTCGTTGTATCCCCGGTTGCTAATAAAGCTCCTCATCATCATTCCGACACTAGCAACTCCGCGTTTTCCTCCAACAGGCGATATCTAGAAGCGCGCAATGGCTGCGACGATGGCCGAGATGTCACGAAGACCCAGCAACACACCAGCCACCTCAGGCTGGTCCGATAGCGCTGCGCCCAGTTGGATCGGCTCTAACACCTCGATGACGGCCTCGCCGGTGAAGCCGACGGGGCAGCTCCCGCCGCCGTGGGTGACGCCGTAAATGTCGACAAAGTGCCAGATGCCCCACACGAGCGAGACGTTGATGTCGACGAGGGCTATCGTGTGGACGGCGGGCTGCCCAGGCCGCCCTTGTACAGGTTCCATGCGGCGCTCTGGAAGAGAAACATGCTCCACACCCACTCAAAGCCGATCTGCGTGCCGCTCACCTGCATCTGGTAGCCATCGTCAGCCGTCTCCAGGAGACGCCTCACGATGCGGCCCATCAGGTCAGAGATGAAGCCCACATTGGATAATGCGGTCAGCTGGTTCATGTCTGCAGCGCCCCAGATGGATTGGGTGATGCTTTGCACGATCAACAAAGCTCCAGAGATCTTTTGCAATGCGCTCGAAGATTCAGCGTCGACTGCGTCCGCGTCCACCCCGGCTGCCTTCAGATCGACTGCCTCCAGATCGACTGCCTCCATCTTGGCTGCTGGTGCCGAGGTTCCCTTGCCGGTAGACGGCGGCCGGAGAGCGTCAGGAAGCCCGCCGACTGCTTTGTCGACGGCCGCTGGTGTGACGTCTTCGTCATGGCCCAGAAGAAGTCCAACGCTATCAACTATCCCTTCGGCGCGGGAACCTACGATGCCGACTCGACCACCGACAGCAACGCCATGGTGGCCTACAACAACCAACAGCAGGGAATCGGCTACCGCGCCATTACCGTCAGCAGCACCTCCTCCATGACAATCTCCTGGTCGTTCACGCCGCCAGCCCGCGGCGGCGAGCCTCCGATCACCTCCTCCTGGACGTCGCCCAGGTTCGACTGGAACTGGAGCGCCTGGTACGCCATCCAGCCCGTCAACGCTGGCGACAACGAGTCGGGCGGCGGCGTCCAGTTCGTGCTGCAGGGAAACCTGTCCGGCTTCCCGAACCCAGCCAGTTGCGGTCGGCGAGGGCACCTCGTGGGGCTTGGTCAAGCCGACGTACAAGATGTTCGTCGAGACCCTGCTGGCGCCCGTCATCAAGGCGCTCCCGGGCGCGTTTCGCTCAAAGTTCCAGTCCCTCTCTGCCCTCGGCAGCTTCGTCTTTCCCGGAGGCGGCACCTTCACGTTCCAGAATCCGGCCGTGAACAATGCGTTTGCACTGTATACTACCATTCAGTACCAGAACCCGAACTGATATCACCCAAAGCGGTCTCGGACGGGGAACTCGCTCATGAGGGAGCAGAAGGAGGAGGTGGATGGACATGGTGGAGAGTAAGAATAAAGGGGAAAAAAAGAGGAAGCGAGGCAGAGAGGGGGGGGCTCATATGTAGACGAAGAATTATCATGGTTAGGGGGAACTCATGTTGGTGGTCGAGCCCTGGTTAGTGCCCGAGGTGAAAGTGCTAGTCGGGAGACTGAGTATGTACAGAGATGAGGGAGAAGGAGTGCAGGATGCGAGGGATGGAGCTGGATTGAGAGAGTTTGAGCAGTTTGAGCAGGTTCGCTGGCCGTTATTAAGTCGCTGCCAGTCCTTGCTCCATCTCTTTATACGCACTCCTGGCTGCTTGCCTGCCTGGCCGAGAGCGCCTGTGGCCAGGGATAGGCACGGAGATCCCCCAGTCCGGACATTGGACTGCTAGCCCGCGAAAGCGACGAAACTGAGAATAAAGAAAAAAATTCAATATGATATTGTTTATCGAGTCGTCTATTGGGGACCGAGTTCAGCTGCGTATGGGAAATAGGGCAGTTCTTGGCGTTTGTCGTGTGGTGGATATCTCCTGAGGATGAAGAGGTGCACGAATGGAGGCTCGAGTCGTTGCCCCCCGTGCCGTAGAGCCACACTGCCGAAGCCCGACGGACTCTGTTTGATCTAATCAGATGGATCTGATAAGATGAGCCGTTTCGTTTCGGGGGCGGGCGATAGGCGACGGGGACAATTTGGACCTGCGCCCCTCTACCAGATAAACGTTCTGATTGCGGAAGCCCTCGGGTTGCGGGGATCCGAAAGCAGGTGGTAACGAAATGACCAAGGGAATCATAGAGCTGGGGGAGCTGGGATCAGCTTTTGAGATCAGGTCGTCCATTCCCAACCACGGCACACGTATTCCAGGCAATCCCCCCATTTTCGGATTTGTCACCAGTTTCGGCTTTCCTTGTTCTGCGCTAGGTTCGTTGACCAGTCCCGCTTGCCGGAACCGCCCACCGTGCATCCGGATAGCAGCCTTGACCGAAAGAAGGAACGCCGTGGTGGGGGTCCAAGGCGTCTCAGGCCCAGGTTATTGGGCGCAAGGTGATGCGGGGTTGTCGCTAAGAAATGCGCTGACAGCGTGGCGAGCGGGAGGCGGGACGATCCATAACCTGGCGGGCCGCATTCCTTTTTTCCAATGGCTCCCGCCCGCTTTCGTTTCTCTCCCTTGCGGATACAACCCCGTTTTGTTGGTTCCACGACAGGAGAAGCGACAGACACGAGCGTCTACATTGGATCCAACAGCAGTGTGCGCAACCAACATGTCGGGTCAAGAACAGCCCGTCATCGAGTTTGTATGTTCGCCCGCATCGCAGATCCCCTCTGTCTCACATTCCATCCATCGATCCGCTGCTCACCGCTTCGGCCCAAACCCTTAGGACCCCAACGTTGTGGGCAATCTTGAAGATGATAACGACTCCTCCGCCGACGTGACCAGGTGAGCGAGCCCTCTTGAATCGTCGCGATATGGCGTCGTGAGTTGACATTCCCGCCTCAGCTTGCGCGAATCGACCGCATCGATAACCTCCAGCATCCTCGAGTACCGACAAATCCATGGCCGGGAGTACCAGTCGTCCAAGACAACCGAATACTGGTGAGTTACGCAGTAGGGGCAGGCCCGAGCTATCCGAGCTATCCGGGCCATTTTCGGCGCATATCAGCAGGCTAACCAAATGTTGCCCCATTCCAGGGCCCCAGTCGACAACAAGCATATCGAGGGATTTGATGTGGCGTATGGTTCCCCCCGGGACACAGCGACGGAAGCCGCGCTCGTGCTGACATATCCCACTCCCGCAGACACCATTATACACGGATGCTGATGAACGACAAGCTCTACGCTGCCCCCATCGGAGACAACCCTCAAGTCCGTTGCCGACCCGACACGACAGGGTTGCCTCTCGCTTCAGCTAACCCCCGTGGCAGACAATCCTAGACGTGGGAACGGGAACTGGAATTTGGGCCATGTCAGCTACTCCTTCTCCATCCTCCTTTCTTTTGCGTCTCCCTACCAATTGCATCCAACTCGTTCTAACTCGTTTATCCTTGGTAGTGACATCGCCGATGAATTCCCGTCCGCCGAGGTGATTGGCACCGACATATCGGCGGTCCAGCCCCCCTGGGTCCCCCCCAACTGCTCTTTCCAGATCGACGACGCACAGCTGGACTGGACGTTCAAGGAAGACTACTTCGACTTTGTCCACATCCGCCACCTGTACGGCGGCATCGACAACTGGGAGAAGCTATACCGCCAGACCTTCACGCACCTCAAGCCGGGGGGCTGGTTCGAGAACATCGAGGTCGACATCGAGACGCGGTCCGAGAACCCGAAGGTGGCCAACGATGAGGATCACATCTTCAAGAAGTGGTGCGATCTTTTCTGGAAGGCCGGCGACAAGCTGGGCCGGACCTTCCGGATCGCGCGCGATGGACAGATGGAGAAATACATGAAGGAAGCTGGCTTCGTCGACATTGTCCATCAGCATTGGAAGGTGCCCATCGGCGGCTGGCCGCAGGACCCGAAGCTCAAGCGCGTTGGGCAGTACAACGGGCTGTTCATCGACCAGTCCCTGGACGGCTTTGCCGTCTACCCGGTCGGCGAGGTCTTGGGCTGGACCTTTGAGGAGGTCGACGTGCTCGTGGGCAAGATGCGCGCCGCCCTTCGGGATCCCAAGGCGCTGCCTTATTTCAACCTGTAACTATCCCTGCTCCCTGACTCGTGCCCCCGTGGCCGGACATTCAGTTCGCTAACCTTTCCCAACAGGCACATGGTTTATGGTCGCAAGCCTGATACCCCGAAGTGATACCCCGAAGTCTGCTCTTAGCAAGTAATTATCTAGTTTTGCGCTGCTATTCTAGAAAAAAATAGCCAAACAGACACTGTCTGCATGCCGCTGTAACAAACACACGAACACGCGCGCATGACCGTGGTGTGGCTGGGAAGTAACTGGTGCCTCTTCTCAGTCCCAATGATGGAAGTGGAAAATACCATTCTGACGGGCTGAGCGCCGAAGTACTTCCGTATGCGAACCTGAAGCCTGCCCATCTTACCTCTCCCATCAGTGCATGGCAAAGATTCTTAACCGAGGTGGTTCGAAATAAAAGCTCGCGCTTTACTTGCCCTACAAGCCGCCACCAACCCCATCAGACCATTCGGATGAACGACGGCTGTAGATCCTCACCGCCAGCTCATCAAGCTGTCGGTCATCCATCCTAAACAGATGCTCAAACATGCGCGGCGGCTGGACAAAGCTCTCCCTCCCTCGGAACTGGACCTGCAACTCCCTCATAGCCTGTATCCGCACAACATCCTGCTCCGAAAAGCCATCCGACTCGTCCGTCCCCGAGGCCGCCGCCGTGCCGGACTGCTTCCACGGATAGTCGTCGGCCTCGCACACCGTCCACTTGCCCGTCATCGGCGCCCCGACCCCGCCCTCGGCGTCGTCGTCGTCAAACCTGGGCGGGCTCGGCACGATCCCGTGGTTGAGGTAGCCGGCGATGTTGCGCATCGTGCACAGCGACGCGGCGGCGATGGAGCAGTGGCCCTCGGACACCTGCTCGACGAAGCCCGCGCCCGCGAACTTGCGCGCCTGGTGCAGCCCCGACCGCTTCGGGGTGATGGGGTCGCGCGTGTTGGACACGAACAGCAGCGGGAAGGATGTGTTGAGCGGGCCGCTCGTCGTCGCGTTGCCGAGTTTGCCCCAGTCGAAGGACGGCGGGTCTTTCCGGCCGATGTCCCAGCCTACGCAGCGGGTTGAGATGTCAAAGATCTGGAAAGTGGTGCTTGGTGTCAGCTGAGAATTGGGTTCTGGCAGAAGTAATTAGGTGCTTTTCGACATACCATGTCCGCAAACGATGAGACGTTTGCCATCCGCTCCCAGAGATCGCCGAGTCCTGCCTTTGTGTCGTTGACCTAGCCGGAGGAATTGAATTAGCCTCGGGTATTAATCATTCTTGAAGCTCAACCTTTCCTCGACATTTGCCCCCCCTTACCTTCATCTGCTGGTCGCTGCACATGACGGCTAGACCTCCATCTGACGGATAGAACAAGAGCTTGGAGTTGAGGGTGCACATCGGAGCCAGGTCTACCGAGTTCATCAGCTCCCCCAACCCGTTGCCCCGTTCGATCACGTCCAACACCAGCGATAGGACTCGGAAGGCCGTTGGTGAATACAGAATCGCAAAGGTCAGACGTTTTATGTCGCTGTAGGTGACGAGGTTCGGGATGTGGCTGCGGGAGTTGATGACGGGCCGCGGAGTCTCCTGCAGTTCAGCCATGATGGACTCGTATCTCCGCTTTAGATCGTCGACATCGTCACCCTTCCTCCAGATGTGGCAGCGCTCCTTGGCCGCGTGACAGTAGTAGAAGAATCTATCCAGAACCTTGTCGCTGTCCTCGGCAGCGTTGATCCAGCTCTGCGACGGGGCGCGGGTTAGCTTCGTATGTAGAACGCGACTGTGCGTCAGACATGGCCACTAATATGCCCACTCACATTGTCAAAGAACCACTCGTCAGTGTTCACAACCCCATCCAAGACCATCCGTCCAACAGATTCGGCTGCATGGCATCATCAGTTGCTGCCCAACCGGCAATATCGATGGGGCCACAAAGGGGACTTGCGACTCACGGAACATGCTGGCAAACGTCGCCCCCAGAACAGTACCATAGCTGAATCCCCAATACACCAGTTTCCCCCGCGTGCTCGGCGGCAAGGCCGCCTCTTCCGCCTCATCAAGACCCGTCGACGAAACCGCTCTCTCGCGTGCGTGCGGGCAACGCCCCCCCGCTTTCCGCCTCGCCCCGTCCGTCCACCGATCCCAGGCCCTCACGATATTCAGCATGTCATGCGCAACGTGCGGCGTGCCCGCATACCCGAAGATGCCGTCCTGCCTGTCCGTGGCCCGGCACAGCAAGTTCGCCGCCCGCCGACGCGCCACCGTCTTTATGGTGGCGGCGTCGCTCGTGTTGGGCAGGCCCGTCTCCACGTCGCCCATCAGCCAGGTCAAGCGGTGGAGCAGGGCCGTGTTGAGGTCCGACGCGTTGGGGGGTTCCGCCGCAAGCGGCGACACGAAGCAGTCTGCGACCGGCGTCGAGGCGCCGATGCCGCGCGGGTCGAAGCCGATGATGTCGTGGTGCGCGCCGACGACGGTCTGCAGGAGTCGGCCCGCGGTGAGGACGATGGCTGCCCCGGAACCGCCGGGCCCGCCTGGATTGAGGAGGAGGGGGGACTCGGACCAGGTGCCTGTGGCGGGGGAGTGGCCGCTGCCGGGGAGTATCACTAGGGCGAGGTGGACCTTTGGGTTGTCGGGTGACTGGTCGAGCGGGCGGCCGTAGTCTAGCGGTACGGTCAGGCGGGCGCAGTAGAACTCGTCCAACGCCCGGAAGCATGGCTCCCAGCTGAGGTCCTCGCTGGGCAAGATGGCGTCCCAGTCTACGAAATTGTCATCCCACGCCGGCTTCGCGCCGTTCGGGAACCACTTCGGATGAAAGACGTTGGGCCAAGTCGAGAGCGACGTCCAGACAAAGTAAAAGACAGCCACCGCCAGGGTGGCTACCGTGACTGTCATGGTTCGCATCCTCCTCTGCCCGCCATTCCCGGCGAACGGGACGGGTTCGCGGGGTTTGAGTTGGTGCTGGGGCTCTTCTTTGGGATTCCCCATCGCAGTCTCTCCCACTGGAAAACCGAATTCTTAGCAAACTGCAGATGATCCCCTTCTTATTCTCGGGGTATCGAGTCTGTGTTTCTCGATGTCGACGAAAGGTAATTAATTGATTGATGACTGGGGCAGTTGTTGCACGGGGCGCAAGGCAGCAGCGAAGGCGGGGTAACTTATGTGACAGGAGCTGTGCCGCATCCTTACGCGTAATCATTGGAAGGGCGGCTGTCAAACCACGGCAGGTTATTAATGCGTGCTCGAATATGTTTCAAGTCAAAACCTATTCACCTTGGTTGGGAACATGGAGTATGGATCCGGAGATGCTGTAAGCTCATTACTGCCAGCGACTCAAGAACCCGCGTCTCGAGAAACAGAGTCAAACCTCCCCTTCACGTCGTACCCGCCAAAAGTTGGTGACCCGGCACTGGAGTGGGGAGACTTCGAGAAACCTAAGCTCCGGCGATTTCTAGCACCACGCGATAACATCACACTACCAAGATTTCTGGGCTGAGGAGAGGACGGTTATGTCATCAAAGCCCAAATCAAGGGCCAGGAAGACCCCGTTGCAGTCAAGATTGTGAGTTGGTCTTTCTGGATGAGACTGACCTCCAGCACGCAGCTACCGTCGGGATGCTTATATTCCTCAACCCGAACCCGAAGACCAGAGCCGATGCACATGGCAATCTGTAGGCCTTCTCGACAGAAGGGCGCACGAGCGAGTCGAAACCACCACCCGAGAGCTTCGCACCGTTTGTGCCAAATGTGCAAATCACCCGCTGCTTAGGCTGGACCGAATTCAAGGGGAGCGATATGATATCAACACCCATCTCAAATGGATCCGGGCGCAGTGTTTCTCGGACCTAAAGGACGACGAAACATACTACGCTATCGTCTACGCCCATGTCCTGCAGGAAAGCTGCTGCAGATGGACAATATCCTCGCACAATTGGAATTTTTCCACGTCACCGGGTTCATGAACGTGGCTTTCAACGAGAATAACTGGTTGGGGGATGGTATACTTGTAGACTTTTCTGACCTTGTCCATCCATTTGCTAGCCGGTGGTGGCGGGATTCCGCCTATCCGCGGAATGTTGAGGTGACACGACGGCTAGTCGATCAGTTTGCGAAAAGGGCCCATTCTGTCAGACATAAGCCATCATCCCAGAGATCTGCCCCCCTGGGAGCCGCATCCCAGTGGCATGTGCACACCACCTGAGGGATGAGTTGCTGTTAGCAAATAACACACCCGAGGTCGTTCCACTTGCCAGGCTTGGCATATTTTCCATAGTCGTCTCTGAGGGGGTAAGGGAGTGCCCGCGATCTTATGTCGGCTTCGAGCGAGTTCGAGAAGGGGGGATTGAAACCACGAGTCCCCCCGCCCGCTGGCTGTATGTAGTTGGCCGTGATCGAGACGCTGTGCTAATTGATAACGATAGGGCAGTGTACAAGATCCCACATGGCTCTTACTTACCTATATAGATCCTATTTGGACCATACTCTGATACGTACGACCATACCCAGTGGAGAACTCGGGATCCCGTCCGCTCTCCCATAGATAAGCCACTGAGGGCCGGATCAGTAGTTGGGTCGGTGACGACCAGCGAATCCCCGGTGTTGTACGTTTTTTTTTTTTTTCCACCTTCGTTTTTTCTCCCTCCTTTCTTACCCCTCCTCTCTCCTTCTACATCAAACGAGCACGCCAAACCATGGCAAGCCAGAGCCGATCCAAGATGTTGTTGGCCGTGAAGGGGCGGTAGAACAGTGAAAGACAATTGACATGCATGGTGCCAACCTTGACCGCGTCTTCGCGATCGATATTACAGGTTTTATCCTCCTGCAGGACCGCCATCCGTCAACAGCCAGCTGACAGATCCGCTGTGGTCCGGATCGAAATACCCAATTATGTGCTTGGATGAATGAAATAGCGAGGATGTCGAGGAATGACAAGTTGGGTTGACTAACTGGCCGAACACAGCACGTTGAGTAGCTTGATTACCGACGATTTTTACCGTTTGTTGATGACCAGAGTCATTGTGCGCGCTGTGGTTGAGACAAACACCTTGTTTATACCGCGCCACAGTCCTGTCTTTGAGTCGAAACTGCCAACAGTCACATTGTTCCCGGGCGATTGTTGAACTGGATTAAGATGACTCGGCATTGCTTTGTGTTAAATGTCGTCGTTAGTTGTTGTCTTTGTGTTATTTCACTAGCACAACTGCTTTGTTTTATAACTTCGAGATCCATCTTCAACCATCTATAAAAGCCCTACAGGCCCCCGTGTGATGAATCTCCTGGCACCGCAAGAAGCTGAGCAATTAACGACCAAGTCCAAGCAGCTACTCTCCCCATCTCATCACGCACAAGAATGGCCACAATGGCCTCTGCTACTGGCAACCCTTTCGTCCTTGGTCGAACCTCTCAAGGTTCCATCCTCAAGAATTACTTCGTCGGAGGATGGTACTGCTGCAGGTGTGAGAGGTTTTCTTTTCCACGGATGAAGAAATGCGGCCATTGCAAGCATACCAGGTGTTGTAACTGCGCCATCGCCTCGACCGAGAGTGCGAAACAGGGAGAGTAAGGGAAACAAGATAGTGTGATGAGCACGAAAATGAGAAGTCCAGTCCAGACTCATAAGTGGGAAGGATAACAGCTTACAGTTAAATGGCATGGATTATGCCTCCCAAACACAATAGTTCTGAGAGTGTATGCCTTTATGCACCAGATGTGACTATGCAGTTTTGACTGACTGGATTAACCGTCAGGATCCAAGACTTAGAAACGGACAGAGTGACCGCTGCATTAACGGAATGCCAACCTAATAGGGTTAGATATCCCCAGTAGCCAAGTCGGTGCTCTTCGCACTTCGCCTCGGTGATGTTGAGGGGGCCATAGAAGTTAGTCTTGAAAGACGCCTCCATACATTCCTCCCTGCTCGGGGTGAATATTCGGGGGAAATATGCAGAAACAAAGATACGCAGCTCAACTTCACGTCATTTCCTCCGCCCCGCTAAGGATGGATCCCGCATTGTCAACCATGGCGTCAGTCCTGCACGTGTGGACGCTCCATGCCATGCCTACCCAATACGTGCCTCAACGACTCTCGCAGGCGCCGTGACGTCCAGGTCGCGCACCGCAGCCTCGGTTTGCTTGAGATGAGCAAGCTTGGGTAGCATTGCGTTCCGTCGCAAATACGTTGTCTCCGGCCCATCGAAGCTGGCGGACGAACAGCTCGCCGAAGCCGCTGGACTAGCTAGTCACAAGACAAGTCGGGGCCAGCATTCACTTGTATTTATTCTTGGCTCGGCCACGGGAATTGTAACGTGAGAAATCATGGCTACATAGTCCCTCATCTCTCAACATGGATACTGATTAACTACCATCAGAAGAAGAAACCGTCCTCCTTGGCTCCTTCAACCCTGCTCCATACCAAGCTTACTGTGTGCTAGTCTCGCCGAGAATGACGCGCTCCAAAAGATCCCTCTCGCCGCTGTTCTCAACGAGCCCTCTGAATACACCGCCGGGTATGCTCATCAGCTCCCTCGGACTGTCAAATTCAACCAATTTCCCCGCCTCCACGACCAAAATCCGATCGAAATCAGCGACAGTGCTCAGTCGGTGGGCTATGACAAGCAAGGTAGTAGCGTTGCGACCGAACTCGGAGCGCAGAGATTGCTGAATCAATGTATCCGTCTCCATATCCACCGCCGACGTCGCCTCGTCCATGACGAGGATCTTGGGCCGCGAGAGGACGGCGCGAGCAAGACACAACAGCTGCCGCTGGCCCTGGGAGAGATTGAGTCCCCCTGCCGCCACGGAACTTGTCAAGGAAGGGAACACGTTGTCTTGCCTCTCACCGCTACCGCTCGCCGCCGCCTTTAGCGCCGTGTCCGAGCGAACCAAGTTAACTCCCTCCAAAGCCTGATACAGTTCCACATCGCCGTACTCGCCGAAAGGGTCCAAGTTAGACCTCACAGTCCCAGAGAACAGTACGGGATCCTGAGGGATGATAGCGAGGCGGCTCCTGAGGTCGCGAAGGCGGATCTGCGACACGTCGACGCCATCGATGTAGATCTGGCCCTGACGAGCCTCGAGGAAGCGGAACAGGGCCAGGGCTAGCGACGACTTCCCCGCGCCTGTGCGCCCCACCACGCCGACGCGCTGGTTTGGCTCGATCGCGAAGGTGAGCCCGTCCAGCGAAGGGGGAAGCTCGGGCGAGTAGCCGGCCACGAGGTCGTGTACCTCCAGCCGGCCTTCCGTGGGCCAGGCGGCCGGCACTTCCCTCCCGCCCTGGTCTTCCGTCTCGATGTTGGCGTACTCAATCACCCGCTCGGCGGCGCACATGTCCATCTCGACGTTGGAATACTGCTTCACGGCCATGGCTATGATGTAGCTGTACCGGAGCACCAGGCTGAGGATCAGGCCGGCGAGGGACGCCGGAACGCTCTCCATGTACACCACCACGGCGGCTGTGAAGGTTGAGAAGACGGCCACCACGAGGCTCAGGCGCAGGGTCAGCCAGCTGTTGAGGAGCCACAGATTCCACGACGCCCGCGCGTGATCGTTGATCCTGCCGTGCATGATCCGGATGTATTCGTCGATCCTCCCAAAGGCCCGGATGGTGGTTAGGCCGCGGATGCAGGAGCCGAACTGCTCGAAGATGGGGCTCTTCGACGTGTTCTCCAGGCGCTTGAGTTCGCGCGCCCCGGCGAGGTAGGTGTGGGCCAGGCGAACGCAGACGCCGAGCAGGACGACGGCGGTGGCGAGGAGAGGCGAGCAGACCAGGGCACTCGTCACGGCGATGCCCACGATCTCGAGGGACCTGCCTAGGAAGAGACCGAGGTTGTATCCGAGCCTCCCGTCCAGAAGCGACATGTCGGCGAGGAAGCGGTTGAGAATGCGGCCCTGTGGACAGGTGTCGAGCCATCGCATTGGAGCACGGAGGATTGTGAATAACAGGTCGTTGAACAAGTTCCGGGATGACTCGATAGCGGCGAAGAGGAGGAGTAACATCCTCATCGCGCCGATGACGCAGGCGGCAACGGATATTCCCACGTACACTCCGATGTACAGAGCGAGGTCACCGTCAACGGCATGGAAGATCGGCGAGTTCATCGTACTAGTTGGCGGAGTATGGAAATGCTGGTTTGAAACAAGCAGGGCCTGATTCTCGGGGGTGTGATGTGGATCAGCGGCACCGGTCCAGACACTCATCCAAAGCGACTGGAGCATGACGAAGGTTAGCTACTGATTCAGACGACAAACAATAAAACCAGAGAAACAGGATTGGGTCGGTATGAATAAACCTACGCGGCCAAGAAGGAGGGCAATGTAGACAAGGAAGGCAACGAATGCGAGAGCCCACGGAAGGAGTCGCTTGCTGCTCCTAAAATAACTCGTGTACAGCGACAACGGGGTCGATCCCGTCGCCCTGCCCTCTTCCTGGACGAACTTCTTGGAGGAGAGAGTAGCGAGAGCCGCGCCCTCCCCCGGCGCGTGGCGCGGTCTTGAGGACAGGCCCCCCTCCTCCTCCACTTTCCCGTGACCAACCGCCCGTTCCCCCTCCTGAGGGATAGCGAGCTGCGAAAGGACGTCCGCCCGTGCCACATCATCCACAGCCCCGGCCCACCGCACGCAACCCCCATCGAGCAGAACGCAGTAGTCGCTGCGCGGCAGACACAGCCCGACGTGGTGGGTGGCCAGGACGCGGGTGCGGCCCTTGGCCAGCTCGCCGGCGAGGCCGTGCTCGTAGACGTGGCGGCCCGTGTGCGCGTCCAGGGCGCTGAAGATGTCGTCGACGACCAGGATGCCCGCCCGCGAGTACAGGGCCCGCGCCAGGGCTACGCGCCACCGCTGCCCGCCGCTGAGGTTCACGCCGTTTGCGCCGATGTCGGTGAGGTCGCCGTCGGGGAGCACGGCTAGGTCTGGATCTAGGCCGCTGGCGAAGAGGACGTTGTGGTAGCGGGATGGGTGGTGGGGGAGGCCGAGGAGGATGTTGTCCCGGATTGTCGCGTTTTCGATCCAGGGTGTCTGGGTGACGCATGCCAGGGCCGAGTCGATGATCCAGTCGGCGGGGGTGGCTAGGTGGTCGTATCGTTCGGCGGCCGGTGGCGCCATCGGTACATTGACTAGACCTGCGGCTACATCGCAGTCACCGAGGATGGAAGCCAGGAGAAGACTCTTGCCGGAGCCTGTCCTGCCGGCTATCAGACTGAGCCCTCCGGCTGGGAACGTCAAGTTCAGGTCGCGCAGGAGAAACGATTCTTGTTGCCGTTGATGGTGTTTCTGGGCCGGCCATGCGAGCGTGGCACGTGTGAAGGAGATGGTGTTACCAGCTGTCGCATTCGACACCGTCTCCACCGAAGAAGACATGAAGTCGTCGATGCGACGTGCACTCACTTGAGCCTCCACGCCTTTGGCAAGGAGATCCGGTAGGCTAGCCAGGGCCGCCTCTAATCCACCGAAGACCGACATCGCAGTGAATGCCACCGAGGGCGTCAGTTCGTTGTGGATAAGGGAATACACCGTCAACGAGATGGCAGACAGGATCAGGGGGAAGAATATCCAGAGAGAAATAAGTCCGACTCGGTACAGCATCGAGGTCCAGAGCCACCGGAGCTCTGTCTCACGTCTCTCGGCAATCCGCGCCTGCCACTGCTCCTCGAGGGCGCAGAACTTGACTTGGCGGATCCCCTGCAGGCATTCCGTGAGAACTGCTACCCGGCTGTCGGTGGCCCGCATCAGGTTGCCCTGGATGCGGCCCATCCGCCTCGTCAGAAAGGTATTGATGGGGGTAACCAGTGCAGCCACCGACAGTCCGGCGACGAGACTCTCCCAGCCGATCAACTCGACTAGGAGAATGCATGCAACGACAAGCTTCAGGAGATAAGTCGGGATGAGATAGTGGGCCGATGCGAAGTCGGCGATCCGCCTGGCATCTACCGCTGCTAGGTTGAGAATGCTGCGCTGGCCGTCCTTGAGTTGCCGGTCTTCTTTCTCCTTCCCGGTTGATACTTGGCTGCTAGTGCCCTGTGTCGTGTGTCCGGTATCCTTGAGCCGCATACATTTGCCAAACACCATCGCCGTGAGCTCTTCATGGATGGGAATTCCGATATCCGCGTATATGATCCAGGACAGCCAGGACTCAACAGCCGCACAGAGGAGCATCAGCACGCCAAGGACAAGCACCCATATCCAGGACTCGGCGGCATCCCAGGCTGGTCCCTGCCGCTGCTCGAGCGACTTCAGAATCGCATACAGGGCGATCTGCGGGCCGAAGCTGAGGAGGCACGAGACGATGCCGAGCAGGAGCTGGAAGACAATCGACCAAAGGTGGCCCGCGAGCAATACACGCCACAGTTTACGGCTTCCCGTTCTTTTTTGTTCAAGTCGTTTGAGGAGGACGTCGGAGCGTGCGGAGAAGGGCAGCTCGGGCAGGTCGTTGATGCCCAGATTCCGGTTATGGGTCGCATATTGCAGAAGCCCGTTAGCCCAGCTAAAGGTGAAGCGGCTCAGAATGGAAACAGTGTACTGTTTATCCACCAGGCGACCATTATGGAACACGTCGGGACGTCGAGGGAGGCAACTGCAGCAGACTGCCTGAAGGCTGGCAGCAGCAAGTTGAGCGGCTTGGAGCCTGGAGGACAAGGACATGTAGTCGAACCAGTCCGACTTGCGCCATTCCAGACCAATGCCGAGGCCGGGAATTACCATGGCCAAGATGCTGGTCCAGTACGCATACTGGCTCAGGCGAAAGCGTCGAGTGGGCCATGGTTCGAGGGATAGGGTCGCAGCTTGAACGGACAAGAGGACCTGTGGAAGACGAGAAGTGTTAGCCGTTGCTCCTTACACGTTGCGGGGCTACCTAGAGTTTCTCTGCCCACCCAAATGCTGTCCTGGAGAATGAACGGGATCCGATTGTCAGTCTCTCCCACCAGCAGGGTCTGTGAGACAGAGGCACCGAGCCCAGCAAAGGAGAGGAGTATGGCAGAGATCCTCTGCCATTTGCCCGAGAAGACCTCTACCGAATCTTTTGTTGCCTCTCCATCTTCGTCTACATATACCACGGACTCGGTCGTTGAGATGAGGGCATTTCGGGAGCTAGAACGGAACTGCCCGTTGAGGCGACGAGCAATGGATAATGCGGTAGGAATGCTGGCTAGAGCCACAAGAGACAGGCTTGCGATACTCGTCGCAAGAAACACCTTCTCCTCGCTTGATTCCATGGCCGACAACCAGAAGAGAGAGCAGGAAGTGGGGAGAAGGAGAGAAAAACACTGGAGGACCTGCGTGGCTCCCACGAGCCCGGAAGACAGCTATCTAGAAGTTGACTGATGCCTCCGTGCTATCTTCCTTCTGGGGCCCTCCTTGTGCCCGTCGATCTCCCGATAGTCGCCGACCATGTTCCGTAGCTTTTGGATCATCGACCTCAGCCCAATCGCGCTAACCTCCCCTTGTCTGAGATTTCCACGATCGGCAATTGTGGCGTAACAAGACAACCTCGCTTTGGTGTTAGCGTTGCTCGACTGCCGTGTGGATCTGCAAGGCTTGCACTAGGTGCATATATCGGTCCGGTCCCGTGTGATTGATCTTCGGTTCTGCCGCTGGGATCGATGTACAGTACATGTATCGGCCCGACGTCCTGTAGCTTAAATTCGAACTCACAATGTGGTGCTGCAGGCGTCCAGCTGTACCGCCTGTGGCGCCCTTGGCATGGAAGATAGTTAATGGCGCAACGGATTCCCCTAGCTTTCACGCCTGGGATCTGCCAAGTAGAGAGAAAGTGTGTGTGTGTGTGTATAGGTGCAAAGTTTGTCCAGCTTTAATCCAGACTTGAAGCCCAGCCAAAGAGCAAGACGACCAAGATTCACCGTGCAGCTGTGGGCCAATTCCTATTCACCTGTGATCATGGGCACCACCCAGGACTCTCGACGGCTGTGCTGTCCTGGCCTTCCGAATGAGCCTCTCTGGGTCAACCTGCTCGAGCGTGCCACCACCATCAGTCGACCCATTCTTCGCGATACCACCCTGGGTATCCATGTCAGCCTGACCCAACTCCTCGCTGATGTCGTCCACATGCGCCAAGTGCTTTGGGATTCTCTGCCTTCCGCCCTCTTCGACGACCAGGCAAACGGGATCATCAATGAATCATCCCCTTATATTGGGCTATCAACAGCCCCAAACTATGAGTTCTACGTTGCTTCCTTAGCCATCCTCGCCGTTGGCGGGGCCATCGTGCCGCTGCGTGGGTGTCCCCTCCGTTTCGCACCTCTTACGAAGCCAGCACAGCTAACAGGAGGGTCACTTTACGTTCCCGACAGGCCCCGAATTACCGGTCGCAGAAGAGCTCCAGGTCTTGAAGGACTGCAAAGCGGTCGCCATTCTGACCGGGCCCCAACAGATGTCGCAGTGCGGCGAGATCAAGACACTTGCCGAACGCCAGGGGTACCGCCTCCAGATCATCCCGTTGGCCATTCTAACGACCGGTGCCCTCGATTCGAATCCCGACTTCACCATCGACGCCAGACAGACCATACCACCAACCCGACCCAGCCTGGTCATCCGCACAACAGGCACGACCGGCGGCCCCAAGAGCGTCGTGCACACCCGTCGGCTCTTCCACCGCGCCTTCCCGTCCAAGCCAGACGACCTGATCCTCATCCACGAGAACCTCGACTGGATCAGCGGCAGCGTGTCCATCATGATGCGCGTCCTCGGCGGCGCCGCTGGCGAGGTGCTGCCGACCAACCCGGGCCCCGCCGCCATCTGGGAGCGCCTTCGCCGGGGCGGCGTCACCAGCTTGACGGATCACTCGTGGTTCTGGGAGGGGTTGGCCCGGCACTTCCGGCTGCATATCGCGGTGCTGCCCGATAAGGAGGAGAGGGAGGAGTATGTTCGTGCCGCGAGATCGCTCCGGTGGGCTTTCGTTGTTGGGACACCGCCTCCGCCATCGTTGCTTGCGTTCTGGGAGGGGACATTCGGTGCGAAGTTGCAGGTCGGTTATGTCGCAACAGAGTTGGGAGCAGTGGCTCTATCTACATCGCCGACGGAGCCGTATGTTGAGGTATGCCAGCACCGATATTACCTCTTCTCTTGTCCTTACGATCTGACGCGGAGTCTTCTTAGGGTTCCCTCGGAAGACCCCTCCCCGGAATCACAGCCAAGTTGTCGCAGGGCGATCATGGCGAGTTGCTCGTCAAGACACCATACATGTTCTCCCAGTAAGGAAACCCCATACCATGATCATGTACCATCCCCAGTCTGTAACAGGCGGCGCTGACTCCCCAAACACTAATTAGCTACATCGGAAACGAGGCCGCTACGAAGGCGGCGTTCGACCCCGAGGGTTATTTCAAGACGGGAGATGCCGCCCACCTGGATGGTGACAAGTACGTCTTTGATGGGAGGATTGGAAGCGATAGTGAGTGTCCCACAACTTCGACTTGGCTGAATAAGACAAGTACTGTCACTAACCCAACCAGTCCTGGACGTGGGCGCGCGGCAGATCTCCCTCCTCCGCCTCGACCACAAGCTCACGGAGCTGCCGTACATCTCGGAGGTATATACACTATGCGTCCCGCCTGGAGGGCCAGGAACCGAGGGCGGCAACCAGCTGGGCGCCCTGGTGCGGTTCAAAGATCCGTCGGTTTCCAAATCCCGCTCCGACGCGGCAGATCTGTACGCCGATGATTTCAGGGCCCAGCTCTTAGAAGCCCTACGTCCGGCCGAGATTGCGGTGGCGATCCGGGTTCTGCGTGATGGGGAGGAAATCCCGCGGACGTTCAATATGAAGCCGTTCCGGAGACTTGCGGTCAAGCAGTTCTTCCCGTCGCAGTTCCTTCCCCTTCAAGACAACGCTGCAGCAGCTTGTTGAGGAGAAATGTATTTATTTCCTGGTCGTCTAGAGTACATGCCGCACTATTTCGCTTTGTTTTCTTGATGATTCAGTAGACATACATGAGTGCTGCATATCGTCAAGACAAAAGCAAGCATGACACGACTTCTCGATACTTCAGTATGGCTCGGGGCCGTACACCTCGTTCTCTGCCCCACCACCCCGCCCCAAGCGACCCAGCTGGCTCCTGAAACCCCCCCGGCTGGCATCCACCAGCGGCCTGACTCGTTGGCCTTCCATGTCGACCCTGGCTTGCATGTTGGCTGGGTCGTGCTTATTAGCTCTGGTCGTGATATTCCTGCGCAAGGGGCTAAATAATATGGATCCTGGATTGACTTACCAATCCCGGTCAGGTGGTTGTTGACAAATATGTTCTCCCACTGCTTCTTGGGCGCGTGGTAGACCTCATGCATGATGCTGAGATGCGGATGGGACTTGGTGATGCTGTTCCACCAGGTCCACGCCCGACGGTGCAGCGGGCCGTGGGCATAGGCGTGAAGGTCCTCGACGGAGCGGAAGTAGCAGAGGACCATGACTTGGTTGTTTGTGTGGCGCTCATTCGCGGCCACCCACGTCGTCTGGCCGAGGACTGCGAAATCAATCTGGTTAACAAGCTCTCGAGAAAAAGAGCAACGGCGCGGTCAACTCACAGCCGTACTTGTCTGCGTCTTCCCAGAGCTCGGCCACCATGGCATTCAGGTAGTTCGATACATCTCTATACCCCGGACCGAAGATCCCTAGAGCACTGCCGGGAAGTCACACGATAAGCAACCATTTGGGGCGAGCCCAGGGCGGAAGATACAAAGCAACTATCATTCGCTCACTGGTTTGACCGTGCGGCCAGAATAATAACCGTCACATCTTGCTCCGAAGTTTGACTTGGCGGTTCGCTGTATTTCCCCGGGATCTGGGCCGAGAACTTGCCCATCTTCACGCCGTCCATCTGCGAGTTTCCGATGACGCCGCGGTGCATCAGCATCGTGCGCAAGAAGCGAAACGACAGCAGGGACACAGCGGGGGTCATGGCATAGAGCGGCGGCAGCAGCAAGTACGCGAGAACCTGCATAACGGCGCCCAGGCAAAGCCAGCTGCTGATGGCGAAATTGTCGCGGAAGACCTAGGGGTGATGCCACCTCTCCTGTCAGCACTCGCTGCCCCATCACCACATCACCACATCACCACATCAGAAACAGGGGGGAATGGCCGGCCTGCTTGAGCATCCATGGGAACCGTTGGATGGGACGGACTCACGGCATGTCTCGCAATTTTGGCCGCTCTGTGAGGGTCATGGCGTGGGCCACTGGCTGACGAAGTAACGAATGGCTTGAAGTCCATCTTGACGTGCGATGACATCTTGTCCGGTTCAGGGGCACTTTGGAAACCAAACCAGGTATTGAGGAACAGCGGATGAACAGCGGATAAACAGCATACAAACTCCAAGGAGACACATTGGGGGCTGTTCGGATAGAAGATCAGCCTAGACCTAATTAGATACCGGCTAGCTGGGCTCCAAAACAGGGATTAGCCTGGCGGGTCGGGGCTGGAGCGGTGTGATAGGCGATGTTCAGCTGCGCTCTACACTACCACTAAGACGGGCGGGCGCACCCGCGAGCCCTAGTGGCGGTTCGCTAATGCGAATCACGCTAAATTTGTGTATGTCGATCGCTCGAGGCGCGCAAATGCAGCGTAAGTACGGATACTTGCATGTGAAAATGCAGCACCCCCCCGGCACAGGAAACCAAGATCGACACTTGCCTGGACGAGTGGCTTCGCTGTGCAACTGCAATGACATGAGACTTTATTCTCCTGTTCTCCTATTAGTGGACTGCAAGTACGGATACACTAGGTAACGTAACTAACTCGTAATTAGCGTGCAGTCAAGCAAGCCACCCTGCTTGATACCCGCCTGACATGACGATATTCACCCGGTAATGCAGCTCCCAGCCAAAGCTAACCTTGAGGGCTCAAAGTATTGGGTAATCCCGGGGCTGATCAATGGGGTTCGTCAATGGCTTCTAATTCTAGGCCTCAACACAACTAGTGTAGTCCACTGCGTAATCGGAATTCACCCTGCCCCTTTCCCCCACACGAACCTTAATCACTCTGAAGAACTGCTGCTTCGGCTAGGTAGTTATTCCATGGCAGTAACTGATGAGCACACAACAACACGAGGGTATCTAAATCATCTTGGGAGCGGTCCAACCTTGAGCGCTCTGGGCTTTACTTCAGACCAGACCCTGCACATAATTAATAGATAACAAGATATGGCTTGTACTGGCCCATCAATGATTAGCGCTACACATTACGATTGACTCCGCAGCTGTCCCTAAAACGATTAGTCCTTGTCCCGTGGCTGGCTGGGACGTGTAGGTCCGTCCCGTCTTAGTGTCTGAAGGCTATCCTTACCGGCGGTTATCTACCCAACCCTGGGCTAGATCTACCGGTCTAGCTCATGACCAGGTTCCAAACGACGTCACCAGCTTGGGTTATGAGTGGCTACTTGAGGCCTCTCCGAGATGCTGATCTTCCGGGTGGAATATCAGAGGCTGGACCATCCAACGCCTGATGTTCGATCAGCAAGCTTCCCGCCCCAAAGCTTGCGGCCTGCTGGCCTGGCTCTTCGGCCCGGCAGGTTCACGAGAGTCCAAACAGGGTCATACGCCACACCGCCTTCGCTTGGTTTCGGCACTGATCAACCACCACCACAAACCCTGGATCGGAGCTGGACTCAACTCTGGCCCGCGATCATCACCAACATGTCGCTTTTGTGTGGTTTTAGCTTGCTCCAGCATCTAGCGCCACTGGCTTGGCATGCTGGGTTTGATCCCAGCCAGGGCCAGGGCCAGGGCCTCACATTTCCAGGGCAAGCGCATACTGTGCGTAGGGTCTCGCAACCTTGGAGGTAACATGCCCGGACCATTCAGAGAAAAGGATCATATATTGCCTATGTCCCTCATATCCAGTCCAACAATCTGTCTCCTGATTTTTGCTCTTGCCCTGAATTCGTTACTCTACTCTCCAATTCACTTGCACACGTTCGAACCCAAGTATACGACAGGGTAAACAATCAGACCAAAAAATGGCGACTGCAGAGCCGATCGCCATCGTGGGTAGTGGTTGCAGGTTCCCTGGAGGAGTGTCATCTCCGTCCGGCCTCTGGTCCCTCCTCAAGGATCCGCGGCACGTCGGCTCCAAGGTACCCTCTGATCGCTTCAACATTGACGCCTTCTACCACACCGACAGCGGACATCACGGCACCACAAATGTCCAAGAGTCTTACTTCCTGGACGACGATATCCACCGTTTTGATGCCCCCTTCTTCAACATCTCCGCTCGCGAGGCAGAGGGCATAGACCCCCAACAACGCATCCTCCTGGAGACCGTCTATGAAGCCGTCGAGAGAGCCGGGATGAGGCCCACGACCCTTCAGGGATCATCAACCGGCGTGTTCTGCGGCGTCATGTGTGACGATTATGCCCAGATCCTTGCCCGGGACACCGACCAGCTGCCACAATACGCCTCCACTGGGATTGCCCGCAACAACGTCTCCAACCGAATCTCATACTTCTTCGACTGGCACGGCCCCTCAATGACCATCGACACTGCCTGCTCTTCCAGCCTAGTTGCCGTGCACCTGGCTGTTCGGGCCATTCGCGAAGGAAGCTGCAGCGTAGCAGTGGCCTGCGGCACGAATCTGATCCTCTCCCCGATCTTCTACATGTCTGCCTCCCGGCTCAACATGCTCTCGCCGACAGGCCGCAGTCGCATGTGGGACGCGAGTGCCGACGGCTACGCTCGGGGAGAGGGCGTGGCGTCGGTTGTTCTCAAGAGGCTATCGGACGCTATTGCCGACGGCGATGTCATCGAGTGCGTCATCCGAGAGACCAACGTCAATCAAGACGGCCGTACGATGGGCATCACCATGCCCTCCAGCGTGGCGCAGGCCCAGCTGATTCGATCCACTTATTCCAAGGCTGGCCTGCGGCTGGACCGCGCCGAGGATCGCTGCCAGTACTTTGAGGCTCACGGGACGGGCACGCAGGCGGGTGACCCGCAGGAGGCCGGGGCCATTGCCGAGGCATTCTTCCCCGGCGAGGGCGGAGACGACACTAGGGAGCTCCTAGTTGGCTCTGTCAAGACCGTCATCGGCCATACCGAAGGGACGGCGGGACTCGCGGGGCTCCTCAAGGCCTCCCTGTGTATCCAGCATGGAATCATTGTGCCAAACCTCCACTTCAACACCCTCAGCCCCAAGGTTGAGCCTTTCTATTCCCACCTGCGAATTCCCACCACCGTCCAGCCCTGGCCGCATCTCCCTCCCGGTGTCCCACGGAGGGCATCGGTCAATTCCTTCGGCTTTGGCGGCACGAACGCCCATGTCATCCTGGAGAACTACGAGCCTCCTCCGGTGTACCTGAACGGGACTCGGGCAGTTCCGACAGTACCGATTCCCCTCCCTTTCGTCTTCTCGGCCTCCTCCGACCGGACCCTCGGCGCCGTTCTCGACTCCTACAGCAAATATCTCGACTCCGAGGCCCCGAGTGACCACATCAGTCTCTCCGAGTCCCTCTGCACGCGACGCGACGACCTGGCGCACAAGGTCGTCCTCACCGCGTCATCCGTCGACGGCCTCAAGGCAGCCCTCACCCTCGAGCTCGAGCGCCGCGGCAGCGGGAACTCCTCGGCCATGGTCCGCCGGCCCGGCGGCGGTGCCGCCCGGAAGCTGGGCATCTTCACCGGCCAGGGCGCGCAGTGGCCGCGCATGGGCCGCGACCTCATCTCCGCGTCCCCGGCGGCAAGAGCATGGATCGACGAGCTGCAGCGCTCGCTCGACGAGCTTCCACCGCAGTACCGCCCGCCATACTCCCTCATGCAGGAGCTCGCCGCGCCGCCCGAGGACTCGCGGCTCGGCCAGGCGGCCGTCTCGCAGCCTCTGTGCACAGCCGTGCAGATCGTCCTCGTCCGGCTCCTGGAAACCGTGGGCGTCACCTTCGATGCCGTTGTGGGCCACTCGTCCGGCGAGATCGCGGCCGCGTATGCGGCGGGCCTCGTCTCCGCCGCGGATGCCATCCGCATCGCCCACCTTCGGGGCATGTTCGCTAAGCTTGCGGGCGCGAACTCTAGCCCCGGCGCTATGCTGGCGGCTGGTTTGTCGGAGGTTGAGGCGACCGGGCTGTGCGGGGAAGATAGGTTCCGCGGCCGTGTTGCTGTCGCGGCTGTTAACTCCCCGCTGAGTGTGACGCTGTCGGGTGATGCTGATGGGATCACTGAGGTGGCGGAGGTTCTGAGCGGGCAGGGCAAGTTTGCACGGCTCCTCAAGGTCGACACGGCGTATCATTCGCATCACATGGTTCCGTGCTCCAATGCCTACATCGCTGCACTGAAGGAGGTCGGGATCCAGTCGGGAGACCGGCCGTCGGCGACGTGGTTCTCCAGCGTCTATCCCGGACAGGTGATGGGTGATTCCTGCACGGCGCCCCTCAGAGATGTGTACTGGAACGACAACATGCTCAAGTCTGTTCTCTTCTCTCAGTCGGTGACGGCAGCGATCACAAGCGCCTCGTTCGACATTATGATTGAGGTCGGGCCACATCCGACTTTGAAAGGTCCCGTAATGCAGACAATTTCCGAAATCCCGGGCGCCAGAACCGATGTGCCATATCTGGGGCTCCTCAGGCGTGGGATTGGTGGTCTTGATACCTTTGCCGCCGCCCTTGGATCTCTCTGGACTTACATGGGCCCCGAATCCTGCAAGCTGGCGTCGTACACGAGACTTTTCTGCACCCCGAGGGACACCAGCCCTCTGAAAAGCATGCCGACATATCCGTTTAATCACACCCAGGCCTACTCGGCCGAGTCTCGGCTCTCCAAAGCGATGGCCCATCGGAAAACAATCCCCAACCAACTCCTCGGAACCCAGAGTGCGGAGGCTGCGGATGGTGAGTGGCGCTGGCGAAATTACCTGCGACGGGAAGAGATTGAGTGGCTTGACGGGCACCAGATCGAGTCGCAGACCGTCTTCCCCGCCACCGGCTACGTTGCCATGGCCCTGGAGGCGGCTTCTGTCATCTCCGGAGGCAAACTTATCCGCCTCATCGAGATCTGCGACTTCCACGTCGCCCACGCCATATCCTTTGACGAGAATTCATTCGGCATCGAGACCCTGTTCAAGCTCGAAGGAGTCGACATCCAAGCAGAGGAGTCAAGAATGTCCGCCTCGTTTTCGTGCCACGCCGCGTTCGGCGCGACGCTGCGCCGTTGTGCGTACGGTAAGATGGACATCACCTTCGGAGACCAGGAACCATCTCTGCTTCCGGGACGGGGTTCTTTGCCACAGGGTCTCAACTCCATCGGTGTCGACAATTTCTATTCGTATCTCAGCGACATTGGCTACGGATACACGGGCCTGTTCCGCGGGATAACCGCCATCGGCAGGAAGAAAGACGTGGCGAGCGGCCGGATGATGAATGCATCGCTGCAGGACACGGCGTCGTCACTGGTGATGCACCCGGCCACGATGGACACCCTCCTCCAGACTATCCTCGGCGCCATCGGCGCACCTCACGACGGCAGGCTGTATACCCTCTGCGTCCCGACCATGATCGCCAGGATCACTGTCAACCCCCTTTTCGGCGGCAGGGCCGGGATGGGCGAGGAGATCGCCTTCGACGCGAGGCTGACCGACTACGGCCCCGGTGCTATCGCGGGCGATGCGGCGCTCTTCGACCTCGACGGCAACTGCGTGCTGCAGATGGAAGGCGTCAAGGTATCTCCCCTGTCAACCCCGACGGCTGCCGATGACCGCCTGCTGTTCTCCGAGACGGCCTGGGGCCCGCTCCATCCTGATGCTTCCCTCCACTATTCGGAGCCGTCTCCCGAGTTGTGCGCGGCGGCCAAGTTGAAAGAGAAGGTTGTGCTCTTGTACATGAAGCAGATCAGGGAGACACTTACGGAGGATGATGTCGCGGTGCTCGACTGGCACGGCAAGCGAATCGTGAGCTGGTTCGATCATGTACTTGGCATGACGCGGGCAGGGAGACACCCTACGTGCAAACCCGGTTGGCTGGATAGTACCATTGCCGAGGTTGTGGGCAAGTTGGACGTTTCCACAGTCGACATGGAAGCTGTGCGTGGCATTGGGGAGAGCATGGTGCCCTTCCTCCGGGGCGGAACGACGATATTGGAGGTGCTGAGGGAACGCAACATCCTGAACCGGCTGTACAAGGAGTTCACCGACACGACCATCGTCGGCCAGATGGCGGCCGTGGCAGACCAGCTCGCCTTCCGCTACCCCCGCATGAAGATCCTAGAGATCGGCGCCGGAACCGGGTCCGCCACGGGGGCGATCCTGGACCGCATTGGCCGGGCTTACTACTCGTACACGTTTACCGATATCTCCCCGGGCTTCTTCGACGACGCCCAGCAGCTCTTCGAAGACCACTCTGACCGGTTCATATACAAGGTTCTCGACATCGAGAAGAACCCCGTGGACCAGGGATTCGACGAGCACTCGTACGACCTCATCGTGGCGGCCAATGTTCTGCACGCTACGAGATCGTTGCAGGAGACCTTGGTCCGCACCCGATCGCTGCTGAAGCCCGGTGGTTCCTTGCTTCTCCTGGAGGGGACAAACATCGACGTCCTCCTCGGCTCCTTCATCTTCTCCGGCTTTGAGAGCTGGTGGCTCGGCGAGGCAGAGGGCCGCGTCTGGGGACCCATGGTCACCGGTGATACCTGGGACAAGATGCTGAAGACTGCAGGGTTCTCCGGGGTGGACACTATCACTCCGGACCACGACAAAGGATTGCGCCCGTTTTCTGTTGTCTTGTCGCAGGCTGTGGATGACGGGGTGGAGTTACTTCGAGATCCGTTCACGCCAGGCCGGGCGGTGTCTCACCGTGGAAACTTGTACATCGTCGGAGGGGCGACGCCGTGGACTTCGATACTCGTGACCAAGTTGGAGGCGATCTTGTCGCAATTTTTTGAACGAATCATCAAATCACCAACCCTCGAGTCACGGGAGCTTCTCGACTTGGCCCCGGTGTCGACGGTTCTCAATCTGACCGACCTGGACGGGCCCTGCTTCAAGGACATCAATGAGGCGCAATTCAACGCACTCAAGGCTCTCCTCGAGACCAGCCAGAACCTCCTCTGGGTCACCACCGGCCCGGAGAGCGACAACCCCTACGACGGCATGAGCAAAGGCTTGCTTGCGTGTGCCGGCTACGAGAACCCGCACTCGCGATACCAGCACCTGAATCTCGTCGATGTCGATCCCGACGCCGTCGACGCCCACTTCGTCGCTGCACAGCTGCTGCGCATGGAGGCCGCCGCCGATTCGGACAATGACTACGACCTACCCTCTCGTGTCTGGACCACCGAGCCGGAGCTGCGCCTCGAGGGCGGGAGGTTGTGGATTTCTCGCATTAAGAACGACCCCTCCATGAATATGCGGTACATGTCCGGCAGGCGGTCTATTGAGGAGGAGGTCGATCTGCGGGAGTCGAGCATCGCGATATCGGAGTCCGGGGAGCTGGTCAGAGCTGCTAGACAAGCACCTTGGGAATCTACCCCGGCTGGGGTTTCTATCCGGGTCAGATACTCTACCTCGGTCCCGTTTAGATTTGACGGAGCCGGATTGCTATACCTCGTCATCGGAGTCGGCCAGGGAAAGACGCAGGGTCGTTTCCTTGCCCTGTGTGAGAGCCAAGAGTCCGTTATCTCAACGCCCCCAGTCTGGTGTTGGCCAGTGCCTGAGCAGGTCACTGGAGAGAATGAGGCTGCGTACCTGTACGGGACGGCGTCTGCGCTGCTCGCCGCAAATCTGGTCAACATGGCGAGTCCGAAGACCGCCATCCTCGTCCATGAGGCCGACCACACCCTTCGGTCGGCCATATCGGCCTTTGCCTCGGCGGCCGGCATCAAGCCGCTGTTCACAACAAGCAAGTCTCAGCCAGCATTGCAGAAGAGCACGAATACGATATTCATCCACGAGATGAGCTCCGCTCGTGCGCTTGCCGATCTGCTGCCGGTGACCAACGTGTCTGTCGCCGTGCGATTTGACACCGGCTCATCCAAGTCATGCGGTGGTGTTTGGAATCGCCTAGATGCGCTTCTTCCGCCACACGTCCGCCGGGAGAGCCTTCAGAGTCTCCATTGCCACACTTCTGCCGTTCACGCATCTTGCGGCGTCACCCGGACCACGGCGTCCCTGGAGGGTGCGCGTCGTCAGGCACTTGGGTCGAGCACAGGGGGTCTGACGGCAGCAAATATTGTTGACGTGCAGGCGCTGGTCGGGAGTCATGGACTGAGAATTGTCGACTGGACCGGAACACAGAAGGTCAGAGTCCCGGTCCAACCGGCAAGCAACCTCGTCAGCTTGTCCCCCAATAAGACATACTTGCTCGTCGGAATGACCGGGGATCTCGGGCGGTCGGTGTGTCAGTGGATGATTGGGAGAGGGGCCCGCCACGTCGTTCTCACCAGCCGGAAACCCAAGGTGGAGGGGTGGTGGATCGAGGAGATGGCAAGACTGGGCGGCCAAGTTACCGCGATGCCCATGTGAGCAGTCTCCCCGCCCCAAATCATAAGTAGTGACGATGATAAGCTAACACCATCAGGGACGTCACCGATCCAGAGTCGGTCCTCAAGGTCGACCGCATCATCCGCAAGGAACTCCCTCCCATTGGCGGCGTCGTCAACGGCGCCATGATCCTAGCAGACCAGCTCTTCTCCAAAATGACCCTCGAAGACTGGCAGAGGACAACCAGGCCCAAGGTCGAGGGCAGCATCCTCCTAAACGAGCTCTACGCCGACAAGGACCTCGACTTCTTCATCCTGATGGGCTCCATCTCGGGCCCGCTAGGCAACCGATCGCAGTCCTCCTACGCCGCCGCCAACACCTTCATGTCGGGCATCATCCGCTGGCGCCGCGACCGCAACCTGGCCGGCAGCATCGTCAACCCGGGCCAGATCCTCGGCGTCGGCTACGTGTCCAACGCAGACGACTGGCTGCTGCGCCACCTCGACGACGCCATCGGCTGCTACCACATGTCGGAGCACGACCTGCACGACCTCTTTGCCGAGGGCATCCTCGCCGGCCGCCCCGGGACTGCTGGGCATGCCCGCAGCCGCCGCAACCCGGACATCATCGCCGGGTTCCGCACCGCGTCGCCCGCCGCGAAGCCGGATGTCATCTGGTACCGCAACCCCAAGACCTGGCACTTTGTCGACCACCACGCCGACAACGCCTCGGGGGCGCCGGGCAAGACGGCGGCGGCGGCGCGCGTCCCCGTCAAGGAGCAGCTGGCGTCGGCGGCGACCGCCGACGCCGTCGCAGAGATCGTCGCCGCCGGGTTCGTGGCTAAGCTGCGGAGCAAGCTCCAACTGCCCGAGGAGGCTGTCGTGGCCAGGGACGTGGCGCCGGCGGAGCTCGGGGTCGACTCGCTCATTGCCGTGGACCTGCGCACGTGGTTTGTCAGGGAGGTGGGCGTCGATGTCCCTGTGCTGAGGATCCTGGGCGGCGCGTCGATTGGCCAGATTGCGGGTGAGGTGGCGGCCAAGGTGTGTCTCGCGCTGCCACGGTTTGCGGGGGGGGATGCTACGGTGGTGGTTGGGAATGGGGTCGGGAATGGGGTCCGGAATGGGTCCGGGAATGGGGTCCGGAATGGGTCCGGGAATGGGCTGAAGAATGGAATCGGGAAGTAGATGGATCAAGTACGGAGATGTATTGTTTCTCGATAGCTACGTAGATGCGTGTTCTCCTTTTAGGGTCGATAATATAATTAGGTGTTTACCGCGACGCTGATACTGCTCTATTGGCACTCCGCCTCATCTGCACTTGAGCAGTCCTGAACCATCCATACAGCTGGAGTTGGATGCGAACTAATATCCAAAAGGATCTCAGATTACGGCTATCCCCATTCATTCTCAGAAGTAGGTGGCAAACTGGCGGACGATGGCTTGGATGGGGATATTGAGGAGGCCAATATTGTACCATCATGCCGTCATTGTTTTGTTCCAACGGAGCCTGGGCATCATCACCCCATACAGATCGACATTTAGTGCCGATCGACTTCCCCATGCTCTTTAAGCATTGGCTAGCTTCAGCGGCCCCAGATATCGTCATGAGAAGTCATTGCCCGAATCAGCCAATCAGCGCAGCATTTTTGGCATTCAAGCTTCCCAAAGTGGCAAATGGGGCACATGTGACATGTGGAGACGATGCACATCGATCAGGCACCCGCGCGGGGAAAGGGTGTCAAATTATTCGTACATTCGTTCTGCCCGTTGTGCTCGTGTTGTTCAGCCTCTCCCCTATTTCCGGTCCTCCAAAGACGTCCCCTCGTGTAAATGCGTCTCCTTTGTTGTCTCAGTCGGAGTCGGCGTGCCTCCTCCCCCTAGTTCCCAGTTTGCGCCCTTCTCGACATTGCTGGAGCTCGGGACGGGGCAGGCGGGGTGCGGAACATCGCAGCGCAGTGGATGTCCCGCCCCCGTTATGATGGCGCCAATGTCGGACGGTTTGTGGGCCGCCGAGAGGGCGAAGTCGCCCGAGTCAAAGTATTTCCTTGTCTGGAAACAAACCCATGTTCGGAATCAGTGTGCGTGTTCCGAGTATAATTAGGAGTACGGATGGACGGGCAGGCAGGGATATTAGAGATAATAAATTACCTCCAGCTGCCGGTGCAGCAAGTGTTCCTTCACTGGTAGGCCTCCGTAGAGGCGCGAAATGCGTCGGGCTGGCTTTGTCGAAGGCTTGAAACGATGAGCAGCTTCGTCGTGGTTGAGATGCCGGGACGATGAATATCTCACCTCAGTCTTCTTTTCGGTGTTCTTGGGTTCCATTGAAGTGGCCCCGAGTTGTTGGTTTAGTTGCAAGGAAAGGGATTTACAAAGTGCCATCAACACAATCGAGCCACACCCTTGGGCACAAAGCAGACAAGGCCCGTGCTTTATTAGTTGGAGTCGACTAGCAACGATGACGCGCAACGTTAAAGCGGGAGTGGCGTTCCAATCTCCTCAACGCCTATCATTTGCATTCCCCCCTACATATACTAGTTGTTAGGAAAGTATTGGACACGGCAATTACCGACTCAGACCCTCCACCGGGGCAATAAATGTTAGCGCGGCAAGGGTTGAGATACGCCTTTCTTTCTATGGTAACTCCCCTAACCATAAGTAGAGAGAGAACCCCTGTGCCACGCTAACATTTATTTCCCCGGTGGAGGTGTAACTGTCGCCCTCATGCTAATTATGCTCCGAACTTCTCTGTTCTCCATCCAAACATTTTCATCGGTTTCCGTCCAGTTGCTGCGGCCAGTTTGCGGGACAGGTGCCCGTGCACGTCAATCCCATGCTTGCCTGGTTCTGGATGTTCGAGCAGAGAACCTTCCCCGTGCCGCCAGCTTTAGGTTTGATGTTGATGTTCTCAAAGTGGAGGTTCTGGCAGGGCACTGTCTTCGAACAATACATCCCAGCAGCAATGTTATAACGGCTGGTCCCTGAAATATTGTACCAGCTGATATCAGATATGCCGAGCCGGGAGCTATCACAGTTGTTGCCGGAGTAGGTGCAGGGCGTGATGTAGATGGGCTGGTTGACGTCTTCCAACACGAAGTTCCTGAACGTCACGTTTTTAACATGTCCCGTTCCCGGGTATGTCTTGATCCACGCGGCATTGGACGAGTGGTGGCACTCCATGTCCTCAAAGACCACATTATCCACAAAGTCGGCTTGGCCGGCGTTGGAGCCAACAGAGCCAATAACGGCGCAACCTGATTCGTAGCACGTCACATTCTTCACGTCGATGTTTGTGCTATTTCCCTTGACGGAAATGCAGTCCTGCATGACGGGGGGGCAGAACTCATCATCAGTATGTCGGTCTTGCCGGTATCAGCAATAATAAGGAGGGTTTAATAAACTCACGTCGCCGCAGGTAACCGTCCAGTTGCGTATGACTATGTCCTTGGAATTCCACGAATCGAATCCATCCGTATTCACTGCCGAATACTGCGAGTGGCTCGTGGTATTCATGTCCAGGTTCGTCATGGTGACATTCTGGCTGTGTGCCACAAAAGTGTGCCAGAACTGGCTCTGGCGCCACGTAATCCCGTCGATCCAGACGTTGAACGCCTTCCAGATGGTCAGATTGATCGGCCGGCCCTGCCTGTTGCTCCCGTTCTTGTTCTCGTCCATCCACACCTGGCCGTTGCCGTCGAACAGCGCCTTGCCGAACCCGCGCATGGTGATGTTGGTGCCGCCCAGCAGCCACGAGGTGTGCAGGCCGGCATAGGTGACGGGGAACGTGTTCTGGATCCAGTAGTTCAGGTTGTCGGCGCTCCAGACGAACTTGCCGAGGATGCTTATGTCGCAGTTCTTCAGCCCCTGCGTGTCCATCACCTGCCGGATGTTGTACGTCCCCTCGGTGAAGACGATGCTGCCATCCGTGCCGCACTTCTTGAACGCGTCGAGGATCTGCGGCGTGTCGTCCTGAGCTGCCTGTCTCTCGGAGAGCCCGGCCTCATCTCGGGGCCGTGCTGTGCCTCCGAGGGGGGTGACAGTACATGTTGAGCCTTCCTTCACCACTTCTGCTGAGGCGTACGAGGCCGAGATGAGAAGAAGAACGTGCAAGAGGCGCATCGTGTCTACGTTTGCTGCTTTTGCACGTTTTAGTGGTAGTGTCGACACGTAGGCGGCCCATACCAGGCAGCGTTCCCAGTTCTAATTATATGGGGTGCTGATAATCCCCCTTGTTTCCCCACATGAAGGGCTGGTCCCGTTCAGCCGGCATGCTTTGATGCGACTCCGTCTGGGCGGGTTGGAGTATTTTAAGGAGTGGGGAATAATACTCCAATTTCTCCCATATTGCGGGATAGTTGCCAAGGGTACATAATATCTCTGGAGCCCTTTCGCTGGAAGCCCGACTTCTTACTTTGCCGGTGTTTTGGCTAATATATCGCACTGCTTAGAGCGGGGTTTGCTGTTTCTGTCAGCTCACGCCTACCCTGGCAGCTAAAATTAAGTTACACCTGCCATCAAAAACAGGAGTGGACGAGTTCTTGGAAAAGCTGATTTGGGGGGGGGGGGCGCGGGGGAGGGGGGGGCGAAACCGGATGAATAAATACGGCCCTACGTTTGGTGAGGCCAAAATGTGGTGGTGGTGATATTTCGCCCTATCTGCACATGCCAAAAGGGGGAAGATTATTCAGCTGACAGGACTCAATGTTGACAAGCGGAGAGTATTATTTTTGGCTATTATGTATGTACTGTACTTACGACGCATACGAGTACAGACGGTGTGCCGAGGGTGGTAAGGTGGGGACAATTGTATTACTATAAAATCGAGATTCCTGGGTTTGTGGTTCTGGAACAAGGTTAGGCTGAATTAGGAAACAGTCGTGTTGTATTTTCGCACCAATCGAAATCTAGCATATGTGTGACTCTTGCTTGGCCAATGGGCAAGGGACAGCAGTTGAGGGAGGAGAAGTTAAAGGGGGAGAGAATCGAGAGGAATCGGGCTTGATATGTCTGTCTCGAAGTGGGATCCCTGATTGGGTTGTCTATAGACAGCGGACCTGCGATGATATCTTGACGTGTCAGAGATCTGTCGCAAGGTTCGGCTCTGCATTCAGTCCTAGTCTCCCTGATGCCTTTTCCTGCATCCTAGAATACGCACCTGGAGTTTTAATGGATCAAGCTGTAAATCTAGTATCCTACGATTAAGAGAAAAGAAAACAACGCCACTGTGTTTTCCCTGGGACGTAGTGAAATGTATTGGCCGACTGGGTTTTTCTCGTTACGAAAAGCTCTACTCTAATTGTGGAATTCCCGGCTCCTGCTTGGTACAACTGCCAATTTTGCCTTATTACCTCCATGCTGCTTGTCCTACCCAGTGCAGGGTTTATGAATACGACGACCTGTCTGACCCAGGATTGTTGAAATACCGAGAGTGCTGTAGGAGTAGCGACTCTATCTTCTCAAAGCTGGGAATGCGATCCGGGGGCCCGGCCGCGAATACATCTTGTAAACCTGGTCGCACGATGGGATCCAACTGCTGGAGTCCGGCAGAAATGGAGACCGGCGAGGATGGAAAAGGGCCCAGCAAACTCTTGGAGAGATTTCTGACCCCGTGTGTCAACCCACGATCGGACTGTACACGGAGCGCCCTGTATAAGATTGTAGCATAGTACCACACGGATCTGGTTTCATGATTGGGGAGACGAGATAAAATCAACCGCTCGGCCGAGGTTGAGGAGTTTGCGGTCCCGTCCAGGGAGGGCGACAATGCCATAGCCGTGAGCTCGTATCGGAAGAAGGCCTGTTCCACTGCTGTCGGGTAGCGTATATCCCCGTAAGAGTACTGCGGAAAAATGAACGTCCAGGGCGAGTCTCGGCCCACGAACATGCAATATTCCATGAACCATCTTAGGCGAGAATTCAGGCGAGATAGCGCTTTGGTTTCCTCGAATCCTCCGGTCCTAAGATTCTGGGGCAGGAGACGCCCGTTGAGGTAATCCTCTGTGTGCTTGAGGATTGCCCGCTGTTGTTCCGGAAGATCGAGGCCGTCTAAGGAGGGGAAACGGACAATCGCCATTGCCTCCATGAGGGTTTCTGGGTGGATTTCGTTCATCGTCAACGAGAACAGGATGCGCTTCCGAGATAAAAAGTAGGCCGAGAGAACCCTTGACGACGTGGATATAAATGAATGCAGGTCGTGGAAATGATCGAGGCATACCATTATCTCGCAAAGAAGTTCAAGAGGTAGGCGATAAATAAGAGGCGGCGCTTGTTGGGGCGCTTGACCTCCGCTTTGGGGCCACGTGACGATGGGGATCGTGAAGCTCGGCATAATGTGATCGTAGAAACGATAGGTTCAAGATGATGACGATGACGATGATGATGATGGTGGTGATGAGGGACAACCAGTGTGCGGTGCGAGTTTGGGTGGAATTCAGGGAGGAAAGGTGGAGGAGTTGGACGAAGTGATCCCGTTGCACTTATACTCTGACTCACTAATTATTACCTCTAGCTACGGAAAGCTTGATTCAGATATTTTACTTCCCCGTGGCTACCCCAAGGTTAACCTTTACGCCGAGAAGTGCGCCTATTATCATCCAAACATAACCCTGATTCTGTACCGTAATTAACATGAAGGCCTGCCAGTTGATAATTAAGAGGGTAGTGACTGGTGAGCTGAGCTGGTAACTTGGATAAGCCTTCCGACCCCCTTAATCTCCATCCCACACTTGCAACATGTGATATTCCCATTAACATTCTCGGCTGTAATTATATATATAAGCTCCAAGGACTTCAAGTTCGCCACTTGGTGGGATACCTTGGACGGAAGGCAGACAGATAACAAGTCAACAACAATTCTCGCCGATTGCTAATTGGGACGGGGATGGATCGGACATTCGTTGCAGCTGTCGTCGGGCTAACCTACTGAATAATTAGGGTTGAGAATTATTTATGACTTGAGTTCGCCAACCAAGGGACTTCAGAACGTTCTAGAACTCGCATTCAAATTTAATTCGGAGCCAAACTGTACGTTATAATTATGAGCCAATTCGCATGGTTGAGCTTGTGACCTGCGTGGTTTGGCTCTAATTGGGGCTTTGACTCCCCGAAGATATCTCCAGCATTCCATCACCTCACTTAGTTACACCGTGACGGTTGCCGAGAAGATGCCCTGACCACCACCAACGTAGATGACATCCTTGTCCGCCTCGGTACGCCCAAACCCGCAAGAGGTCGAGCCCGTGACCTTTGCAATAGCCGTGGGCTTGCCAACCGCAGGGTCGACCTCGACGACCGAGTTCCCACTATTCGTCGCGACGTAGAGCTTGCCATTTGGCCCGACACAGAGATCGTCTCCCATCAAGTTCGTCCAGAGTGTAACGACCTCTCCAGTCGCCTTTCCGGTTTCGTCGACGGGGACCTTGTAGAAGCTGTTCTTGAAGATGTTGGTGTACCAGACGACGCCGTCGAGGTACTTGATGCCGTCGATGCCAAAGGGGATACCGCCTGAGGGGGCCATGGTTGGGTCGGTGAGAGCGACCGAGTATTCGCCAGTCGAGACACTGAATCGGTACACATTGCCCTTCCCGGCGTCGGCGACCAGGACCGTATCATTGTTGAGGACCGCCAGCCCGTTCAGGTTCGACGCCTCCGTGATTTGCTTGATGAGCGCCGACGTTGGGGATGCTCCGGTGAAGTCGACCTTGTAGATGCCCTTCCCCCCGATCACGGCGAATACATCTGGGGTGACCTCGCCGATTCCGCTCAGCCCGCTGGCTCCGGTAACCACAACGGCTGTGGACGATTTCTTCGCGACTGGGTCTACGCTATACAAGTTGGCACTGTTCATGTTGGTTGCCAGAATCTGGCCATTCGAGCGCACAGCCAGATTCTCGATCGAGGCGAGGTTGACGACCTGTGCGGCGGCAGCTTGCCGGGACTTGACCGCAGCGGCGGAAACGAGACTCGGAAGGGAGAGAGCCAGGGGCAAAGCGCCCAAGAGCGATGTTAGTTGAACCATCCTTGGGCCTGACTCTGATGAATTGATCTGCGAGCTGGACGACGAGTGGGAAGGAATTCGGGGACTGGTGAAACAAAACAGACCACCACCAGGGACGGGGCGATTCGACCTTGATCCCCAAATATAACTTGGGTGATGGTGATTCTCTTCCCCGCAGATCTTGGCGCTAATAATGGCCATAGAATTGCAATTAGAGTTATTGGAACGGCTGAATTCGGGAGTGTTTTCTCCATTTCGCTGGTTCCTGACTCGCAATTTGGCTAATATAGCAGACTGGGAATGACAAGGGCAGCGGCTCTTCTACTCGGGACAAGACACATGGGATATAGGTGCGATGCCTAAAACTGACCAATCGTACTACCAGCTCCGGTTCTAGGCCTAGGGCTAATGGACGCATCATCCCGGGGCTAGTTGACGCCGTACTGAAGATATAATCCCCCATAAGAATATCTCGGGAGTTGGGATCTCAAATCTAGTTATGTAGCCTATCAACCAATGGCAAAAAGACTTACTGCTTTCCGCACTGCTTTCTCTCTCTTAGCTTCATCTCTTACACAGAAGTAGTACCAAGGAGCGTTCGGTTCATACCACTCTCTCCCTCCAAGATATACAGTGATGACATCACCAAGTCGATCCTAAGTCGCCCTTCTTTTTCCTTTGCTAGGACGTCAAGAGCAATTTTGCCGACAGATAGCAGTCTTGATTGCTTGTTCCACCCTGTAGATTGCCTGGTGGGCGCCAAGGGACTCTGTAGTTTCAGGGCAAATAGCAATTTGCAGGCTCTTCTTTGGCCACTTTGACTCTTAGATAGCCAAGACTTACTCGTGGTCAACAAAGAATTGAAGCCTGGAAGCATCCAGGAGGCCAAGGCACATTTAAGACTCCAAATCAGAACGTTCTCGAGGACCGCGGCTCAAGGTAATAGAGAGTAGGTAACATATTGGCGGTGTCTGCGTTACAAGTGTTGTCCTCGCTGAGGCGAATCAGAGTTCAAAAGCCACGACAGAGTCCAAGACAGCACATACCCGTTCCCAGGCTCTTACATCACCACACACTTGTCCTCGGGCAGCTGATTGTCCATATTCATCCTGTCCGCCGTATCCCCCAAGTCCTCCCAATAGATGTGGTTCATGAACCCCGCCCGGGGTTTCTCAAACTCCCTCGCCATCGTTCGCAGACACTCATCATCCTGCTCGGACAGGGCCAGGAAGGCAAGCACAACCCTCTTGTCACGCGACCACAGCGGGTCCAGTTCGTACGCCCGCGCCCATAAGGGGTTCGCGCGTTTCGCCAGCTCCTCCTCGATCTGCATGAAGAGCATCATGAACCGCACCGTGACCCAGATGAAGTTGAGACTCATAACCGGCATGTCGCCGCACACGTCCCGGAATATGTCCCACTTCAAGAGCTCCAGCATGTCGCGGGGCGACACCGCGGCAGCATCCCGATCGCCGCCGGACTGGGACTTTCCGCCGGGTCTGTTCTTGAGGTCCGCACCCCACTGGGTGCGGTAGCCCTCCGGGACGGCATCCTGTAAGATGTCTGGAATGGGCGTGGGCATTTCATCGCGGCCGCCTTTCAGATTCGTCACGAGTGCCGACGACACGTCCAAGAGCAGCTCTCCGGGCATTCCGCTGGCCCTTGCGCGGCGGACCAGGTCGGTATCGTCTAGCTTCTTCTTCCCGTCTTCGGATCGGTCACCCTCTTCGTCTGGGCCATGCGGACTAGGGCCAGCAGCGACGCCACGGGTATGTCGGTCTCGGAAATTCGTTCGGGATCCCAGTCGGCGGCTCGGAAATGGAGCGCGTACGACTTAGTCTTGAAGAAAAGGTTCAGATCGACGGACAGGAGGCCGTGCATGTCCTTCACCGATCGCGCGACGTGCCGCCGCTGGGCCTCAGTGCCCCTCAACTTAGCCTTGCCGACCCGCGCGAGCAGGGCTTCGCCGAAATTGGCCGTGGGGATCACGCCGTCGGCGAAGAAGGAGTCCTTGAAGATGTCCTGCAAGGAGGCGTATAGTCCCACAAGCTTCTTGATGTAGCCTTTCTGGACGAACATGTTGTGGAGGTGGACCAGCAGAATGGCATTAGGGATTTTGTCCCAGATCATTATGCCCACGAGGTAAGCCAGCTCGACACCCTCCATCAGGCCGACACCACAGAGAAACGGCGAGTACTCCCAGAGGCCGTTCGGGTTGCGGTTGGAGAAGCGGGACGGCGGAATGGTCGTCAAGCCATGCTGGTATTTGCTCTCCCCGAGCCAATCTATGAAGTTGAGCTGTATTTCCTCCAAAATTTCGAAGTGTTGGCGGTGGCGCTCAGCATCGCCAGAGACGTGACGGTGCCGGCAAACTCGTTCAGGCCGAAGAGCCTGCGATGCACGTTCCACGGCCCCTGTACAGACCAATCGACACGCGAGAGATCATGGTGCTCACCTTTTATGGTGTTGCGCTAAACGACGATGGTCAAAAAGACGTTGACCAGGTCGCAAAGCCAATTGATCGTGTACGACCGACGCCACTTGATCCTCTCCTTCTCGCTGGCGTTTTGGAGGTTGAAGTTGGGGTCCCAGTTGGCGATCTCGGCGAGCATGCGCTTTGTCGGCTTTCCGCTGTGAGTCTTCTGGAAATCGGCGACGAAATCGCGGAGATCCTCATAGGCGTAGATCAGGAACTGCTCCCTGACCTCAATGGCCACTTCCTCGACCATCTTTTTCTGGTCCCAGCCCGGCGAGACGGAGAAGAGGGACAACGAGAACATGCCCTGGGCCTTGTCCGGATCCCCCCTCGTCATCGTCTTCATGACCGCCTCGTACGAGTCGTTGCCGGGGAAGTCGACGAACAATTCCGAGGCTGACCGTTTGACCATGGAAATCGCCACAATTGACACGGCACTGGCGACGGCCTGTTGAAGCCTTGATACGCCATTTCGGACCAGAGTGACTGGAGGTACGATCGAAGGCTGGCCCATTCTGAGACGAGGTCGTAGACGGCCATCAGGTAATCGGTGACAGGCTCGCCACCGCCGGATTTTATGATGCGGTAACTTTCCAGCGGTACATCGTCCAGGCTTGACTCGTTGGCCGGGGATGGTTGCCGCTGCTGTTTCCCCTTGGCCTCCTCTTTCCCTTTTTGCTTCCTCCCCTTTCCGGAAGGCTTGTTCTGCTTGAGTCTCTGAGGAGTGGCGGCTGTGAATTGACCGCCAGCTTCGGACGCTTCGTCACTTAAATCTCCGGCATCGGCCTCGTGCTCTTTTGAGGTGGCGAGATTTAGGGCGGGCGAACTGGTTGGAAAAGACAACTTGTTCAACCGTCGTCCTCTGCGCCGTCACTATCGGCTTTTTGTCTGGATTTCCACGCCTCACCACCTATAGCCTTGAAGGTACCGCTGAGGGCATCGATGAAATACTTATGGGAGGCATTGCTCTTCTCGACTCTTCTCGATTTCTGGGGATCAACGGCGGTAATCTGCTGGAAGACTGCATAGGCCGCTGTTCGAGCGTCAATCACCGACTGGAACAGGCGATGGATGACGGGCGGAATGGGTCTGATGTGCTCTGCAATAAGCTCGGACATGCTCACGAGACCAGACACGGTAGTCTGGCCCATCGTATTCACAGTCTTCGGGATTGCGGCGTCATCGTCCGATAGGTATTACTTGTGTCTGTGTTCCGATGCCAAATCTATACCTAGCTAGGTAGGTACCTAGGTAGCCTTGAGCTAGCCGCAAATCCTCTTCCGGCCCGCTAACACCTGCCCGGCACGGAATCAAGGGATACCTAACCACAGGTTATACGGATTATTATCGGGGAACTTCACAATTGGGGAACCAAGGCTGCCTTGGTTTTTGGGAAGAGAAGAGTCCTGCGCCGCATAATTATTCCCAGAAGGTATCGGAAGACGCCACGGAACAGAGATGCTTCACATTCTACCTGTCTCTCACCCGAGCCAGCTTACGACCAGAAGTGCCGTGCATCTGACGGTGAGACAGTCATAGCCAAAGAAAATACACACCACAAGGACGAGAGACAAACTGATGAGGCCAAAAGAAGGGAATGGGTTGTGTAGTTTCCATCCATACTGCCATCCTGAAGACCAAGAAAGACAACGGGCTCCACCACCGAGGTCCCTTCCTTTTGCCCCCTTCCACTTCATGACAGCCGTCAAGCAGTAGCCACTTCCTCCCACGTGGAGACATCCACATTGTGCATATTTGCTGGGAAAGAGCATTTCCAGACCTTCGAGCACGAGCAATGGTGCCCGTAGAAACACCTCGGATCCCGACACAGTCCTCGTTCATGGCACATCTCCCCTCGCCGTCGGTGCCTGATAACGAGCTTTTCGGCAGGGCTCAGGTATTCATGAAGGTAGCCGCAACCTCCCCCACAGCGCCCATACAGGTGGTACATGTTGCAATACCGTCTTCCTCCCACTGCTGTTTTCTGGTGCATCGCATTGGTGGCGTTCGTGGGTTTGGCAGGCAAAGGGCAGTCAACCCGGAGACCCTCGGCGTTCACAAGAATCATTCCTTGCCCCAGGTTTCCGAACAATGGAAGTGGCCGCCCTGAAGGAGTGGCAGCCAGCTGTGCGGCATACGTCGTTGGTGACTTGGCTGGGGCTTGCGCTGATGCTGCCGCAGTGGCGGGCCCGGGAGCCTCGCGAGTTGACCCACCACCATTAACTTGCGCAGACTTCATCTGGTCAGTAGTACCTCTGGTAGCACTGATGTGAGTTGGCGCCGTGGAACGAGGCATTTCTCCAAGTGGGCGGTTCCTGAAGAGAGTCTCCATCGTCGTGGATTCATACGGCAGCGTGGCATACTCGTGGCCGGTTTGAAACGACTTGAGCAGAGTCACTTTCGCCACAACGGCGGGACTGTCGATGTACTTCTCGAGCAGGCGAACATAACCGTTGTCATGGCAGCCAGCAAGAAGGATGCGCTGACAAGACGGATTTCCTTCGAACAGTCGGAATGCACCTGGGTTCATGGTTAGATCTGGATCTGGAACCAAGGCACTAGCAGCATCCCGAAAAGAACGTCCGCACTGACCCATCAACTTATGATCTGCTCGATCTTTCCCCTTCCCAACGAGAACGAAGTCAAACAGTTCGTCCCCCTGGGAAAACCCAGAAGTGAAACGCGACACAGCGTATCGAGCATTCTCCTGCGTGGCAATACCTGCCTTTGCAAAAAGAATGGCCAAGCCCTCGCCGGAGGCAAACGCCTTGACGATGATGGGCAGACCAGCCAAACTGGCGTCGGTCGACTTCAAGTATTGTCGCACCGCGGCCTTGAGGTCAACAGCCGCCCGCTTTCCCCCATCGGCAGGGTCGCCGATATAGTACTTGTCGTCAAACTAGGCAGCCGCCAGTGAGCGAAGCCCTCGTGAATGATAGGCGGAGTGGACCTGGAGGCCTCGGAGGCATTGTAATTACTCACCAGGTACTCATCAGCGTCAGCATCAATCAGCACAAGCACAAATGCGCTTCGGAGCTGCTTTCTCTTAGCGACCGCCTTTCCATCTCCCTTTCTCCCTTCCTTTATTTTTGCAGCACGTACCACAGACTCTTCCAAAGTCTTGAGATCTTGGTCCAACTGCTCGGCCTTCTCCTGGGTATGGCGCCCGGCTACTCGCTCACGCTCGAGGTCGCGGCAAACGTCACGATACTTCTGGGCCAATCTCTGGAGCTCCTTGTGGAAGGTCTGCAACGCAATTTTGTAACATATCAGCACACCATCTGCGAGGTATTGCCATGGTGAGGGCAGCGAACAGTCATCCATCCCACGTTCTGCTCATCTTGGCGACGAAACTGGTCGAGAAAAGTGCCAAAGTCGTTGGAGATGTCGGTCATCGTGCCTTCACACGTTCAGTTGCTCACTACGCAGAGCCGGGCGACGGTGTCGGGGGAATTCCGATGGGAAAATTGGACCAGGCTCGTTCCTGTGATTTAATGCCTCTTCTCGAGGCCCCCGCAGAAGATCGAATGTCATGGAAGCGCCACCCAACAGCCCCACGTCGCACAGCATCCCCGCCAAGCCTCCCATACGCAAACACGTGTTGGCACAGGTTGACTTGCGTTGATTCCTTATCTGGTAGGCTCCTGTCCATACGAGAGAAACACATCGATGCCCATTGACTCTTGTTGATATCAAGATGTCCCAATTTGCGAATCGGAAGAACTTGGTTATTAGTCCCTTCTTAGTTACTTCGAACACATCACAAACACGCGGTTTATTTGCTTCGGCAGTATCTGAAGCAGTCGGTGTATCAATAATGCCTAGTGTAGAACATAAAACTTATACCAAAGTCCCTTGCTCCACTGCTTCAGGGTCTAGGTAGAGCCCATTCGACTCCATAATGTTATGTTCACGGCAAGCACCCCACGCTCGACAAGCTCGACAAGAAAGAGCTCCAGCAGGAAATGAAAAATCGGAAAAATCGCCGGCATTACCATCAAGGTTCACCTGCTGTGTGAGGAAGGGGGAGAGAAGAGGTTGGCTGAGTAAGTCTTGGTCCATTACTGGGAAGCCATGAAAGCCGACAGTGGGATCCCAACCACTGTCATGACGACCGTCGACAGACGGACCCTGAGGGTTGACCGCCCAGTCCAAACTTCCATTGACATATGGCTGCGCTGCACTGTCGGGCTGGCCTCCATATGGTGCCTGTTCGAAATCCAACCCAAAATCCACATGCGAGTCTGGCATCGGCAATGATGGAGCGTATGTGTTGCTCTGGGTGAGATATCCTGGGGCACTTTCCATGAAGCCAACGTCTTGCTGAATGCTGCCCGCCTGGATGCCGGGACTCTGGATGGCGGAGTCAGCTGAGGAGCTCCCGCTGAGGTTTGGTTGGTGGAACGAGGGGCCGGAACCGCCGAGTTCTGATAGTTGTGCCAAGACTCGGGGAAGCCACACCTCGCGTATGAAATCGTAGGCGGCCATTATGTCTTCACGGGAGCCTGGGTACTCGGTCGCCCTTTCTATCGAGAGCACTTCTAGAAGTTGACGACCAGGTCCTTCAAAATATCGTTCCAAATGCTCCGTCATCTCGACCAAAATGTCGTCTAGATAGGGGCTGGGACACCGCAGCTCGTTCGGGAAGAGCACCCCGAAGATGTATTGCCATTGCTCTTCGTGAGACTTGTTGCTGTCGGCTCGCTTATTGATGGCCTCATATTTCTCGTGGGTCATGAAGGGCGTATCCTCAACATGGCGCTGGACGCAACAGAGCCTTTTGTGCGCGGCAAGCAGGACTTCGTCATCGTACACGGTGAAACAGGTTGTGCAGTACCAGGGGTAGTGTTTTTCCACCAGGTGGCACTTCACGTACGAGATTTTCAGGAACTTCTTCGCCAGGCAATCTTCCTGAAATTGGCATGGCCGCCACTTCATAAAGGGGCAAGCGAAGTGGCGGCGGTTCGCTCGGGCCATTGCTGATGATGGGAGTTTTTCTCCATCGTGGCCATCCTCATCTTCGCCGTCTCCAGGGCCGTGTGAGACCTTGCCGCGCCGTGATGGTGCTGCTTTGGTCGAGTGCCGGCTCGTTGTCCTCTTGGGGTATGGAGAGCTGCGGGCCTCTTTCGACTTTTGACCTCCTGTCCTTGGGCTCGAGTTTCGCTTGTCCGACAGCTGAGGCCTGTAAGTCCTCCAGTAATGGTCGTCCAGCAGGTCGATGACCCGCTCCAGCGTCTCGTGTGACACACCCGAGACTTTTCCACTGAGCTCTAAGTCGGCATCATAGTCCAAGTCGGCGCCATAGGCATCCAAGTCGGCGCCATAGGCACCGAATGTTGAGCCATAGGCACCCAAGTTGGCGCCATAGGCTCTGAATGTTGAGCCAGATGCCGTGGATGCTTTCTCCGAACCGGCGATCTCGACCTGGCTCCAGGAGTGAACCTCCTTCTCGACAGTGAATGGCTCTCCAGAGAAAAGCAGATGGCCATCTTCCCAGGAAAACTCAAATGTCCATGGACATAGTGGCGGGTATTCCACTCGAGCTCCGGGATCCGTGGGACGATTGCTAGTACCACCAAGCTCGATCTCATCGGGAAAAGGCGCTTCTGAGTGTAACCTGCTGACTTCATGCCGGTGCAGAGTTTCGAGATCTTGCAGGCATTGCTGTCTCCGGAGTGCTATCGATGAAGTGGTCTCAGTCATCGACGAAAATGTCCTTCCCGTGGACACTTCAGACAACGTCATAGTCTCGGTCGGCAAGATAGGGGGGGCGCTGAAGGGGAAATTCGGCATATCTAAGCCCAGAACAGGAGTCGCGGCTTGGGCTGAGTGCTCCAAGTCCAAGTCTGGGTCGATGTGAAACTGACCACTCGCATCATGAACATGTACGCCGAGACCACGAAGAAGCGGGCCGTGGGCCAAATCCTCCTCGCGGGTAGCTGGGCCATCGTCGAGGATCTAATTAAACCAGATAGAATGTGTGAGTCCATTTGTTTCGAGGCATTGCCTCAGCTAATTAGCAAACTAAAACATGGATCACTCACTCTTAAAGAAGGTTTGTTTGGTGTTGTTGGTTGGGCTTCTGGCCCAGAAGGCATTCCTCGGAAGGGCAGCATTATGTCGTTGGGACGTGGTTGTTGCAATAACGGGTGGACAAAGTTGAGGTTGCAAGGTTGTGTAGAGCGTGTAAGTTGCGTACAAGCGGGTGGAAGAGGATAAAAAGTGCGCTACTGAAAGACAGACGGAATTTTGGGGGGGATGTGCGTCTCTTAATAAATCCTGACAATATATGTACCTACGGTGTCCCTTGAAGCATGAAAAATACCATCGACGCTGTGTTGGAGCGGCCAAAAGCCACTTGACAGAATTTCGGCAATTTAGCGAGGCATAACAATGCGTATTGCGCGAATTCGCCAATTTTTCACTACTTGTTAACACGCCAAGCCGAGGACACCGAGCCCTTATTGGCCAGACATTCATATGACATGCAAGTGCTTGCAGTAGCGGCACGGGCGGTGAATACGCACACCCTTGCAGCTGCATTTGGAACTCGTTGATACCCGCCATAGGGCAGAGGAGATGCATGCGTGACACGCGCCGCATGGGAATCCGACCAACCATGCCCGAGAGCCAGAGTCCCTAGGCAGTTTGACACATGGCGAACATCTGTCTCCTCACGACGGTTCTTTCCCCAACATCTGTCTCTGCACAACGGTTCTTCCGCAACATCTGTCTCTGCACAACGGTTCTTCCCCCAACATCTGTCTCTGCACAACGGTTCTTCCCCCAACATCTGTCTCTGCACAACGGTTCTTCCCCAACATCTGTATCCCCGGTACAGTAATGGTATTGCCGAATTCGGAATCGCATGATTGGAGACGTGCTCTGCGTTACTCAAGCAAAGCCACTTGATTCGACCCTTTCGGCAGCTTCGTAGGAACCTTTTGAGCGAGGTGTAGGTGGCCCTGACATATGTACATGGAGTATATACGTTGACATGACTGCAGACTCAACTAACAAGGAGAATAAACATTCGCATTGCCTGTCGCCAGCTCCGATTACAACATCTCCTGGCAACAGCCATTTATTGGCCCATCACCACCCATCGACACGGTTTATCCATTTCACCACGACATGCCATGACCAATCCCGCTCGTCAAAGGATTTGGAATGTCGCCCGGATGTCGCGTGTCTCAAGTCCAAGAAACTGGCTACCATGTCAAACCCCTGCCCGACGAGTGGCCCGCTGCTACCACCGCCCGTACTGTTTATATCGTTTTCCATTACCAAGCTGCGAGCGTTATTAATTGTTTCATGATCGTGTATCTCTCCGAGCTTAATAGTCATATTCCGAATACATTAGGTCGCGCTCAGGCTTGCTTCGACAATTCTTACTTGTCAAGAGCTGTTCAGAATTAGCGTGGTACATCATTGCCCAAAGTCCGACATGTACGGAGATATCCACAGCTACTCGCCAGACAAGGAAGCTAGTTGGTGGGGGCCGAGAATGAAGTCCATCATGGGCAATTCCTTCACCGGCAAGACTGAGGTTATGCTTTGGTGCAGTACAAGTCAATGAAGATTTCCCTCGAGGACTTTCAATTGAACTATGTTGTCTAACCCATACAGTGAGGGTGATACAATCTAGATACCATCTAACCATAACATTCATTCGTTCTCATGCCGCATTTGATAAGCGTTATACTTAGACCCGCGGCAGTCCCAGTGCCTCCCTTCTCCCCGTGCTTGCCGGGTCCAAGTATGGTACGCCGCCAATACCCGAGGCACGCACGCCCGTCCGGATGCCCTCGACGAGATGCGTGTCGGGCTGTTACTTTGGTTAGCACTCGATACCATATACAAAAAGGGGAGGAAAAATAAGGGGGAAGCAGAGTAGGGCGCGGAAACATGACTCACAGTAGCAGCGTGCAGCGTGCACTCGTTGCTCCAGATGGCGCAAGCGCCCCTGGTCCAGTGCATGCGGGCGATGCAGTCGTGGTTGCGGGTGACGAGGCGCATGACGTAGTCGCGGATGAGGGAGTCCTCGTACGAGGTGACGCCATCGATGCGGCTGACGTGCAGGCCGACGCCGGCGAACAGGCTCTTCCAGCCGGTGACGGGGTGGGTGCGGATGACGGGGTGCGAGGGCGCGAATTGGAAGTCGATGTTGAGCGGCGAGCCGCGCGGCGACATGATCTCGTAGCCGCCGGCCTCGCACGCCGACTTGAACACGGGCTGCTCGCACGTCGCCGTGAGGGTCTCGAAGAACTTCTGGAACGGCGGTGAGAGCCGGTCGTACAGCTCGTAGCCAGACGCCCAGAGGGTGTCGCCGCCGGCCGGGGGGGTGGACTGCATGCGCAGGAAGGAGAAGTCGGAGGGGCAGTTCTCGAAAAGGCCTGGAAGAAAAGCATTGCGATTAGCAACAGGGGCGATTATAACAGACATTCAGGCGATATGGTGGGGTCGGGAAGGGGGAAAGGGGGAAAGGGGGAAAGGGTGGCATACTGTCGCTGTGCCATTCACGGCCCAAATCTCTAGGCTCCTCGTTCGTGCCACTGCCGGGGCGCTTCTTCATTGTTGCGTATAGCTTCTTGGCAGCCTCGGAGTTGATGACATAGCTGAGTTCCCGTCAGTGTTCAGCCCAACTTAAAATTGTATGTTTGCTACCCAAAACCTACATGTTCTCATCCGTGGTCCCGTCCGCCATGGGCAAGTTGTTGGGGTCATTGTAGAGCGGGTGCACGTGCAGTCCGTTCTCCGCAGGACGTCCCGTCAGCTTGCCCAGCATGTCGGTGATATGCTTCTGCTCCTCGACGGAGAGATCATCCTGAGCGGCACGGAAGAAGACGACACCACGCTCGCAGATGGTGATGGCCAGGTCGCGCAGCTGCTCCTCGGCGTTGGGAGCCGTCAGTATGTCCTTCAGCTTTGCGGTGGGATATTCGCGGCCAATGATGGGGGAGACGTCGACATATTCGAGATGGTCGATGGAGCTGCCCCTCTTGAGAGGCTCCCGCTTGAGGTTCTTGGTATCAACGGAGCCCATGTTGCGCAATGATAATTAATTGTAATTAGTAGTGTAAGGTCCTGGTGAGTGGCAAGTTGGGGTTTGAGGATAGAGTGAAGACAGATTCGAGAGTGAGTTCGTTGGGCTGTCGCTGTTCATGAACTAACTTGTCGTAAGAAGCATCGCTCCCCTAATGGATTGTCAGCAAGGTCATTTGCATCAAGATTCATGGCTTGGCAGTCAAGTTATAGTGCGGAGTAGGAGTGCCGACTGCGGGGAAGCTCCCCGCCCCCGCCTCTAGGCAGAGGTGGAGCTGTTTAAGCTCCCGGCAGTGTGGTCCTGTTGGAAATGTGAGTGGAAACAGAAATGCCGCCCGTCGCTTACTTTTTTGGAGATAGAGTTATTTCAGTAGTCAGACTTTGCTACCGAGGTAGGCTCTCTTCTAACCCCTTAATTATGACGACAACACGATGATTTTAGGTGCAAGGTCCGTGGTGTGCGCAGGGACTCTCCACTGCCGCTCCCTTCATGTGGAGCGAGCTCTAAAACCTAATCACAAATCACAGGCTGTGGAGATTGGGTCCCATGAAGCGATCATGGAATCCTGGAAAAGGGGCTGACGAGGGGGCTGACGGGGTAAACAGTGGGCCCGTGCATAGGCTGTGTGATTACGCTCGGGGAGGTCACGTGAGGCGATCCTCGTCATTTTTGGTCAGTTAATAAGGAGTTAAACATGGAGAGGGGAGCATGCATGAGGGGAAGTGACAAGACTGAGAATAGCAGCACCACTCCATCGTCGATTTTCCCACGAATGGACTGTCCCTGCGGACCAGCTTCTTCTTTTTCCAATGATGCCATGCTTTTCTCCTGATTCGCTCCGCGGGATGCGTTATTTCCAGTTCCCACCTAGGTCAAGTAACCTTCGCCGATCTCGAGTGAATACTCCCACATCTCTAACTCCGAACATCGCTGGCTTGCCAACCAGACAGGCAATAATTGCCGTGCAAGCGAACTGCCGAAACCACGGGTTCGAGGAGGGGGAATGCTAGCTGGATATCATGGTGCAAACTGGGGGATGCAGGCAGTTGACATCTCCTCTCTGACACGCCAAGGTCTCATCTCCTAGAGCGCTAATACGGGTAAGGATCGGCGAAGCCCCGCTCCCATTTCTTGGTGACATGTTTGTATGATTGCCGAGTGGTGAACTATTGGTTACCTGTGCGCTGGAGGATCAACAATGGATGCAGGCTGATCCATTTATAACAGGAGAAACCCGGAGGTCGATGCCCAGAGTGCTCAAGGTATTCCCGCATCCCTCTCGACGTCGTTGACCTCCCGAGCTACAGCTTAGCCTCCACTCAGCGCCACGACACTCAACGCAGACACGGTCGCCAGCAGGCTGCACACAGCAGCAGGAGCCGCACACCTCCAGCAGCAAAGATGGCCCCCATTTCGACCAATCCGCTGCAGCTGGACATCAGGAGTCACAAGAGGTGCCTCATTATCTGCTGTGTCGTCACCATCTCCAGCTTCCAGTATGGCCTCGACTACGCCCTCGTGGGCGGCTTCATGGCCATGCCCGGCTTCCTGAAGGTCTTTGGCTACTACGATGAAGTTGCCCAAAAGTGGGCTATCGACCCGACAGTGCAGCAACTTATCTCCTCCTTGATGACCATCGGCACCTTTGTCGGCTCGCTGCTAGTCGGGCCTTTCAGCGCGAAGTTTGGGCGGAGGCAGGGCCTGTGGGCGGCATCCTTCCTGAACCTCGTCTCGACCGCTATCATGCTTGGCACGACCAGCGTTGGGGCGCTGTATTTTGCGCGTCTTATCCTTGGTAAGTAACCAATAATTATCACCGGAGCGGGGGGAGCCGGGGAAGCAACACTGCTGACACTGGCACCAAACAGGCGTCTCGGTCGGGTGGTTCCTCACCTTTGCTCAGATCTACGTCAACGAAGTTGCGCCGGCCCATCTCCGAGGCGTCGTCTTCGCCGTCTATCAGAGCCAGCTCTCCATAGGCTCCATTGTTGGCGCTGCCGTCGACTACGGGACGCACACAAGAATGGGCATGGACTCGTACCGCATTCCTCTCGCCGTCTTCTTCTTTGCACCCACCGTCCAGTCGATTGCGCTCTTCTTCTTCCCCGAGAGCCCCCGCTGGCTGATGACCCAAAACAAGGAGGAGGCCGCCGAGGCTTCGCTCCGCAAGCTCCGCAACACCAACATCAATGAGTCCGAGTTCCAGGCAGAGTTCAACGAAATCCGCATCTCGACCGCGCAGCAAATCGAGAACAGCAAGCAGGGGAAGCAGCTGTGGATTGAGATGTGGAAGGGCAAAGAGCGCCGCCGAACCCTCCTCTCGATCGCTATTATCTGCTTCCATTGTGCCAATGGTTGGTAGTGCCCCTCCAATCGAATAAAGACACATATGAACTGACAATTCTCGGCAGGCTCTTCGTGGCTGAACATTTACACGACCTACTTCCTTACCGTTGCTGGCGTCACGCAACCATTTTCGTACTCCATCATGGTGACGTGCATGGGACTTATCGGAGTCCTCACCAGCTTGTTCTTTGTCCGCAAAATCGACCGCCGTGTAATCGTCCTATGTGGCGTTGGCGCCTGTGGTCTCTGTCAGCTCGCCTTCGCCATTGTGTGGACTGTGGCACCGGGAACGGTGGTTGCCGGAAAAGTGGTGATTGCCTTCATCTCGCTCTTCACATTCTTCTACGTCGCCTATGGTAAGACATGAGCCGGTCCTTCTCTTTAACCTAAAACGCGCCGTTACTTACTTCCCACAAGCACCGTACGCATGGCTTATGGGCGGAGAATATCCCAACAACCACCTTCGAGCCCACACCTACGGCATGGGCACCGCGCTGAACTTCCTCGGGAACTGGCTCGGTGTATTCACCGCGCCTTATTTCATCAACCCTGCTAGTCTTGGATGGAGCGCCAAATACGGGTATGTTTACGTCATGACATGCCTTCTTCGGTGGCCGGTGGCCGAGTCCTAGCATAACTGACAATGAATCTTCATAGCTACATCTGGTTTGGATCGAACATGATCTTGTTCGCCTTCACCTGGTTCTTCATCCCCGAGACGCGCGATCGCACCTTGGAGGAGATCCACGAGATGTTCGAGAACAATGTCCCAGCGAGAAAGTTCAAGAGCTACGTCTGCGTAAGCACCGAAGCCATGGCCAAGGCCGCCCTCAAGCGACAGGAGGCCGAGGGGGAGACTGTTCACATGGAGGATATGTCTTCCGAGGGTCGGGCTGATGGGGAGGAACCGACCACCACCACCACCACCAAGCCTCAAGAGGCTTAATTACAAGATGGAAGCCGGGGATATGGCAAGACAAGGTCAGGGATGCAAATACGTTGTACTCCTGGGAATATCTCTCGAGCGAGAACTACCTTGAGGAGGAGGCGTGAATGGTTGGTGGCAGGGTTAGACGTTTAGGAGTGCAGCTACAGTTACAGTATGCCTTCATAGACTTGCGGCGGCAATAATACGGGGATGGCTCGCCACAGATTCGCCTTTGTCTCTGAGAATTTGGTCTTTCCCCGTGCAGGACTCGTTCTAAGCCGCGATCGACGGTTCCCCTGCTGTGGGGCTGGCCCCATCTCCGAAAGGGGACGTTGGTTGGGAAAATAGGAGAGGTTCTCCACGACCCCTTTTTTACCCAGCCCCTGAACGGAATGCCCAAGGTCAACACTCTTGTCGTAGGTACGAATCCTTATTCCCGATGTTTTTAAATTTTTATTAGACAATGTGGAACTTGCCTCCGTGCCCAGCATCTTGGCCTTGGGGTAATAATTAGGCATTGGGCATTTCCGCAGCGGACGGTTCGGATTTAGGACAATAGCGGTTTCTAATCCTGGTCTTGTGCGCTGGACCGACCTGCCGCTTACGCACCTGCGGAAAAGACCGCGCCGGCAACGTATCATAGGTACTAAATACTGGCTTACCGTGGACTAGACTAGAGCTACTATCGTTAGCTTCAGCTCTAAATCAAACTCCTCTTATTAGCCCATGAGTAGCTCCAAGTTGTGACCCAGGGCTATCCCTGGTGGCGCTCTTAGTCGAGTTGCAAGAATCTTCGGCAGTATTTGCACTGACGACAGCGAACCAATGACACGCCGTTGAACAAGTATTACGTACTACGACGTACGTAAAAGACTGAAGGCGCTACCAGTTTATCTGGGGCGGCATTTAACTCTCTGCTTGTGTGAACTGCAAGTGGCATTAGCCGACAGCCAAGACACTAACCCCAGGGTGTGGAGCTGCATTCCCCAAGTTTGACCACATCAGGGGCAACAACGGGAACGAGCCGCGGGAACAAGCCGCGGCAAACTGCTATGCCCGCCGCTTGCCCAGCACCAGATGCGATACACAAGGTCAAATACCGACGCTCCCTCTCATCCTGCCGAGCCCGCACCTCCGCGGCCCGCGGGTCCAACCCGTTGCACAGCAGCCATTGCCGAACCCCCGCGCGATGCCGCGACTCAAAGTCATCCCCCTCGCGCCGGTCCGCCGTCGTCAGGTGCAGCACCTGCCACCCGGCTTCCCCGCGCGCCGCGGCCAGGTCGGCGAGTGACAGGACCCCGTCGCCGTGTAGGGCCCTGGCGGCCTCCGTCGGCGGCGGCGGCGGCGCCTCCCAGCACGCGTCTCCGACCACGACCCGGCCGCGCGGGACAAGCTCGGCTAGACGGGTAAGCATCGCCGCGCTCCCGCCCAGGGTGTGCGATGACCCGATGCATAGCCCGCGGTTGGCGCGCGCCATTGCTCGGCCGGCTGCTCGACGAAGGTAACGTCTAGGCCGCGGTCCGTCGCCGCTTGGCGTCCTCTGCTGAGGGCGCGGTGTCGACGCCCGTGGCTTTGCAGTTTGTGCGCGTGGCTGCGCGGAGGAGCAACTCGCCCCATCCGCAGCCGAGGTCGACGAGGGGTGTTGTTATTTGTAGGTCGAGGTGGTCGAGCAATTCGTCTGCGTGGCTTTCGGACAGGCAGTTCCACCGCATTGCTGCATACCGTGCGGCGGCGAGTGAGTCTGTCATGGTGGTGGTGTTTGGAGGGCAGACGATGGAATTTTTTTTAATTTTTTTTTTCGGCTGCGTAGGTTGGCAAGGGTGCTCAGTCCTGCCGATGTGATGTTTCCAGAACGGGAGAATGAATGGTGGTTGCGAGAGGGGGAACATCATTGGAATCAGTCATATCGTGATGCGATCTGCAACAGAACGTAAGCCATTCGAGCTCCTTCCTGGATGAGCTACTGTAGTAATTACAACAAATGCTGCTCTCCAACCAGCTAGCGTCGCCTGGTAACCTGCTCCATATTCGACACACTGTTATAGGCCTGCGCGATCAGTGTTTTCTCACGCTATAGACAACGGTGATCCCTATAGATAATTACTCGAGGAGTTGAGGTGGTTGGGTTAGTTGATTCAGCTGAGGCTGTGTTCATGTCACTGTCAAAATATCACGCCACTAGGCACAAGCTCATCCAATCAGGTTTCAGAAGGGGGGTTTTATTTCAGGGCTGCCATCACGAAGGGGAAAGTTGAGAGAGCACCTCACGTCTAAGACTCGCCACTTGACTGCTCAGCCATGGCCCGGATCTGTCTCTCAACAACGCCCATAGCATCCAGGTCCTCATTCTCCTTCATGATCTGCAATGCTCTCTCCTTATACTTGTTATTCCCCAATACCTCGTCCACCCCCGCCGCCACCTGCTCAGCCGTCGGTCGTCCCGTGCGCAAGTTGACAGCCACGCCGGCCCACTCGGCACGCATCACCGTCTCAGGCTTGTCCTCCGTGTCGCCGGCCAGCACCAAGGGCACGCCGTTGACGATGCCGTGCATGACCCCGCCGTAGCCTCCGTTCATGACGAAGACGTCGGTGTGTGGGAGCAAGGCGTCGTATGGCAGGTAGTCTATGACTCTCGCGTTCGCCGGCAAGTTGGCCACCACATCGTCGGGTAGCGTCGCGCCCTTTGACCCCAGAATTGCGACGACGAGGGTATCCTCCCGACCAGCCAGACCTTGAATTGTGGGGATGACGAGGTCCATGAAATCAACGGCGACGGTTCCCTGCGCCACGGCAACGATCTTCTTGCCGGTAGTGTTAGCTGCGACCTCGTTCCACCATTCGGGGTACGGGTAGTCGGGCCCGGGCGGCCGGGGCGGAAGGCAACCAGCGAATTTGAAGCTCGGATGGAGATCGGATCGCGGGTACTCCAGACTAGGCGGGCACATCTGCAGCGTGACATCGTAGCTGGTCAGCCACGTATCAAAGAGGAAACCGACCGGCTCAGAAGTCACGCCGATCGATTTGAAAATCTCGTTGCTGTGCGCCGTCAGGTCGACAAACGGCCCGCCCGACATCTGCTCGTAGAGTAGCTTGTTTCTCGCACGGCCCGAGGGAGTCGAGTCGGGGGGGAGGCCTGGTCCGAATGGCGCCGTGTCGATGCTCGTGACGACTATCGGGACGATGTTGAGGTTTATCACCTTGGGGAAGGACGTGAATCCCTCCGGAAGTGGCGCACCGAAGATGAAGGGCAAAACACCCAAGTAAAGAGTCTCGTGCATGATGATGATCCGTCTCGAAGGGTCACGCTTGTGCAGCTTCTCCAACACGCCCTTCATGGCGCTGTACTGCAAGGGAATCTGGTCTAGAAACAGGTGCTTCAAGTCCCAAATGAATCTCGGGGGCCCCGCGGGAATCTCCTGCCGCGCTTTTTCCTGGGCTTCCGAGGGCATATCGGGGATTTCGATGTGCTCAACGCCCAGCCGCCCCAACTGGTCGCGGAATTGAGGCCCGGTGATGAAACAAAGGTCGTAACCTCGCTTGACCAGCTCAGCGGCGATTCGGAGGATTGGATGAGTGTGGCCGGCAACCGGGGCGGCACAGAAGACGAGCAACGGCTTTTCTTTGTTGGCTGAGTTGTGCCCGATATTCTCGACACCTCCGGCCAAGTCAGTCACATTGCTGGTCAGATGGCTGGCCATGATTGCGAGTCTTGCGATATTCTGCGCAGAGTGGTAGGAATTGAACTGCGACAGGTATCGAGTTAATTACGCGTTCAGTATGAAGTGAGTGTGCATGTCCCCTGGGAAATAAGCCTTGAGCCGTTCCATAATAATATGTTTGGTGAGACGGCCCACAATACCATCGAAGCATATATACCCAGGATGACGACACAATCAGGTGAGTTGTTATCGTTCGTCTTGCTGTCCCTCTTATGCAAGGCCCGGCAAGCGTCAACCTAGACTTATAATCATGCGAGAGGCATCACAGTTCAGTCCAGCCAATCGTCCCAGGCTGCTCTAGTTTTATTCGTGGTGCCCGAAATCCTTTGTAAGCACCAACAGAATCAAGGTTGCAATGCTGAGTGTGATGCTGATGGCTGACTGCATCCTGTCCGTAATCACACCTATCAACGCTGCAGCTTCGGCTGACCGCATGAGGACAATAGTGCTGTCCATGCTACCCCCTTGCTCTTGATTATATTTTCAAGGGACGAACAGGGAGTCACACCGCTCGCCGCCATGCCCCACCAATATTTGTTTCTCACAATATTGAAGAAAGTCGCCGATTCCCTGGCGAGGGGCTCCCCGTCGCGTCCCGCCTCGTTCCTCGCCAGTTTCATTCCGGTTGTTGATACATAGATGGCAACCACCTGAAACAGCTGCGACACCTTGACGTGGTGCCTTGATGGCAAGGGAATTCCAGACGTTTGGGTACTTCTGCAAGGCGGTTAGCGCGTTATGGATGTCGCGGAGAGTCGCTTCGGGGATCTCGTCCAGAGCATCGAAGCAGAGATACAGCGTTACCCCAAGCTCCACGAGTTGCTCAAACAGGTTCAGACATTCTTTCGCCGTAGCACCAGGCCACAATCCTGGAAGGCTTGGCTATCTACTCCTGCAGAGCAGGGCTGTTTACAAGCCAGGTGGCGATCCGTTCGTGGCGGCGCTTCGCAACGTCTAGATGCTTCTAGAAGCCGCCAACGCTGCAGAGAAACTCGAGTAGCCCCTTCTTCGAGCCATATTCTCCTTGTCCTCGCGCTCATACAGCTTGGTGGAGAGCTCCTCACACTTGTCTAGCACCGAGTTGATCGGCGTTCGCTACCTGGCGATGAGTTGCCGCCTCGCTTTGTTCGAATTCAGAAACCCGCTAACGGTTGTAACGATGGCCTGGAGGCTCTTGACTTTGGCCCTGGCTTGTTTCAGCTCCGTTTTCACGTCTTTCACGTCCGAGATGTACTGGATGATTTTGACCGTGGAGCGGAGGATGACGTCGCAGGCGCCAAGAAGGAAGAAGTCCCGTCGCCATCTGCCTGTCCCGTGCTCGACGTGACGGAGGCAGTCAAAGTTAGGAACCCAGTTGGGTGATTATTACCGGTGTCACGGGTTTGGAGGCTGGGCTGCCTGACGTTTTAGATCGGGACATGAAAAAAGATGTTTGGGTTCTCGAGGACCAGGTTCTGGCGATAAAGTGCCGTGCTCAACATCCGAGCCGAGGCGAACGTGCCAAATCATAGTCTGGTCGGTTGCTGAATCACAGCCAGCAGGCACTGCTAACTATTCGTACAGCAAGCGGTCCACACCAAGCGCCATGTTGAAATAATTATCAGTTAGCTACCCAGCTTACATGCCGTCATCACTGCTGTCCATTCCCGGGAGCGACGTAAGCCCTAAGAGGGAATCAGAGTTAGATATGGAACTTCCGATAGCCAGGGCAAGCACCAGAAACTGCGAGAACAACTTACATCCATCGACTGGCTCATCGATCGCCTTCGCCACAGCGCACGCGTTCGCCTCAGAGAAAGCCTGGGTCTTGAGCTGGGTGCAATTTGCCCCAAAACAGTTTGCGTCCATGGCCTTCTGGAGTGAATCATCTTTCCACCCAAACACGTAATCTCCGTGTTGCCCGTATCCCGTGCTAATCAAGCATTTGACGTCAGCAGGCGCGGGCGGGAATATTTAAAGACAGACCAAGGATCCAACTCCGACTTACTCGTCGCCTTGGCTGAATACAAATGGCTGGGAGCCATCCTCTGGCCACAGTTCCTCGTCGTTGAACAACTGGGTTTGCCATACTACTTCAAACATCAATTGTGGAAGCTTGACAGGGTGCGTAGCCGGGCACGGGCCGTTGCTCTCGAATGTCCCCGTCTCGGGGTATGAGACGTGGCTCGAATGGTCGGAGCTGTCGAGGTTGGTGCCGTCCCAGCAGCTGAAAGGAACCATGTTAACGATTTGACTGATAATCATGAGAAGGGGAGGAGGAGGAGATGAGCCCAAGACGTACGTCGGGAACCTGATCGTTGTGCGGATACCGCCAGGGCACATCTTGTTCGGCAACGAGACGCTATCAACCTTACTGTCTGAGCAAGGAGCCAAATTATCTCCGCCGAAATTCTCGGCGGTGTAGCATCGGAAGCACATCGCGTTCCACTTGGCAATGCCCCCGGTGGTTCTCTGCGCCGCGTTTCCTGCAAGCATGCGGAAGCCCTGGACCCAGGAGTCAGAAATCAGCCGGTAGTCAAGGAACGGAGAGAAATGGCTAGACATACCGGCTTGAAAGCGGTGACATTCGTGTTGTCATACGACGAGGTGTAGTATATCGTCATGCCACCGGTTTCGCCATCGAGGAATCGGTTGGGAATCTGTGGCACACGCTTGTAGGTCCCGTTACGGGCCTTGAAATACAGATTGGCGGTCCAGTAGTTGGAGAAATCCTCGCTGAAGCTGCAGGTGGTACAGTTTGCAATTGCCGAAACGTCTGAGCTGGGAATATCTGCGCTGAAGGCATTCTGTGGGCGATAAGTTAGTCCAAAAGCAAACCAACGCTGGGACAAGGGCATATATCGTTCGTACTCCTCCGACGACCTGTAAATACCCCACGTCAGCACACAAACACTTTCCATCAAGGGGTCCGCTCCGGGTTGTGTACCTGGTGCACATGCGGAGAAGGATTCTCTGCTGGGTTGACAAGTCTGCGTTTATTCTGGTCAAACATCCGTTCTGTTGCGTCTGCTTTCCAAAAGGCTAGCTACTCACGGGTCAAGACGCTCAACCACAATCTGCGAACATCCAAAACGCAGAAGGGCATATGCGCGAATGCCCTGTGTAAAGAGCACGGCGGCGATCAGTGAGTTCAACTGCATCTTGGCTGAGGTTCCTCTAGGAGAAGTACACGCGAGATGGGGACCAAAGGACGGAAAGGGGGAAAGACCAGAGGCGAGAGGTGAATCCTCCGCTGCCGGGCGAAGTCAATAGTTAAGGAATGGAGGTCTTGATAAACACCCTTTGCAACTTCGCGTTTGAGGTAAAAGCTGCCGGGACTCCGCACGTTGATGTTTTGGCTAATAAAAACACAGACATATACAACGGTATATTGGATTGACACTGACCCCTTGCTGAAAAAACCAGCCACGGAACGTAACTGCCCAATCTAAGCTTCATCCCGGCTGAATGAGTCCAAGCTAATGACGTAGCAAGTTCTGTGATAATATCCATCGACTGGTTACTCCGAACTTTCACAATAAGTGCCGCGGCGCGGCCATTCCGGCGAATGAGAATATTCAGACTCGATATATTAGAGCAGTTCAGTCTGTCCAAAATGTGCCAGAATGTGGATGGCGGTCCTCGCTTCGCACATGTAATGAAGGAGCCGGGAACCCGGCAACGAGCGCGGATCGTCAACAATCTGATCCTCCTTTTTGACCTTATTCCCACCTCAATTCGTAGCCTTTCCCTCCCGCCCCTTCTCCATTCACACCTGAGACTAATATCGTCCCATACAAATGCTGTTAGATCAGCTCGAAAACGTCTGTTTTCGACTCATCGTCACCGCGCCAAATTTCCCCTTCCATAACCCCCATCACGAACGCAGGACCGATGACTGTATATCTATTCCCACTCTCTCCGACGAGCCGAAGAACCATTGGAAAGTCCATGCCCACAAGCAGCACAATCACATCCCCTTTCTTCATGGACCGTGGGCCTATCCCCATCCGCCCGCCCGCCGTCGTGAAGAAGACGCGATTCTGGCACATGACGGACACGATGTGCTGCATAATGCTAGTATCAGGATGCACATGTAGTGCACATAAGATCTGCCACTCGGGGATCAGAGCAAGAGGGTTGCGAAGCGGATCCTCTAGTAAGGCTTGAAGGTCGGCGTGTCTGTTCGACCCCCAGCGGACGATAGTCGCAGCGTGGCGCACCAAGTCGATTCTTTCATCGGGATTATTGTCTTCGTCGGGGTTGTTGTCGTTATGGACAGCTTGCTGCAGAATATCCAGCCAGCTAGAGGATACGTCACTATCGCCATGCCCCAGTATGACGGCAAATTTCTGGCATAGAGTTTGACAAAAAGCCCTGCGGCTTCCCTCAACGCCGCCGTAGTGCCTGGTGACGACTGGATCCTGGCTGATATTGAACCAATCTCTCAGCGCCGAGATCGTCTCGAGGAAACCATTCTCGAGCATGGCTGCCAGGCCGTCGTTGGGATTTGATTCGTGGGACCAGATCATCTGGGAACTGTAATTGCGCACTACGTCAACCTTGTGTCCGTGAAGTTTAAGGATTCGATTGCCCTCGAGAAGAGTGAAGCAAGGCGCGGAACTTTTCGTGGCGCTGAGACGTTCTCCCATGAAGGCATGAGCGGATCCACAGCGGATCCCCGCCGCGGATCGGGGAGATTGCCCGGGGTCATGAAGATCTGGAACCCACGTCGGGGCGTCGTCGAGGGTGGACGTGTCGGAGAAAGCGGATTGGAGAATGTTGAGGCAATTCGTGTGCGTGAGCATATGCACCGTGAAATCCCAGTATATTCTGCCTAGACCGAGGCGGTAGTCAGGCTCGGGCAGGCCAATACCTAGCTCTCGAAGGATGCCGAAAAATCCATACGCCATGTCTTTTGGGTTCGATGCGTTGCAGATTCGGGCCCAAGCCATGAATTCTGCCGGATCGAACGTGAAGGTATGTGGGTACCTGATGAAAGACGGTGCGTCTGGCAAAGCTCTCCCTTGGTGCCTCAGATTCCGCAGTTTGTATCGAAATCTCGCATTTTCCATGAGCTGAATGTAGGTTAGAATGTTGCCTCCCACGGATTGCTGCAAGGTTTGCTGCAGCAGTACCAGCAACGAGCTGGCCAGCAGGTCGAACGGCAGGGTTCTCCCTCCGCAGACGACGTCGGCGTCCCCGGCAAGAGCAACCTCCTGTATCGTCCAAATCCGCGTGAACCATGGCCGCTTAACAAAGGCCCAGAGAAGCTTGTCATGCCCTCGAGCTATGCATTGTCAATGACCAATTAGTGTCAAACCAGGGGAGGAAACTCTGTGTAATTAATTACCTTTCATAATCCTCAGCAGAATCCCATCGACCAGGTCGCTGACCGGCCGCAAGTAGGATGCTAACCACCATACACTGGCTTTGAATTGTATGTACCGAAACGCCACATCGCTCCCATCATCACTGTCGCCAAGCCAGACGGTGACTCGAAGTGCGCGTTTGTAAATCTCGCCCATCAGCTTGATCTGCCTGTTGCGCTCATCGACCGACTCCGGGAGGTCCCTCTGGTCGATGCACAGAGAGTCGATCCACAGGAACCGTCGGAAAGTCCTCGAAGAAAGTTGATCCAAGGCAGAATAGCAATTGTTCGTGACCAGGAACTGGCGTGCATTGCATTGGATCGCGCACTGGTTGTCGGTCGGTCCCCACACGTACGAGAGGGCTTCGTATGGTGGAGCTTCTCTCAGGCGGACTTCCTCAAGCTCGAACTCGATGGTGCCGTCTTTGGCTTTCTTCAGCTTCAGCAACCTTATCGAGTCCTGGTGCCTCAGTGGAACATGCTCGTAGGCCGGGAGGCGGAAAGACCGGGTCCTGCGTGACGGGGTGGGACAATAGGCTAGGACCAACCAATCCCCGAAGTAGTAGTAGACGAACCACGCGCCCAGAACCGTAAAGTAAATGCTCGGGCCCACGGATAGAGAGACGATGGTCAAGGCTAAGCTCTTGGCAACTATCACTGGATACGACCAGTTCGAGACATGGGGGAGCCAGGAGATGTCCATCATCAGACACTGCTAATGGCTCAAGCCGACGATGACGAGAGACGGGGCGTTGGGGCCGGCCAGAAAGTTGGTGGTGCAGCCTTGTCGGAGTTGGAGTTTATGTGTTTGTGGGTGAGGAAATCTACGCGTTGGCGACGCGACTTATTTATTGCTTAAGACGGTTCAGAGCACTAACCTGAATTGTCGCGATGGCTGAGGCAGTGTTCGACGCCAAAAACTTGGCGCTGCGGGGCAACAGACACAGCCTCTATCTTGCACGGAACCTGTCGCAGGCCTCCGCGATGCCAAACACTGCCTTGTAGTGTCTGTGCTGGGCTGGTACTTTCGAGAGATTCTGCATTGCAGTCACTATCACGCCGGTGGCCATAATCTTTGCCGCTCTCTCATCGGAACCCGTCACCTATCTGGACGGGGTTGGCGTCACAACTGTCACGCCACACTCGACCCAGAGGACCATCCCGGTTCTACCGTGGGCTTGCGGCACGGCGCGTGGTGGGAACACGGCGACATCTTTGCCAACCGCGATGCCGATACCTGCGATGACCAACGCGCCGTGTTGGCTCTTCCCCCTAGTTAACCCCCCCCCCTTTTTTACTTTCCAATCCCACAGGTCCGCCGCCCGGCCCGTCTCCACCTGGATCCTGGTCAAATTCGATGAATGAACGGTACCGTCATACCCGCATTCCACGACTACATATCCTCGACCTGCTCAGACAAGTGCGCTGGGATGTGCTGCCGCGAAGGAAGGGATTGTAGCGGCCACGGTTGCGTCCTGACCGGCAGCTGCGGGCAATTGCTGGGTGAGCTATTAAACTTAAAGGTCCTAACCTTGCAAGCAAGGTTAGGACACCTCAGTCACTACTGCTCTATGACCGGCGACGAGATGTGACGGGCGTATCAGGAAGTTGGGGCAAGTAAGTTATTTAACCTAGGTATTTAAAGAAACCTTACATTATCGTAGGAGTCGTCAGTATATATGTCCTCGAACCATTTCCCCCTGCTGCAATTGATACAACCTAACAGATCGATGAGGCATTCCGACACCATTGTCTTCCACGGAATCTCCATCCCGAGAGCCTTGGCCATCATGTCAGAACGGATCATGAGCAGCCAGCAGTACTTAAGGTACTCGGCCAACTCGTCCTTGTTGTCCAGGTGAAGCGGATCGTTGGGCACTTTGAGCCTCCGCAGGGGCACGTATCCCGCCATATCCATAATTTCCATGGCCAGCTCCACAGGCAATCCCCTGCTGCACAGAATACCCCGGACATGGGCAATTTCAGACACTTGCGGCCGGTATCCGGAACCATAGAGGGAGTCTTGCTGCTCGCAGACAAGGAGCTCTTCGATCGGCATCAGCCCGTAGGGATAGTCGTAGGCTCGACGCCCGATATGGACGAGGTACGCCCACCGCCGCCCGTCCCTTAAACTGGGATACAATTTAAACTGGCCTCGCTCGATGCCAAAGAATTGCCGGTGCGGGTGCGTTGATACCTCCGATGTCATCCCAGACAGCGTGCAGGTTCTAAGCATGTACTGGTAGAGCCTTGTTTGGCGGTAGTCTGTTTCGTCCGTCTTTCCAGACGCGAGGTCCCACGTCTCTGGAAAGCAATGCAGCACATTTAGACACAGATACGCGCGCAAGGCCATGTTGCTAACTTCGTTCCACCCGGCATTTCTGGGCTTGTGGACGTCAGTGGATGCCAGCGTAAGCAAGGTAAGAGAAACTTGTCCGACACTAGACATGAGTGATAGTAGAAAAATAGGGAAATGCTTTAATGCTTACCAAGTCCTGGCACTCTGCCGCGTCCCACCAATTGTGCAAGTCCACGTCGGGATGGGCGCATATGCGGAAAATCGTGTCCATTTCGCCGTACAAGAGCAGCATTTTGACCAGCTCGACGTTAACAAAGGCCGTTCCGTTGGCTTGAAAAAACTGATAGCAGGAATTGTTTCGACGCTTTTGCAGAAATGCGGATGCTTTTCTTGCCTCGCGAGGGATGGGGCATCGACACTCCTCGCTTTGCTTGTGGCCACATGTTTTCCAGTCGAAATCAAGGCGCAGCCGCTGAAAGGTTGGGCTGATCTTCTTGACGACATCGTCGTCCAGAACCACGTCTTGAGAACCCGGCGGCTCGTATTTCTCGGGATATTTTAGGCGCTCACACGTGGAATGCTCACTGAGAGTCTTGGCGAATGCACGTACGAAGTAGGTCAGCTCCTTGCCTTGGTTGGGCTGGTAGCGGAGATGAAGATTATTGCCCTTGACCTTGGTGCGGTAATGGCCAGCGACGTCGTACTCTTGGCAGTGGTTGACGGCAACCCATGTTAGGTTCGAGGCCAAGACGTTCCACGGAATATTGTGTGTTTGGTGCGCCATGGTCTGAATGTGAAGCTTATCCTGTCAACCCGAGTCGTGTTTCCCCGGATTTTAGTAGCGCTTGAACGAAAGTCGTGGCTACATGCGGGGACGGTGACGGTGAATGACTCAGTGGTCGGCGATTCGGAAAGTCCGAGCCTCTTGGCAGGGCTTAGGCCTGTCTCCAAGGGTACATACCTAAAATTAGATCCAATTGGGGCAAATGTGGGCTCACTGTCCCATCATTCGTCAGGGGTTCAACGCGGATAGATATCATGGTTCGGATGTACAAAATGGAGACTATGGCCGAGTACGAGAGGAAAACAAGCTTTGTCTGGGGCTTGAGACACTGAGCCGTTTTAAAACGGTCCATAATTGGTGAGCCATTTGCTCAAATTACAAAATTATGACTTGACGTCTAATTATCGGCAGCTCAGTCCACCGTGATCACCTCGTATAGTTCAATCTCCCCATTCATCTTCCCAATAACCAAATTCCGACCAGTCGAGCTGAACGCTGCACTCGTGACGGCGGCCGTGTCGCCGCAAAGATCGCCGCGGAAGGTGCCGGTGAGTAGGTCAGAGACGTCGAAGCCGTCCTCTGTCCGGCAGGCCAGGTACTTGCAGTCGGGAGAGATGCACAGCGGCCATCCCTCGGTCCGACGGACAGTGTTCAGATCGTAGGCGTTGACAATGCCTGTCTCTGGGTACCACAGGTTGACCTCGCGGCCCCAGATGCAGGCCACCAGCTCGCCGTCGAGAGAGAATTGTAGCATCTTGGGGGTGCGTCCGCCGCCCGTGTCATACCGTCGTAACGTCCGGCCCAGATGGACGCTCGTTAGCCGGGCCCAGCCGTCTTTGGAAAGGCTGGCGAGGGAGATGCCGTCTGGGCTGAAGGCCAGGTGCGTCACCTCGTCGGTGTGGTGCGGGATGGTCATGACCAACTGGAGGCTCTGGGCGTCGCAGATGGTGATACGCGACGTGTCCTTGCTGTCCACCGCAGCGATGAGCGTCCCGTCCGGGGAGTACGTGATGGGACCCTGTATGTCTAGATATTCCCGTATGAGCCGGTTCTTTCTCCTTTCCAGGTCGAATATCGTGATGACCGGACGCAAGCCCCACGCGTTGGTATTCCGCTCGATCTGGATCCACTTCTGGTATGGCGCTACAACGGCGCGGTCTGGCGTAGGCGCGAGGGCAAAATCTCCAGACACCTTGATATCTAGGTGGATGATGCGCTTGTAGTTATTCGTGTTCCACTCGTAGATGGTGTTCCAATGGCCGAGACCATACGGCATCATGACGGCTATGTGTTCGTCCGAGCTCGAGAATTTTATGCGCATGGCCTCCTTGGCTACACACATCAACTGGCGCTTGTGCACGAGGAGGAGCGTCGCTTCGTTTTCCGGTGGCCATGGAGGCTCTTTCTCCGGCGGCTCGTCCCACCTCCTTGGCTTGTCGTCATCTTCCTTTTTGTGAGGCGGGGTTCTCGCACCACTGGCTTCGCCGCTGGGGCGATAGGGTAGTTTGCTGCTCATCCTGTCAAGCCGGCAATGTTTGGTGTCCGACCGGGGAAATTGAGCCTAGATGCCGTTTACTATTTATATAGATATAGAGTCAAGTGCGGCCAAGTTAATGCGAGGTAATACTTTTACTTCCCAAGGTTGCCTTTCAGTCCCCTAGTAAGGCTGATCTGATTTGTTGTCCAGGAACGAATCATGACGGGCTGGGCCAGCCTTGAGTCCCAACAGCTTGTTGGTAATATCGTATTCGTTATTTGTCCAATCGGGCCGGGGAATTTAGAGATTCAACCCCCCGACATCCAATCGCAGATATGCCCACTCTTGCGAAACTAGAATTAATTACGGATTAAATTACCTTGCATTTTCTCAGTGAGGCGCAGCGGATTAGGTACGGTATCATTAGGAGCTTGGGTATTCAGGGTCGAAATTCCTCCGGAATGACAAACACGGCATGTAGCCTAATAAATTACCAGATTGTGTGAGAACCCCCCCGGAGCCCCGGAGCAGTCGTGAAAATTGCCGTGGCCAAATCTTCTCCCGGCCAGCGGGCCCGGAATTGTGGGCCCGGACTTGTGGGCCCGGGCTTGTGGGGCACGGCGTTGTGCATCGCTGGTTCACTTCCTTCCACATTTGCACGGTTTACTGTTATGAACTGGTTCATGGAACCGCAAACATACTCCTGGCAAACGAGAACATTTTGGCGTCATTTAACAGTTGTCAAGCCTGCACGTTCAAATCTATAGTTTCACTTGGCCTTGGACTGTACGGAAGTATTATCACTACAACTACCTACAGAGGGACGCCACTAATAATCTCACTCTGTCCTCTATGAAGGTTAATATTCTAGGCTTGGAAAGACCATGGCTGTGGCCTACACTAGTGTACCTTGGCTTGCTCTTTTTGCGGGAAATAGTGGGACTGGGCTATCAGAACGAATGTTCTGGCTGGGCTATTTGAGTGCTATTTGGGAGGAAGAGGAATGCCAAGCAAATTAGGCAGCGACTTTGGGACAGAAACAATGTGAGAGTTGATTGGCTGGTCGGATATTGGCGCATTGCAGAGGAGCATAGCCACGATAGTCCTCCTGCGAAAACCTTGATAACTGCACGTCGAAAGTTTACAATAAAAAGCTAGATTATTAGCTTTCAACTTTGTGCCTTCTCCTCGGTTGGATCAACACAGAAGAGAATCAGACTTCCATTTTCTTTTATCTGACGAGAAGCCGTTGGGAAACACGCCAAGAAAGACACCACACCACAAATATTCCAACATGTCGCAGTTCGACGAGAAAGAAGAATCCCCGCCGCCGTTCGAAGCCGGCGATTTTCAAGGCGCAACATCTGATGAAAAATCACAGCCCGGCTCATTCGCCACGCCCTTCGCGTGCATAACCCTGAACATGACGGATTGCATCCGCTTCATCAACTTCCCACGCGAGGAGGTCTCCGCCCTATACAACCTGATCCAAACCTCCTGGCCAAAGGGCGCTCGAGAACCCCGGCTATATGGAGGCTCACAGGAGGTTAGGCTGCACGGTTCGCCTTGGTCCGATGACTTCAGCGGGAATAACAACTCGCGGAGACTTATCCGGAAGTTACTTGAGACCCTGTTCGACCGCGGCTGGATCTTGCAGGCTGGCGTGGACATGAGCAAGAAGGATCAAGACAAGGGTCAGTGATAGCTTGCAACAAGATGCTAGTTAAACAGTACGCTGACTGATAGGTTTAGACACACTTGTGTTTCGGTACCAGTCGCCTCCACCACCACCATGTGACTGGCTCTGCATTTCCTTCGACACATGGGACAAGCTCAAGTTTGTGGAAGCCCCGTCTAGCGATCTTGCCGGAGCCATTTTCCAGGCCTTTGAATCCCGCATATCCAAGCACGAGCCGAAAGACGATTGTCTTAAGCTCCATTTCCGCGGATCGCCGTGGTACCCTGATGGCGAAGAGACTGTTAGTTCGCGTCTGATCCTGATGACGCTCCTGGAGGTCCTCGAGAGGTTTGGCTACACCCTATACGGGAGTATCTGTGCGCAGAATGGTCATCAGGGTACAGACGCCGATGTGTTGATTGTGCATCGTCAGAAGGACTGGAGCCCAGGGGCGCCTATTTGGCATCGTTAATTAAGGAGTGTGCTGTTGTCGCAAAGAGAAGCTGTCATGAGCATTGGGTATTGACTATGGAAAGGAGAATGGATATCAAATAGCTCGATGATCAAACGTTGTTCCCGTTAATCGACCTTTGCTGCTGCTTTAACACTGTCCAAACCACTCTGGTTTCCACCACAACACCGTGAGCCGCAACTCAGCAATGGCATACGGCGACGCATATCAATATATCAGTTAAGACATGATGCGGAAGATAGGGTACTCGTCCCCCGTGTCGACCGGAACAATATTAAAGCTGACATACGAGTCAATGTTCTCTGGCTCCAGCGCAACCACGGCCAGGGCTGCATTCTTCTGCCTGGTGCTGATCAGGAAGCTCCCGGAAGGCAGCTCCAGTTCCTTTTGCACAGTCTCGGTGGTAACATCCACGCGCACGACGCCCTCATAGTACTCATCCGCAAACGCGACTGATGTGATCTTCAGAGCTTCAACGCTGCCGCGGAATGGCTCCTGCAGCGTCTCGACTTCTAGGCCGGACACCCTCAGTCGGTCTGCTAGATCCGCCCAGGCAACTGGAATGAGGTACGCCTCGGGCCTGCCCCGTGTCAGGTTGGCGTTGACGGGCGTCGTGCTGGCAAACTCGATGGGCACCTGAACGACGCTTCCGTTTGAGCTGTCGACCATGGTGAAAGTCCTCTTGGACAAGGTCGAGTAGTCTGTGACGATGATATCCTCCGTCGACGCGATGAAATCTCGGATTCCATCCTCAATGGTGGAATACACCTCATCAGCGTGGTCGGCGGCGGTCTGGATGATGCTCTCGGCCATGGCGAGCCCAGACACTGTTCGTCGCTGGAAATGCTGGTCCGCCAGCCGGATGCCCCGTGTCTCGCAGAGGAAGGTGATGCTCTGCGTCAACCCCATGGCGTTTCTCCCGATCTTGGCATCGCTGCCCGCCTCGTCGAAACGAATTGTGAAGTCGGGCTTCGAGCTGGACGGACCGGTGACGTAGGGCTCCCATGTGAGACCGAGGTCCTCCATAGCCTCGCCTATCGCCGGAGCAAAGAGCTTCTCGGACAGACGGCGGATTGTAGGGTGGATGTTCAGATTCTTCGCCGCCGAAAACAACCCATCAGCCCCCTGCACGTACCTACCATACTGAGTCGTGGCGCTGTACTCATGCATGTCGATGGCGACATGGGGGGCAAAGGAGCTAAAGAGTTGCTTGATGTCGCGAGTCTGCTGTCTCGCGAGTTTGACATGGTCTCGATTCGGGTCGAGGTTCGTGGCCAGCGTGCGCTGAAAGTATGCGACGCCATCCAGGTTGTATCGAGGTAGGACCAGTATCTCCACACGCTTGAGGAGAGACGCTGCCCAAGTCTGGTTTGCGTCCATTTTGCCAAGAAGAGCTAGCACAGCCTGGTCACCCGCGGGCTCGTTGCCGTGCACTGCTCCCTGTAGCCACACCCGAGGTTTCTGGGTGCTATTCGCGGTGCGGCAAGGGTTCCGGGGAGATGACGAGAGCAGGAGGTAGGGAAAGGCACGTCCCTCTTCAGACGAGAAGTTCGCCACATTGTACGATATCCAGTCATTCTTTTCTGCCAGGGACTTGATGAAGGAGTCTACCAACAAGTAAGCAAAGTCGTACGTAATGTTCGAAGATACCCCCGACCAAGACTAACCAAGTGTCGAGTCATCCGTCGGCCCGGCTGTCCCAGCAGAAAATCCATCAGGTATATCTTGGGGGCTCAGAAAGGCGGGCGAAAGCAACGGAACATCCACGGCCGGGAAGTTCCGGGCGACGTTGTCGGTGTCCTTCCGCACTACGACGTGATTGTGCCCATACTGAACTCCCTGCGCAGAGGCAATGGAAACAGTGCCGAGCAAGAACGCAAGGTTGGATAGCGCGCGCATCTTGATGTCGTTGCCTCGCAGCTGCACCCAACAAGGATGGGAGTATTGTATACAGATAGTTCATAAAACAGAGAGTGTGTGAGGGCTGTGGTCATGAGCTTCCTTTTATGTTTTTGTGTGATTATGTTTCTCCTGAAGTGGATCACGAACGTAAAGTTGTAATTCTATTAAGCTCACCGACTTCTTCCAAAACGAGAAATCATATCCCTAGACTTGACCTTGTTAACCTCAGTAGCGGAATCCTGCCGGTCTAGATATCGCAGCAACGGAAAGATCAACACTCCTAGCATCGGCTAGCAACGTTGTTGCTTGGCATGCCATTGGCAACGAAGCTTGATGAGGCAGTTGGCTATCTGATGTGAGGGGTAAGTGGAACTGCGATAACGGCGCCAAGACTCTTATTTCCAGATTCCAGGGAATCTTCAACTCGCGACAGGAATGTCTTGCATTGATTGACACCGAAGCTGAATGTGGCACTCGGTAAAAGGTGAGGGGTAAGCGCGAAATGCGGTATGTGGCAGAACCTCAACATCTCAAATCTAGGAGATCGGTACGCTGCAGCCATCAGGTAGATCTAGAACATAGGAAGGTTAGCAGCTTTTTCGAGAGACGGGAAGTCGAGATCGCCGTCAGAATCAAAGAACTGGTCACGAGGGATACCATTAGGGGCATAGACCCGGTTTGCACCAAAATTCGTTGCATCCCGGCCTCCCCGAGCTACAAGTAATGGATATGCAGGTCTGAGACTCTCAAGGAATGCACTGAACGTACGTATGTCTTAGATTCCTGATTAGCGGCTTTCAACCGATTCTTTTCTCTCCCCTTTCATTCTCTACAAGACGGTTGTGTTCCTGCCTCGGGAACCTTAACCCCACGACCATACCTCCTTAACTTTCCATGCCGAGTCACTAATCGGTAAGCCGTCTGTAACGGAGCCTTTGGATCCAGCGGTGGCACCTTGCATGAAGAAGCCGGTTGGGTCCACGGTTGAAGATACCCATAAGTCGCATGGCTAGACCCATCTAACCACAACAGTATGTCGGTTTGGTTTGGAAGAGAGTATTTCGGCCAAGCGTAAGTATTTCAACCCCTTTGGGACCACTAGCGCAAGTATTTCACCCCTTTTCGGCCTAGGGTAAGTATTTCAACCCCTTTTGGCCTAGGGTAAGTATTTCAAACCTCCCTCGGCCTATGCGCGGTGATGCTATGCTGGATAAAGAGATTCGATGATGTGAGAAATGCCATTGGAGCGTGGAGCATGCATCTATCAAGTGCATGAGCGACAGTGATGTGAAAGTCAGGTACTTATCATTAATGGTTTGCCTCCTCTTCCAAAGTCAAAGATGTCGCCTGCCTCTCAAGTATTCTACACCACTTCCCCACCCAACCCAGGCACGTCGCCGTTTAGACACATGAAATAGTCGCTGAAGTGGTAGGGGTTTTCGTCATTTGGCAAGTCAAGCGACGGGTAGACCTGGCAGACGATGGCGCAGCTCATCGGGTATGCTGGGTTGACAAGGCTTGTGGGGCTGGTGATGTTGTGCACTTTGTACGGGAAGATGGGGTGGTTTCGGGAAATTAAAAAAGGAAAGGGCCGCGGTTGTTAGGTCCCAATATCTCGGCACTGTCTACGTACATGGCTAGCAAGGTGGAGTCGGCGAGGACGGTGTGGCAGTTCGCTGAGGAGCAGGCCAAGAAGATGCCCGGGTTTATTGTCAACTTTGTCAGTCCATTCATGATTCTTGGGGAGGCGCCGCACCTATCTCATCTAAGGGGCTCGGCTGGCTAGGTGGATAAGTTGTGGAAAGGGAACACGAGCAGGGTGAGAGCGGTGCCGGCATGTAAGTGTTTGGTGGCCTTCATTCTAGCTATTTACGTCAATGTCAAGGACGTCGCGGCGCTGTATGTCGCTGCCCTTCTCGATCCGCAAGTCAGGAAGAACGCATCCAGGCATGGGCAGGGCCGTCTAATTGGAATGACGTCTTGGCTATCATGCGGCGCCAGTATCAAGACCGCCAGTTTGTGGACGATTTACCAGCAGCTGGAAAGCTCCTCGCCACAACGGATGACACTCTCGAGCGACGCCTGCTGAAGAAGTGGGCTGGACGGGATGGCCGGTTGAGCCTGGAGGAAGGAATTCGCCAGACACTGACTGGAAAGTATTATACTGTGATAGACTGCCTCTTGCGCATATCAAGTCTTTAACTCTATTTTACTTATCCGTTGCCGGCAACCAAACTCTTGTATCTGCCTCCTCCATTTTCAGCAGTTAATATCAACGAACAATGGCAAACCGACAACCCAAGCCTTGCAATCTCGTTGAGGGATTCAGTGTCGGAAGCGGTGGATGAGGCATTTGGAAATTGGGCTTGTAGACACTCCCGTGAAGAAGGAAAGCAGGCTATTTTACATGCCATGCAATCAGGGAAGAGGAGAAATCCCTCAAGATTCGTGTGCCTCAGTTACACCGGAAAAGGTATGGCACCGGGCTGTTGCCGATGGCGCGAAGTCTACAATTGGTCACGACATCCAAGCCTCTCCGCTAGAGATGATTCGCCCTCCAATTCGCAGGCAAATCATCACCTTGAAATGTCGTGATCGGTCTCAACAGCGTCGGTCCCGCTGTGCCCATAACCTCGCTTCCAAAAAACACTCCTCTGACAGTCGGGCTTATCTCGAACATGCGCAGCTACCTAATACGAATACCAGACACCCGGTATCCGGCGAATGGCAGCCGTCCCGTAATTTATTTATGAGGGTGGTGTAGACGTGCCTTGGGATGATTGCATCACATGGGGCTTTGTCAGCTGCGTGACGTCTAGCACGCCATCTTGCTCACTTAAATCGTTTGAAACAAAAAGATACACCGACATATATCAACAGGAAATCCACTTTGGCCCATAAAACACAATATGAAATTGACAACAAGGGCCGCGGAATCCAGTAAGTTGACCCACCCCATCGCATCAGGCACTGTCCGGCCCAACAAAGCCGACGACAGTCTCGAGATGGAGTTGTCCCTCGTAAAACTAGCCTCATACAAGCCCCAAACACTTCCCCGGCTCGGCACCGAGATGTCATACCAGCCCCTCACCCGCGACGACCCTGACGATGTCAAGAGCTACGGCTCCGTGGACTCCAGGGGGGTGTCGCCGTCCCTGAGCCCCACTGCGACTCTGCTGAGTAACGAGTTTGAGCTCCGGGACCACGAGGGGCACAAGAAGAACCCGTTCTCCGACAACGAAGCCGCTGCTTACTGGCGACAGGTCTACGAAGACTGCCAGTATGAGTGTAGGCATGAATTCAACCCACAGCTCACGTGGTCCACGGAGGAGGAGAAGCGGCTGGTTCGCAAGCTGGACTGGAAAGTTTGCTTCTGGGCGGTACGCATCTCTTCTATCTAGCTAGCCTGTGGTGTTCTGGTACTTAATCTCTGACTCGGCTTCAGTGCGTCATGTTCTTCGGTCTACAAGTAGACCGGGGGAATCTTTCCCAAGCTGTCTCTGACAACATGCTTGATGATCTGGGCCTCAACACAAATGGTGATTACCGCCGCCCAAATCCACTTACCACTCCAGTCTGGACAAAACCACACAGCCATACGGATGGCTTACTCCTTTCTATTTGCTAACAAGCTTTAATTAGACTATAATCACGGGCACTTGATCTTTTTGGTGTCATTTCTATGTGCAGAGCTACCTTCACAGCTCATCTCCAAAGCCCTGGGCCCAGATCGATGGATCCCAATCCAGATGGTGGCATGGTCACTCGTCGCCACCTCTCAGTGCCTGTTAACTGGCCGAGCGTCATTCTTTCTTACCCGAAGTTTGCTTGGCTTTCTAGAGGTGAGTTTTTTTTTTTTTTTTCCCAAGCTTGTCGTCGAGTTCCCCTAAAACCCAAACCACATGGCGTGAGTACTGATGCCGCCCCTTCCATAGGGCGGTTTCATTCCCGATCTTGTGCTGTGGCTTTCGTATTTCTACACGTCGCGTGAACTGCCGATTCGTCTCAGCTATTTCTGGACGACATTGTCCATAACAGGCATAATCACGTCTCTCCTCGCATTCGCGCTTCTTCACCTACGGGGCGTGGCTGGCTGGGAAGGCTGGAGGTGGCTCTTCCTTATCGAGGGTTTTATCACCCTTGTTGTCGGCGTGTGGTCATTCTTCATGATGCCTGCATCTGCCGTTCAGACCAAGACATGGTTCCGCCCAGACGGGTGGTTCACTGACCGGGAGGTGGCTATTGTTGTTAATCGCGTGCTTCGCGACGACCCATCAAAGGGCGATATGCATAATCGTCAGGCTTTAACCCCTCGACGGCTCGGGGAGGCACTGAAGGATTATGACTTGTGGCCGCTTTACGCCATCGGACTGGTTGCATACGTGCCGCAGCACCCCCCGAGCAATTACTTGACCTTAACGCTGCGTGCGCTTGGGTTTAGTACTTTTACTACCAATCTTCTAACTATCCCTTCAGTAAGGCTATATTGTTGAGGGGGGGGGGGGGGGGCTGAGAACCTAATTTTGGTCGAACAGGGCTAACAATTCTCGATAGTATACGGCCCACATCATCAACCTCATCCTCCTCACTAGACTGTCGGAATGGGCCAACGAACGAACGTTCGTGGCTATCCTTCAGCCCCTGTGGACCCTTCCATGTATCATTGCTTTAAGATTCTGGCCACATTTGTTTGAAGACAAGTGGGGCACATATGCTTTGGTGATGGTTCTGCTATCCTACCCATACTGCCGTATGTGGCAATGCCGCGACTGTATTTTGATCCCGACCTACTGACATACTGATCCCAGATGCAATCCTCGTGGGTTGGTGTTCCAAGAACTCCAACAATGTTGGAACACGTACCGTTTCTGCTGCTCTCTACAATGTTAGCAATTCTTGTTCCACCTTTCACTGCTATCCGCGCTCCTGACACAGAAACAGATGAGTTGTCAGACAGGAAGCATTGTCTCTACGTATATTTACCGGGACGATGATAAGCCGCTATATCGTCGGGGCAACTCTGTCTTGCTCATGTTTAACTTGCTCTCCATTCTAGTATTCGTGCTCACCAAGCTGTACTACGTCTCGAGAAATTGGCAAAAGGCAAAAGTCTGGAACGCATTAACTGAGGAGGAGCAGATCCACTATAGAAAGACCACTAAACTCCAAGGTAGCAGGAGATTGGACTTTCAGTTTGCTCACTGATGGAACTCGGATATGATACAAGGTGGTAATAAGCAGATATACAGACGGGCATATGCAGGTTAGGAGACATATGTGAGACGATGCTTGAAGAGTGCCGGACAACTCGGTGTCTGCTCTCGCCTTGTCCCACGTCAACCTGAGTAACCATCATACCTAACCGCTCGTCATCAAACCCACATCATTGGCCGTCCAGTGCAATGACACTGGGGCTAAATAAAACACGCTCGGGGTTCCTACCGCGATTGTAGAAACCGAGAACCTCAAAGATGCGCTCCCCCCTTCCCTCTCCAGGGTGCACAACCCTCGACTCTCGGATCTTGCCTGCAAATCCAGGCATTACTTGCACAAGGTCCTCGGCTGGGCAGCTGGCCATGTCCTGGGTATCGACCAATCCAGCGCTATGGTCGATGTTGCGAACGCGTCCAAATGCCCAGAGAAGGCGTGGGGCACGGTGAGCTCCGGGTCGGACACGCCATGCAGCTGGAAGAGTGGGGGAGAAGGTGTTCGATATTGTGGTTGGGGTCTTGCTGATGAACTACCCAAGCGGTTTGAAGGAGATGACATGGATGCTCCGGGCCACGTGAGCGAATCTTGGGGGCAGAGGCGTTTTTTTACTGGTGACGCCTCATCTGGCTGATGACCTGGATGCATTTGCCTAGACAACCAACGATTTTGGAAGGTGCGAGGCCACCATCAATAACCAATACGATCGACTCAAGTCTGCGTGGCGCTGGCTGGCGAACCAAGTATTGTTGTCCCTGGAGACAAGTAGGTAACAGACGAGGCATCCACAATTCCTTCCGCTGGAGCCTGCCTAGGTAGATTGTGGTTAGTGCAGGGCTCTTGGGCCGCCAAGGCAGACAGAGACTGCCCTCTTGCAGGGGCCGGTTTGTAGTCCACTAGGCACACCGGTATCAAACTTGGCAGCCTAGATTGTGACAGGGGCGGCATACTGTGTACAGGCTTCTTGTGTATCATTTTCGAGAGAACCAGAAGCCCATTTGGTCCAGTTGAGTAGGCAGAGACACACAGGGATCGAAAATAATCACTGGTTACAGTGGTTACAGCCACCACCGCCAAGAAAGCCACTGCAGGGATTAGCCCAAGGCTGGGGGCCTTCTAGGGGCTGTCACTTAACCTGCGTGGGCAGATAAATAAAAATTCGTCTCTCCTCTCTGCAAGCTGTGGACTTCACATTACCAGAGTATCTGTCTTCTTCCACGGATCTTACATCTGCTCTTACTCAGTAAATTTTGGTGCGACCTGCAACCAACTTGACCAACCCGCCACGGACGAAGCGAGATGCTGGGTCTAAAAGGTGTTTCCGTTTCGGAGTACCTCTGGAAATGGCAGCACAAGCTCCGCAATCTCGGCACGAAGAATGAGAAGACGGTCGCCGACTTCGAGCTTAAGCAGGGGAAGCAGCTAAAAGTGGGGTTGTCCGTAGCCTCGTCTAAGATCGCCAATATCGGATCTACCCCTTCAATCAAGACCTTCTACGAGGGTCCGATGAGCCAACCCAATGCCTTCAATTGGGTTGACTACCCTCCGAGGCAGCTAAGCAAGAGTGCCGTCCAAGCGAACGAGCGGGTCGCCATCAGGGTGTACAAGATCAAGGACACTAAGAAGGACATGATCTCTGGCTACCACACGCTCAAATACCACCAGATCGAGGTTCAGAGCCCTCTACTGTTGGCCGCCCTCGCCGACGTGCTCAAGGACCAAGATGTCCACATTGACGTGAACGACACGGCCACCTTCCACTACCCCTTTATACCACTCTACTTTGCCTACGACGGGCTTGTGGCAAAGCGCACGAGCTTGACAAAGGACGACCCCCTGGACGAGTTCCTCCTCTTGCTAATCAGGCTCTTGGACGACATCTTCGCCCCAATACGGACCAAGTTGAAGAATCTCAGGGCTGACCGTCTTGTGTCCTTTGAACTGGCCTGGGCGTATTTTCCGAGAGACACGGTGGTCCTCAGTTGGGGGAAAACCTGCGAAAGACTGTGCAAGGTCGTTGACACCTCGTACACCAAGGGCAATGAGGTCATGAACCCGATCTTGATCATCCGCAGCAAAGTTCTCATTTTCAACGGCGAGGCCTTCAGCTGGGAGGATGCCACGTTTGAGATTCCCCAGTTTTCGGGCCACAAACCCATCACCAAGCTGGACCACTACCCCCTGGAGTTCTCTGACGACGCGGATGGTATCAAGAAGAAGCTCACTGCGAGGGGCAGAAAGGTACTGGATTACCAGGGAATAACGTACTGCGCATACAGCGGCATTGCAATCCACAAGAGCAGCGTATGTGTGGAGCGGCTCAAAGTAAGCTCCGCAAGCGTCCCCAGTCTGTCGGACCTATTGCTAACCCGACTGACCAGGTAAACGGCCGCATTCTTATCGACGTGGTCGGCTACAATAAGCACCATCGGGGGCTGACACCACGCGAGACTATGGACCTAGACGCAAAGACCAAGGTGAATGTCACGAACAGCAAGGACCGTGACCTTGCAAGAACTCAGGATGCGGTGAATCCTGCGGTCTGGAAGTGGCTCGACGAGGATGCCCAGGCGAGGAACAAGACGACAATGCTTGAAAAACAAGAGGATCTAATGTTCATGTCGCCATTGTTGGAGGGGTACACACTGACGGAAAAGGTGTGGTGTAAGTGAAAACGAACGTTCTCTCGCAGAGGACATGCACTAATCCGTACAAACAGGCTGTTTCTTCGTCGACGATATTGAACCCATGGTCTGGAATGACAAGGCGTACGATCATCTGGTCTATGATGAGGAGCAGAAGGACTTGGTTCTATCGTTTGTCGAGAGCCACGGTCATGTGCGTCACCAGGTGGACGACGTCATCATGGGAAAAGGTGAGAGTCTGATATACCAGAAAGCAGATGGATGTCTTGGAGGATCTCTGCTGACGCCTGACCTTAGGCTTGGGCCTTATTGTGCTCTTGAGCGGCCCCCCAGGAACGGGCAAGACTCTGACTGCCGAAGCGAGTAAGTTTGATCAGAACTCCTCCCCAAAACCCTACCTCGGCATAACAACTGACATTGAAAACCTCAAAGTCGCCGACCGCACCCGCCGGCCCCTCTTTTACCTGCAAGCTGAGGACCTGGGCGTTAGCGCCACCACGCTTGCGACACAGCTCAAGAAGATCCTCGAGATGGCCACTGACTGGGGTGCAGTGATTCTGCTGGACGAGGCTGACGTCTTCATGGCAGAGCGGCATCCGCAGGATATCGCGCGCAACGAGCTTGTGTCTATCTTCCTGCGTGAACTTGAGTACTACCGCGGTATCATCTTCCTAACCACGAACCTGTATAGCACTGTCGACTCGGCTTTCCGCAGCCGCATTAGTCTGCACCTACTCTTCCAACCGCTCACTTCAGAAGCACGCAACATTGTCTGGCGTAAGTTCCTTAACCGACTGCCGGAGGTGCCGCAGCTTCCGACGCCGGAACGAGAGATGGGGGTGGCTGGTATCGGTGTCGTAGAAGACGGATGGAAGGAGGAGGAGGAGAGAAAGGTTGGAGACGGCGATAGGGACGCGCAAGACACCGGTTTGGCTGGACTCAGCGACGAGGATATCAATGAGCTGGCTGCTTGGCAGCTAAATGGGAGAGAGATCAAGACGGCGGTAAAAATGGCGAAGACTTGGTGCGACTACAAGGGACATGAGATGACTCTGTCGAGGCTTGAGAATGGTATAAAGGCGACGACTCCGCATGCTGCGAAGGTTACACACGAGGGCGACGTCACTCTGTATGACGATTAGGTAGATTTATATCAGAGACTGAGCAAGCAGGTGCTCGAATAACTCCTGCTGCGCGACCCTCGGCGGATCGCTACTCGTGTTTAGGGAATGTTTGCTAGCAGCTAGATGGGACGTCGATAACGCAAGACTTGATAAAGAGGGGAAGCAAATGATCTCCTTTTGAACCCCTAGGTTTCCAATCACTGTGTCGGTCTGCTTGTAAACATCTCGCATGACACTCACTTGGGCCTCACGCTCCGCAGATCATTCTGGTTGATGCAGATAGCGCCCACTCAGAGGAACGGACATATAGGCAAGTGGCGCATTGTTTCAATAGGGGATGGTTGTTGTAGTCGCATCGCGGGCCTTTTCTCTCCCACAAGGCACAAACTCGCACCAACACAGAGTAAAGGTTATTTCCGAACGAGGAAATGTCTTCCGTTAGTTGGCTCCGAGCGCTCTCAGACCAACTGGCGTGACTTCGGGATTGGAAAGCAAAGATGGGGACAGCAACAAACATCTAGATCAATGATGATTTTCCCCGGGACATGCCCCAATGTGTCGATCCGTACTTCGATCCTTCCGTCGTTACACCGGACATGGAAGGGATGGCTGATATCTACGACTGATATCTAGTAGAAAATATCCCCGAATTGCAAAATTGCAAAGACGTGCGGATCGTATGTTGACTATGAAGCCGACGTGGCTTGAATATGTAGCGAGTGCTGCTTGAAGTTCTTCTACAGCATAGCAAGCACCACAGGGCACTCTCGGGCACCCCCATCACAGGTGATGTTTGATGACCCTTTGATAGTGCGCGATGTTTTGCTCTGGGTCAGAGTACTTCTGCATCAAGTGTGCCCCTGGAATGCTACTGCGACTCAAGCATCAACCAAACAGCGACCATCTCCACCGAGTGGCATTGCTCCTGTACCGCAGACCCATCGTGAGACGGCAAATACGACCAAGGTGTCGAGGAACTAAGGAGTAACGCTAAAATAAACGACAACTGGGGCAATGGACCTGATTCTAAGCACGATCACAGCATTGACCTGAGTTCAGCGGTTTATAGCAAACCGGGATAAGTTGAACACGTATAATGGCCCAGAATCGCAGTCCCATTACTACAAGTCATCCAAGTATTTCTCTAACTGGTTGATGGGATCGATGGAAGGCGGGTTAGGCACCTTCCTGCGCCACGTTTCCTTTCCATCCTTGTAGATGACAAATGTTGGCCACCAGACTACTTCTGCCGCTTGTTGGATGATGTAGCCGGTCTCATCAAGACCATTGATCTAGGAAGTGAACAAGTAAAGACGTGAGTAACGCGTCCTGACCCTGGATATCCGGAGAAGGTAGCGCTGAGGCGGGTAACTGCTGCGTCGACTCACCTTGAAGAATCGCACCGCGCTATTTGTTGGCTTTGAGGCGATCTTTTCATATAATGGGGCAACAACCTGTATTTTAGCCATCGTCAGCGATGAACAAGTCTTCCCCGGTTTCTCGATATAACTCGCCTTGCATGGCGGGCACTGAGTTGAATAGAAGTCGACAACTACCACTCCTGGCTTCTTCAACTCGGCGTTGTAGTCCTCGAGACTTGTGAGTTCGGTGACTTGTGCCATTTCCGGTGCCTTTTTCTTTTCTTTCCGAGTCTCGGCCTTCTATGCGTACAAGGAAATAACGGGAGGATGGGGCCTACAACGCAACCAAGGGGTAACTACAGAATCTCGTCTAGCGGGTTGAAGGAAAAAAAGAATAATGATTACACAGCATTACTTCATCCTCCGCCACCGGAGCGCCGTCAGGTCCCGCACGAATAGCGCGATGGGCTAGGAACACTAGCAAGTGGTGGAGGAAAAAAGTCGTGCACGAGTTACCCTAGTTACTAATATGTTAAAAGTATATACTAACAATTTCTAGGGGTTTCTCCGCAGAGTGTTATTAAGGGGCGACCTAGAGAAGTTAGTAAGCTGGGTAACTCTTGTGAGGTTTTTGTTTCCACCACTTGACTAGCCAAGGCCTACGGGGAATGTCCGAGCCTAGCGTGCTACAGCATGAATCTCGGTTACCCGGCATGGCGCCAACCAACCCATGGCAGTTCCAAGAATTTCACGAGTAAGTCTAGCAAGGGAAACTGAAGAAACATGACTCTCCTAGCTGCTCAGCTCAGAGCTCTGACTCATTAATTACAGCATCCTTCTCGTACACACCGTCGTCGTCTGGATCTCGACCCTCTGGGCCACTCCTTTCGTCCAAATTTGGCTCGATACCCAATTTCGCAGCTTCATCAGGTGTGAATGTTCCAAACTAAAAAATCATTGGGATTAGCTTTCGGTATTCCAGGTTTGCTAGAAGCTCGCCTGTAACTTACCGAGTCATACGAATCAAGCTCGCCCAACCCCGCAGGCGGGAAGACGACATTCAGCCCCCAATGCACGAGGAACGAGATAGCGTATCCAGTCACGAAGCCAGTGTAGAAGGTCTGCGTCAGTCCTATCGGGATGGTGTTCGCCGGGTTCACCGACGCCATGCCCCCGATGGACGGCGCGAAGCCGAGGATCCAGGCGATGTATGCCCGGAAGTTGACGCCGTGGGCGAACCAGTAGATGCCCTTGGGACTAGGGTGGTAGAGATCGCTTAGCTTGACCTTCTTCCGTCGCACTGCGTAGTAGTCGGCCGTGAAGACGCCGATCATGGGACCTAGGATGACTGGTAATTAAGGGGTCAGTGATTGTGCCCAAGGAATAATTAGAAGATGCGAAAGAGGCCCAACTTACTTCCGAAACTGTTGAGGGCCGCTGTGAAAGACGACGCCTTGGAAATGATGTACCACGGGTTCATGGCAATGGATATGATAGCAATGAGGTACGACCCGCGCCGGATGTTGATATACCTGGGCGCGAGACCAGCAAAGTCCATGCCTCCCGAAACGCCGTTCTCGACCGAATTCAGCGCCATGACGTTCAACAACAAGCCCAAGGACGTGAAGAAAGCTGCAGCCCTCAGCTTGGGGTTATGATAGTGCTCATCGAGCCACAGCTGCACGATATTAGGCGGGTTCCACAGGCCCAGCTCGGTGACGTCGCCATACAGCTGTCCGGCCGCGGACGTGCCCAGAACGCCGAAGACGGGCACCACGAGCCCGAAGAACAACACCCCGAACGCCTGGCCCCAGATCTGGTTCCGCGGCCGCCGGGCGAAACGAGCAAAATCAGTCTGGCTCGTCATGCCCACCGCGTTGCCCCCTAGCAGCGCCGTGATCCCCCGAACGAACGCCCAACCAAGCTCGGACCCCGGCCGTGCTGCGCTCGGCGTGCGGATGTACTGGCCTGCACCCCCGGCTGCGGCCATCAGGCCGATGGCAAGGCCGAAGATGGATATGGCGCTGGCGATGAGCGCTACCCGCAGTGGTCGCCTCAGCCGGTCGGGCGGGAGGTACAGGAGCGGGATCGCCAGGACGTTGTAGAGCACAAAGCCGACGAACTGTTTGGTCGTCATTGAGGCTGATGCCGGCAGGGTGTTATGCATGTTCTGGTAGGAGGAGAAGATGGTTGACAGGAGAGTGCTGATCAGAAGCCCGCCTGTGAAACTCTGAACTCCATACCACACTGGAGACACCGGGTGGGCTCAGTTAGAGGCATGTTTTCTGGATAATGCTTTACTCAAGTGATTCGACCTACCGCATGTCACACCTACTCGGAGGAGGATGGGGACCATGGAACCCCAGATGCCAAAGGTATATCGGGACTGCACAGTGTAGGAGATGTGCCACACGCCGCCGATCCTATTGATATGCACGCAGTTCAGCTTACTGCACAGGACGCCGTTGCTAGGTAGGTTGTAGAGATTTGTACTAACCACCCAAGACTCAGCACAATGAAGTACTGTATGACCCGCGCAATGATGGTGCAGAGGACGGCTTGCCAGACATTGAGGCCGAACGAGAGCAGCGACGCCGTGGCTTGCCAGCCGTAGATGGTGAGGAAGACAGTGCTCCACAAACCTACAAAATCAAGGTCTCTCCATTGTCTCCGACCTTTTGCCACGGTGTTAGGGAGAAATATCAACCAACATCACCAAGGTCATGACGACTTACTGGGCGGGAGAGGTATCAAGTCTCGGTTCTGCCACCGGTCCGGGGGAATGTCATCGTCCCCGTGGTGCAGCCGGACAGCACGCTCGAGCCGTCGGAATATTCCCATCGTAGTTTACAGCCGTCGCGTTCTCGAGAAGGTGGCGATGGAATTCGGAGGACCCTGCCGAGACGACCGGATCACCGACACTTTTCAACTATTCCACGGATCCGAGATGGCCTGGTTCCAACGTCGCGCCATCTTCATGACGACAAAGTTAGCTCCAATGTCGTGATCGCCGTGAAACCATGGGAACCCAGCATTTTTATTCCTGACTTGGGATAGAACGGCAATAGGGGCGGCTGTCGGCGGAGACGACGACACTAGCCATGCATCTAGATCGTACTGTGGAGAAATACTGCGCAGTAGTTCCCAATAAGCTACGGGGCATGCCGAGACCCGAGCTGCCGGGTCTTCATCGGAAACAACTCCGTGGTAGTGCTGTTAATTAGTGTATTTCGTAGAAACAGAACTTTCTCCGGTCTCGGGTGTTAGTTTCTGCCCATCTACCGCCCTCATCTTCAGCAGCTCATGCGGCACTGAAGCAGGCAGAGTTTTCTTGATCAGCAGGAGGCACAAGAGAAGCTCTGATTAGCTGACAGGCGCACGATTGCTAAAAAAGATCAGCCTTGACAGCATGGAGCCAAGCCTATCAACCCCGATGACCGCGGTCCGGATCGGGGTCGACGTCGGGGGTGAGTTTCCCGATTCACCAGACAGAATACAGTACTCCATATAATTAATAACCAACCAAACTGACGCCATATGCAGGAACGAATACCGACGCCGTGGTACTGGACCCTTCGCAACAGGGTACCCCGGCGCGTGGCGTGCTTGCCTCCCACAAAGCCCCAACAACATCCGACGCCACCACCGGCATCGAGGCAGCCATCCGCGCCGTTCTGACCGCCTCGCAAGTCGATCGCCGCCGCATCTCCTCCGTGACCGTCGGCACCACCGCCTTCCTCAACTCCGTCATCGAGCGCGACCCGCGCCGCCTCAGCCGCGTCGCCGTCCTGCGCCTTTCCAAGAGCTTCCTCCGCGACGTCCGCCCCTTCAGCGACTGGCCGCCGGACCTGGCCGCCGCCATCAGCGGTTACGTCGGGTACGCGGATGGAGGCCTACACATCGATGGCTCCGAGGAGGCGCCCATCGTCGAGGAGCAGGTCGTGCAACGCTGTCGGGAGATCCGCGACAGGGGCCTGAACACAGTCGTCGTGGCGGGAGTGTACTCGCCCATCGACCGCAAGTTCCGGCAGGAGGATAGGGTGCGGGATATCGTGGCGCGCGAGATTCCCGGCGCGGATATCGTCTGCTCCCACGAGGTCGCGAACATTGGTTTCCTGGAGCGGGAGAACGCGGCCATTCTCAACGCCGCTATCCTCCGGTTTGCGAGGCAGACCATACGCGGGTTCCAGGACGCTATGGCTAGGCTGGACCTGGCTGGCTGCCCGCTGTATCTGACGCAGAATGACGGGACTGTGCTCGACGCGAAGGCCGCGGCGAGGGTGCCGATCCGCACCTTCTCCTCGGGCGTGACCAACTCGATGCGCGGCGCCGCCTATCTCGCTGGTCGTCTGTCTGGGGGGGAAGGCGGCGAGTCGGCCATCGTCGTGGATATGGGAGGCACGACCACCGATGTCGGGGTCATGCTCCCGTCGGGCCTTCCAAGGCAGGCTTCGGCTTATGTTTCGGTCGCTGGTGTCAAGGTTAACTACTCCCTGCCCCATCTCCACTCTATCGGGCTGGGCGGCGGCTCCATCATCGCCCGGGAAGACGAAGGAGCCAAGGTCTCGGTTGGCCCAGCTTCGGTAGGGCATGATCTACATCGGTCCCTCGTGTTCGGCGGTGCTACCACAACAGCCACCGACGTCGCCGTTGCGGCTGGCCTAGCCAAGGTCGGGAGTTCCCCCGAAGCCGTCAAGGGCCTCGACAGCAAGCTCGTCAGCAGTGTCCTGCTTCGGGTCAAGGCGATGCTGGAGCATGCCATCGACACGGTGAAGACCTCGCCAGAGCCCATGCCCGTGTTCCTGACCGGCGGCGGCTCCGTGTTGGCCCCGGAATCGATCCTCGGCGCCTCGGTCCTCGTCAAGCCGCCGTTCCACGACGTGGCTAATGCCGTTGGCGCTGCGTGTTCAAAGGTCGGTGGGACGATCGATATCATCCAGGACACGTCGCAGCAGAGCATGGCTGAGGCCACCGAGGAGGCTAAACGCATGGCGATCGAGAAGGCGGTGGCGTCGGGGGCGGTGAGGGAGGGCGTCTATGTGGCCAAGGTGGATGTCATGCCGATACCCTACCTTGAAAACCAGATCCGGTCTGTTGTCACGGCGATAGGGGAGCTTGATATGGATGCACGGCCCCCGCCGGTGATCATGGACGATTTCCAAGAGGGAGAAGAGGTGGTGGCTGGTGGTAGTGAACCCCGTGCACCGGAGCAGACGATGCAACCGACATACGAAATCCTCCGAGTAGATCACGAGACGTACCGACCCAATGTCGTAGTAAATACGACTACGGGGTTGGCAGAGTGGCATCTCAGCAAGACCGATCTGGAGTACATCGCCGACGGCTGCTACCTCCTGGGGTGCGGAGGAGGCGGCAACCCAGAGGCAGGCAAGCTGCAGCTCCGCGACATGGTCGACGCAGGCCACGTAATCCGCGTCGTGGACGCCTCCTCGCTGCCAGACGACGGGGTTGTCTACTGGGGCGGCCGAATGGGTTCACCGGCAGCGATATCCGAGCGCCTCCAAGCCCACGAGACCGTCCTCGCAATCCGCACGCTGATGTCGCACCTCGGCCACGACACCTTTGATGCCGTCATGGCCCTCGAGATCGGTGGCTCCAACGGCATGGAGCCCTTTTTGTGGGGGTCATCGCGCTTCTTCGACCGCCCCGTCATCGACGGCGACTTCATGGGCCGCGCCAACCCAATGTGCTGGCAGACAACCCTGACCGTCCACCGCCCGGGCGAGTTCGTCCCCTGCGCCATCGACTCCGGCGCCGGCCATGCCATGGTCATGACGCGCTCGCCCCGCGACGAGGCCGTCGATAAACCCCTGCGCGGCGCCATCGTCGAGATGGGCTCGCTGGTCGGCTTGGCGCCGAGGCCGACCACGGCGGGCGCGGCGAAGCGCCATGGTGTCCTGGGGAGCGTGTCGCAGTCATGGCGGATCGGAAGGGCCATGGCGCGGGCCGAGGCGCGCAATAGCACGGCCTCGACGGCTGAGGCTATCGTCGGAGAGGTGGGCGGCGCTGGCAGCGCAAGGGTGCTTTTCCGCGGTAAGATCAGCGCCATAGAGCGTACACTGCACAAAGGCCTGTCGGTCGGCGTGTTGCATGTCGCTGAGATGCCGGCGTCTGAGTCTGGCGAGGAACTCCTCCTCCCTGCCGTGGCTAGCGGCGGGTCCCTGCGTATCCCGTTTATCAACGAAAATATCCTCGCCGAACACGTTGCCGCCGACGGGACGAAGCGCGTTCTCGCCACGGTGCCGGACCTCATCGCCCTGATCGACACGGAGACTGGCCGGGCTGTGGGCGTGCCCGAGTATAGGTACGGGTGCCACGTCGTGGTGCTGGGCATCACCTGCTCGCCGCGGTGGACCGAGACTGCCCGTGGTATTGAAGTTGGTGGTCCCAAGGGATACGGATATGACCTGGAGTACACGCCGTTGGGCGAATATGTCAAGCCTCGCAGTGTAATAGATGAGTTTCTGGAAGTGGAGAGGAATTAGGGCAAACTCAAAAATAATAAAACGTCTGAAAGAGTAACTGGGACGCTTTGATCCGATTTACAAGCGTGAATGAAGCTATAATGATAATAAAAGACTTTTTAAAACACTTGCTTTTCTACTATATAATTAATTATACCTATCCTGCAAGCATAATCTATAAGTAGGCACCGCGTGCGTAATAGAAGTACTTCTTGATAGTGTAGTTAGCAGTTCCTTACAACACATTGTTAACTAGTCGCGCTGCTCTAGGGGTTGTTCTTCGGAGTTGCAAGCTACAACCGAGGTATCTGCCTGTTGGCCCGCGGCAGCTTGATGAATCATTAGAGGCTCAGCTCCCCATCGTGTACCATAAAACCACACTAGTTACTCTGAACCTAGCCTGTTTAGGAGGGTTGATGAATCCAAGTTACCAAAGCACCCCAAACCAAAAGGGTCACGGTTTTGGTGCTCTGCCAGAACTTGCCACGATGTTCGATGCCTTGGCTCTCCGCTCGCAGTGATTAGAGCACATCTACACATCCAACTACACCGACTCGGCGGAAACACCAACTAACCAGCATGAGCTCTCCCGACAGAACCCCGATTATTGTCGGCGTTGGCGACTTCCGGAACAAATCGCTCGAGATCAGAGATGCGATCGAGCCCGCGGAACTCATGATCACGGCTGTTCGACGCGCGCTTGAAGACACCGAATTGACTCCGAGCCTACAAGATGAGCTCCTCGGCCTTACGGACAGTGTCTGTGTTGTGCCGCCCTGGACTTGGGCGTATCCCGATCTTCCGGGTCTGCTCGCCAAGCGATTGGGAGTGAACGCCTCGCATATGCTGCTCGGTGAGCATGGTGGCAACCAACCTGCTCTTTTGTGCGACATCGCGGCCAGGAGAATCTCCTCGGGGGAAACCAAAGCTGCGATAATCGTCGGTGGCGAGGCCCTCGCTTCACGTAGGTTCCCATCAAATCTCTATGCAACGCACGCCACGTGGGCTTACCAACCGTCTCAGTGGCTGCTTGTCAGAAGGCTGGGCGGATGCCGCCTCCCAATTGGACGAAGCCGGACCCGGCAGCCAAGTCCGTAAGCGCCAGTGACCTCTCCTGGAATGGGCAGAGTAAGTGAATCCAAAGCTGCAGATGTTGGGGCCACATGCTGATGGCACGCCAATTGGTAGACGTCGGTACGGTGCATTCCGTCGGCCTAGCAATTCATGTTTATCCCCTGTACGAAAACGGACTCCGAGCCCATAGAGGCCAAACATTCGAGGAGAACCTGCAGGAGTCGGCCGAACTGTACGCGGCCTTCGATAAGACCGCGACGGAACACCCGTCCTCTTGGAGATATGGACAGCCTCCCAAGAATGCCAGAGATATTGGGACAGTATCGGTTAAGAACCGGATGATCTGCACGCCGTGTAAGTGCCAGCATGTGGCTGACCTCACCCCGTGCCTGTTGCCTGCAACCAAATACCCGAACGCAGGTTACCCTAAAACGCTGAGCTGACTGTGTCTAGATCCTCTGCTCATGAATGCCTTCAACACCGTGAATCTGGCAGCCGCCTGTATTTTGACGTCGGTCGAGCATGCAGAGCGCCTCGGCATACCTCGTGAAAGATGGGTCTATCCGCTTGGCGGAGCTGGGTTCCATGAGAGCGAGCAGTGTGAGTTTTTCTTGTTCATTCCTGTTCACTCCGTGACCATGATTATTTACCTGTCGGCAATTGGTGGATTAAATGTTCGAGCTGACGTCGACAGTCTGGGAGCGCCCGAATTATTACTCCAGTCCCGCCCTGTCCATGGCCATAGACGGAGCACTTGACATCTCTGGATTGACCAAGGACAAGATTGACTATTTTGACTTCTACTCGTACGTCTCGCCCCAGATGGAAGGCTGGGACGGATACTAACGTTTATTCTCGACAAGTTGCTTTCCAATCGTGCCAAAGCTGGCATGCGAGCATCTCGGCCTCCCTATAGTCAATTCGTCGAAGCCGATTACTCTGTTAGGCGGTCTGACTTCCTTTGGAGGCGCAGGGAATAACTATTCCATGCATGTGAGTTCATAACCAGAAAAGTGCCGCTTGTTGGTCTGCTCGTTTTGGGTTGTGGCTCATCTGCCTCCAGGCTATCGCAGCAATGACCAGAGAACTGAGAGGAAAGAAGTCCCGCGCCGGCTTGGTCTTGGCCAATGGGGGTGTGCTCACCCATCAACACGCGCTCTGCCTCTCGTCTCAGCCCCGGCAGGACGGTCGATCCTACCCAAGCAGTAATCCCCTGCCCGACGAAAGACATGGAGTCCCGATTCCGCCGCTCGAAATCCAGGCACAAGGGCCTGCGACAGTTGAGGTAAGCCCAGGCCCCATAATATACGATCCCCACGATAGTTCACCACTTACCGTTGGTTTGCTGAATTTGTTTTGCAGACATACACCGTCGAGTTTGACCGTCAGGGTTCACCCCGAATGGGGCACATCGTAGGGCGATTGACGGGGAACGGCCACCGCTTCATTGCTAATCATGGCGATGAATCAACTTTGCGGAAGCTTGCCGATCCGAGCGTGGAGCCCATTGGGAGATCAGGCTTCGTCAAAAGGGGGGTGGAGGGGAAGAACCTGTTTTATTTCGGATCAGAGGCGAAATTGTAATCTTAGGATTAATTTAGTAACGATGTTTGCTGCGTTGATCTTGAAATAATTTAGCTACCAAGAGTGACATCTTGTCCTAGCTAATAATAAGACTAGGTATACTACAGTTGAGACGGGACCCAGACCGGCTTCTGTTTCTTCGCAAATGCCTCAAGCCCTATCCGTACGTTATCCCCCGCCAAGAGGGCCGCATTATATTTTTCGTCCGTCAACTGTGCAGCCCTCTCAACGCTCCCAGTTTCCCACGCCTCCCTCAACCCAGCCCGGCTGACAATTATGGCATCCGGCGACATGCTCGCCAACTCTCCCGCGAGCTGCAGAGCCTCGCTAATCAGGGACTCGGGTGAGCTCGCCACCCTGAGCGCCCCGTACTGCTTCAGCTCGGCGGCCGAGAATGTCCGACCGGCCAGCGCCATCTCGCCGGCAAGCTGCATGCCGAAGGTCCTCACCACGCGGGGCAGACCTCCGGCTCCAGCGTAGAGACCGCGCTTGACCTCTGGCAGGCCAAGCTGGGCCGTCGGTGAAGCAATAACTAGGTCACTGGGGTTGGGGAGGGAAAACCCCGACCGTCAGCGTCTCGGAACACATACGAGTAGTGCCCACGTCAAAAAATTTGAAGAGATTCAGGGCTTACCAATTGAGCGCGATCTCGAAGCCACCTCCCAAGGCATATCCATTGACAGCGGCGATGACGGGTTTCTTCCCCACACGCCTGCTGAGGCCCATGAAGCCGCCCGAGGGCAGAGTCTGATTGGTCGCGGCGCCGTCCGCCTTCTTCTGCCGCTGCTCCATCAGGTCCGCTCCCGCGCAGAAGGCTTTCTTGCCCTTCCCCGTCACGACGGCCACCCGCAGCTGCGGCTCCCGGTCGAACCACTTCCAGAGGGCGTCGCCCTCCCAATGGCCCGCCATGGGGATCGAGTTCATGGCGGCCTCGCGGTTGATGGTCACGAGGAGGACGAAAGGCGCCGGGAAGCTGAGTTCGAATGATGGGCAGCCCGGAGGGGGCGATGCGAATGCCGTATTGTCCGCCATGGCGACCTCGATTCGTTGTGAGGTGTAGTTGGCCGAGGAAGACGTAGCAAGCCGGAGGCGAAGGTAAAGGAAAGGCAAAGAGCTAATTCGGGATGAATTGACAGCAGGCGACGGGCACGTCTTCAGGCCAAGCATTCTGGGCTCGGGAGACGGTTTTCCACTAGCTTCATGCATGTTTTCAAAAACCGTGGCATTCCCGGACCCGCCGGTTGGCCTGAATTGCGGGGAGATGAAGCACTGAATCATCGTTTCCACAACCAACTGCTAACAAGGTCCCGGCCCCGGCAGCCGGGGTGCGAAGTGCGGGGTCAAGGATATCACAAAAGTTCCTGGTGGTGCATCCGAGATGCTCGATTCTCGTTTCAAATTAAGGATTCTGAGAGGCGGATCACAAGATTTTTATTTTAGAAAGGCGCCGGCGTATTATCCAGTGACTGAGGAAAGAGTTACACCGGCCAGCCTAGCTGTTGACTCCCCCCCGCCTCACCGGGTGGGGTTTGAGCAGAACGCGAGCCATCTTGATGTTCCCATAGTATGCGCACTCGTGAATGGCTCTACCATAGCAGCTCTAGGCGCTCTCGGCGTTTGAGTCGGCATCGTACTTGAGCAGTAATGACACGATCGCACTGTCGTCGTTGCGTAGGGCGACGTGGAAACATTTTGCCAGGACAACCGAGCCGCGGAACTCCTCGTGAGCGTTATATCCTAATGTGTGGTTATATCCTGATGTGTAGAGGGCAGTCCGGCCATGACAGCTGTAGTTCTTGTTTGTGCCGGCGTCCAGCAGTTCGTCATGAGGGTTTCGTCTCCGCGCATGGCGACTGAGGAAACCATCTCATCGAGCACGCTGTTATCGAGCTTCAGACGTTTGGCCAGCAGCAGGCCAGCAACCTCGATTATGATGGACTTGCCTGCCGCCGAGATTTTGCTGAGAGGTTGCTCGTGCCTGTCGTTAGCCGTCCAGGCGTCGGCACCCTATTAAAGCAGCTCTCGAACTATGTCGACAGAGCCCATGTCGCAGGCTATATGAAGAGCCGTCTCGGCTTCCCTGTCCTTGTTGTTTGGATCAAGGCCTTTGAAATCCAGCAGGCATCTCAGTATGCCTAGTTTTCCACTCAGAGTTGCAATGTGAAGCTGTTACCTCGCAGTCACTGTCTCTCGCAGCGTGTTTTGCAGCTGTCTAGATACGATCTCCTCATGCCCAGACCTAATAGCTACTTCGAGAGTAATCGAGCCTCCATCGTTTCCACGTCAAGTGTATCGACAATCATCAAAACCATAGCATCGAAGAGTCCGGGTTCGAGCTCTTTCGCAATGCCATCGCTGTCCTGGTGTCTAGCTGGCGTCGTTCACTCCCTTGGAGCGGATGACTTCAGCAGGGCTTTTTTGTTGGCTCGAACAAGCAGCTGCATTATTTCCAGGCAACCAACTCTGGCTGCTACATGTAGCGGCGTGCCCCCGTCAAGTCCTTTCGCTGCAGTCATAGCCCCGTGATCCACCAGCACCGTTGCAATGTTTAGAAGGTTGTTCGTACTGGCGCCGTGCAGAGTATCGGCACCGGCACTGCTCACAACCGCTATTGTCGGGCACTTCTCAATGAGTCGCTGCACGCTACTCAGACGGCCAGTCACCGTCGCAAGGAACAAGATGCTCAGGCGTTCAGAACGCGTGGCGTCATCCGAGTCGGCAAGGCCAACAAGGTCGAACTCAATGGCCAACAGCAAATTGATCAACTCAAGGTGGCCTTCTCTTGCGGCCTGGCAAAGCAGCTCATTCCCGAGTCGAACCCTTAGTTCGGCATTCGAGCGTAGCCACTCCGCAGGCAGTATCGTTTTTAGGATCGAGGTGTAACCTCCTCACGCACAATATAAAAGGGGGAGGTCGGAAAGAAAGGTGTCGTTCGATGTAATGTGGCCAAGACATTCTTCCACAATCGCGACCTCTCCTTGACAACTGCTGTCCCCAGGAGCGCCCGAGCGTTTTGTTTCACATCGTCTTAGTTGATCCGCAACAGTTTGAACGTGGCTTCAGCTGTGATAAGGGACACGAGATTGAAAACGTGTCCTGTCTCTTCCAACCATGTTGGAGCGGAAATGTTGTTGTCCCTTTTTTGGTACTGCTAGAAGGTCAAGGTGACGCTGGTAGACACATCGCTGTACATGGCAGAGAGTATTTGCGTGTCGAGACCAACAACTGCGATGGCCTCCTGGAGTCGGAGGGAGAGTTTGATACATGGTAACAGACACTCCTTTGTGGGGATTTTTATAAATCGATCGATGATATTTCTACCAAAGGCTGGGAATGAGGGAAACGGACGTGCTATAATTATATACAGGAATGATGTGGGAAAGTCCTAGTCGGGGAAGCTACCACGCGGATGTGAGGCTCTCGGGGCATCATATAAACGGGAGTTCCCACGGCTAACCCGGCCGGCCGCTTGCCTCAGGAGGAAGCAATTGGAATGGTTTCTACATGGCAATGCCTTGAGCGGGGACAGAGGCAATGTTCACATGTATTTGTCGAAATAGACAGCCAAGGGCCATTGAGGCATTGATCCTGCAACAAAAATAGTTAGTATCCTTCATCGACAACTAAGTACCAAGATGCTCAAAAGAAAACGTAAAGTTCCCCCTGCTAACGCTGTGGGGAGAATGACTGACACAGTACCAAACCTCCTCTCTTTTAGATCTCCATCCTGGGCGCCAGCCCGGTACCGGATCGGGGGCGCTATTTGTCCTTGTAGCCTGTCCCCTAAAGGCGTTTGTTGTGGAAGGCTGTGTCGAGTTAGGCCTCTTGGGTGTCGAGTTAGGCATCTTGGTGGATGTCCTTGCTGTATAACCCGCTGTCATAGTGGGCCCCTCCTCGAAAGCCATTGATCCAAAAGGCTCGTTATCTCCACTACGAAGCTTTTGTGTCCTTGTCTGCGGAGCAGTTTCCCACCACATAGCCTGTAGAGTACTACTCATTAAAGTCTGTGTTTGTGGAACATTTGTTGACGGCGGGCTTTGTTGCGAACTCTCAGTACTCCCTGAGGTCGATGTCGGTCTTGGCGTCTTTGGGGCTTGCGTCGTCGGTCGACGAGTTTCGGGGACTGTTGCCGGTGGAGGGGTCTCAGAGGGAATAGCCCGTCGAGCGACAGTCCGAGTTCCAACATCGCTGAACACCGGTGAGTCTGCCAGGATGATTTTGCAAGGCTTGGAAGTAACAGCCGTGTTGTGTGCCGTTCTTGCACTTGTGCGAGGGTTAGATGCATCAGAAATTTGGTATGGGGGTGGGGCGACTGACTTTGGGGGGGCATCAGTTGCCGCAGGAATGCGACCTGCTGCATGTCTGTACATGTCCACAAAAGGGCCAATATAGCCGAAAAGGTGATGCAACCATAGAGAACAGTCCTTGCAAAGTCTCAAGAACTGTTGATATAGCAATCTCATGCAGTTACCCACGGTCCCTACCCATGAAAGGGCGACAGTCGTGATTGCAGCGAAGATGCAAGTGATGAGGATAGCAGACAGTGCATTAGCCATGCCATTCCAGAAAAGGCAATTCCAATAAGTCAACATGAGAGCAGGACTGATGCCTGGCCTGGTGACTTGGCCGGTGCTGTCGAAGAAATCGGGGCGCGTGGGAAGAGGCGCTGAAATGACTCGTTCGCAAGTTAGACGCTTCAGGTGTGTGTCAGAGAACAAGGCAATCAATTGACTTTCCTCTGCTCCAGAGGCCGCCTGCTTCGCTGGCTCCAGCCGAAATATGGCCAAGTTCAAAATCCATCGATGCGGCCAGGTTGCCCCTTTTCCGAAGGTAGCGGTTACCAAGCAGGGTCAGGGGGTTTCGCGAAGGACCTAATTCAGCCCCCAAAGTCAAGTTTGCTGTGCCGCATTGCTGCGCCACCGGACTCGCCGCCGACAATACTCGAGATTTCTGGCATTTGGATCCAAGAACATTTGTGCCTGCCTGGCCTCCTCAATCCGTCCATTCATTTAGGAGCGGTCCCCCTTTCTTGCGTGACCGGCCACCCTCCTCCGCACCTTTCCTGCTTAATTCTCCAAACGCCAGACGTGACCGGATGGCAACCACCATCGGCTCTCGTGCCCGGCGTCGAGCGCGAGCAAACGCCGCAACGCGATACCACCCATCGACGGCATACCTGCTGTTATTTTACCTCCCGCTAATAATCATCCCCTGGGTGGTACAATGCTTGCTGGACGTCAAGCCCATGACCCGGGCCGGGTCGTCCTACATCGCCAATCAAGGAGAGTACTCACCGAGGGACCTCGCCGCGGTCGGCAGTTGGATGCGCGCAGCTAGGGTGCTTAACATGGCTGCGGCTATTCTGGCTGTGCCCACCGTTTCGGCCATCCTGGCCCACGCTGCCGTCGTCATGGTGCATCGACGAAATCCCGCCCGGCCACTGAACCTGCGAAAGCTTCTGTCCCTGGCCGACGACCCTTGGACGAGAATCACGAGAATGCCGGACGGGAGAGGTAGCCGGTTTGTCTTTTCTGGGCTCTCTCTGGTTGCACTGAGCGTCGTGATACCACTATTGCAGGTGGCACTGGTGGTCCCCAAGTCCATTCGGGTCGCGACATGCTACGATACTCCTTATTCGATCAATCCCAGCATCGACTGCGTCAATAACAGATTCAGGAAGTACATCGTTGCGGGTAATGACGCAGAACCCGCCATCCTCGATGCCACCTATGCCAGTTTTGTCGCGCAGAGAGTTGGACATAGACTGGAGACGGTAAGCGAGCTGGACCCTCTACCATACATCTGGGATGATGAGACCCCTCGTGATCGACCACTCTACACTAGTACTCCAAATACACTCCGTGAGTATTACCAGCGGAGTAGCGAGGACGCCATTCACTATTTCGTCTCCGCCCTCCCTCATGGGACCAACACCGGCGTCCTCCGAGAGCACGCCTTACGCATGAACTCGTCCACTGCGCAGTGCCAGCGCGTCTCTGCTGCGGAATTTCCGGAGGCGTGTCCCGGAGAGCGGCCGTTTACGGGGGAATTCTCCGGCGCGTTGAGGACGATACGGTTCTGCGCGCCCGGCGCATATGACACCGCCCCGTGGACCTTGAGTCGAAACAGGCAAGATATCACGGAAGAGGTCTACTTTGATATAGTGGTTCCCAAAAACGATTCGATCGACGAAACTCTTCCCTATAACAGGACTGTCCGCTGCGAGGTCAACTCGACGAGGGGCTACTTCGAGCTGCCCAACTACTACAATGACGGCATTCCTGAGCAACTACTCGACAAGTGGCCTAGCCCCCAGGAGATGGAGAAAAACTTTAATGACTATTTTTCGCACGATATTAAACCGTCCGAGAGGTGAGTTCTAAAAGTCCACAAATAATACCACCCAGCCATCCCGACAGGGGGGGGGGGGGGGGGGGGGGGGGGGGGGGGGGGGGGGGGGGGGGGGGGGGGGGGGGGGGGGGGGGGGGGGCCG